AAACACTGGATAAGTCAGCCTTCGAAAATTGTAATTGACTATGTGAGGCCTCGGAATCAAAAGGGCTAAGAACCACTGCCCTAATGTACACTTTAGCCAATAAAATATATTTTTCTTTTTCTCAGAATTGCAAGAGGAGGGTAAGAAACAACGACAACGAGACAGTAAACGTCCAGACCTGCAGTTGTACAAACCTGGTTCTGGCCATCCACGCAAACATAAGGACAACTCAGAAGGAGCTGGCTCATACCCTGTGCACCCACCGGATGATTGTGGTTTGGGTAATGACACCAAAATGCCTGACGGCTCACCTACCAGTCCTGGATGCTCTCACATCCCTGGTATAGACAGTGGAGACTTTCCAAATGATGGTCAGCCTAAAACGAATCATAACACTAAAGGACACGTTGGTGGCAAGAACCACCTGCTTGTGTTACAAGATGGAAATGCTGTTAAAAGCATTGAAGGTGCTGGTACGCCAAGGTCTCCGAAGCAGTCACGAAAGATGCGAAAGCCAGACCGTGAGATATATCAGCCAGGGGGGCGAAGGTCTCAAGGAAACAAAGAGACCGGGGCGAGCAAAGAATTAGATGGGGATCAAAGACAAGAGGAAGAAGTGGGTGGGAAATATGTCGAATCACTTACAAAGGGTGAGAAAGAGGAAAAGCGCAGAAACAGGCGTGGGAAAGATGGCAGGAAAAAGCAAGAGTCCAAAGGAAGTGTAGACTCCCCCTCTGCGAACAGAAATGAGAATAATGTCGAGAATATCACTAGTAACATCAGCAAACTCCAAGTAGAGTCTGAGGAAGGTAGAGATGTTGGTGGGCAGGATGGTGCAAACCGGAGAAAACCTAGTGGGGAAGGACGAAGAAGCCAAGCAGGTGAAGAGAATGGAGGAATCGGAGAAGACAAAAAAAAGGAGAGGGGTAATGGGAAATCCAAACCAGGAAGGGAGAAAGGTAACAACCAGGTCTTTGTCAAAAAAGAGGAAGGGGAGGGAGGAGGGAAAGGTACAGAGGCAGCTCAGCCTGAAGGAAAAAGGCAGAGGAATGTTGGCGCAAAGGAGGTGAGCCATAACCAGAACATGAACCGTGAAAAACAAATGGGGAACAGGCCGAAAGAGAGAGGGAAACCATGTGAGAGAACAGATTCAAACCGAGTCAACGCTGCCTCAAAGCGATACTCTCAGTCAGACATCCGGCGACCTCGAAACCGCACATACAGCACGAGTTCGGCCAGTAGCGGGACCAGTATGGACGGTCTGGCTGAAGCTGAGAGACTCAGAGGAGAGGGTCGGCAGTTGTCAGCACGCGCTGTGGAGAGGACCACTGGACAGAGAGAGTTCGTCCGAGGGAACCTGGCCCGCCCGAGGAGACGGACAGCCCGGACCTTGTCCTCCACAGATTCGCTGGAGGAAAATGAGGCGTGGGAGCTAGCAGATAGACGAGGCAGAGTTGCTGATGAAGCCAAGAGCACCCACAGGGGTCCTGAAGGGGGCGGAAGAGGCCAAAGAGTGCCTGCGCCTTGTGGTCGAGGAGGAATTTTGAGAGTTTCTTTGGACAAGCATTCTAATGAAGAGCAAGCGAGCCGAAAAAACCCTAGAGGTCGTGGGAGGGGAATCCTAGTTCTTCCTGCCCACACTGATCTAAGTTTAACCCCTGAGCCTGGGCCTGGGCCTCAGCTTCGAGGAATGAGAGGAGGAATGGGTCTGGGCCGAGGAAGAGGCGGCCGTGGAGGAGGGGCAAGACGACTTTGGGACCCGAATAACCCGGATAAGAAACCAGCGCTGGTGTCAAGCCAACAGTCCAAGCATGCATCTCTCCCGCAGGCTTTGTACTTGCAGCAGGGTGGATGTGGGCCGTTGCACTTCCTGGATACTGATGACGAGACTGCAGGAAGTCCTCCTGTTCGCCAGGGAGAGTATTTTCAAAACCAGCAAGCTGCTGCGATGGCTTACTACAAATTCCAGAATTCCGACAATCCCTACTGTTATCCGTTACCAGCCAATTCCCCAAACACCCCGCCACGCTATCCATACCCGTATCACATTCCCTATCAAATTCCTGGCTCTAATGGCATCTATCCCACCTCTGCTATGCCACCTTTTTATGGACCCTATGGGCAAGGTGGGCCAGGTTATCCCACTCCAGCGGGATCTAGTCTCACTCCAGAAGAGGCAGAGGTGCAGACCAGAGGAGAGCTGGGAAAGCTGCTTCGGCTGGCTGACAGTCAGGAACTCCAACTCAGTAACCTGCTGTCCCGGGAAAGACTGAGCCCAGAGGGACTGGAGAGAATGGCCCAGCTCAGGTGTGTATTGAAAGTAAAAATTTAATTTTAAATAGGAAAACATGCGATTTGTTGTATTAGAGTTCTACAATTATACATTGAATGTCATTGTCTTATAATGGACATTATTCCAGCCTGGTTACATTTTTCCTTGCATTTTTTTTCTGATGTTTATCCAGGGCTGAACTCCTGACGCTATACGAGCGGGTGATTTTGACAGACATAGAGTTTTCCGACTCTCAAAACCTAGATCAGGCCCTATGGAAAAATGTGTTTTACCAGGTGATAGAGGGGTTTAGGCAGCTTCTGAAAGACCAGACCTCAGACACTGCCCCACAGATCAAAACCATGCTGATGACCATTCTGGAAGAGGTAGATAATGCACAAAGTTGTCTATATCCCCCTTGTGAAAGTCCTTGTCATTTTTTCTCTCTCCCTGATATCAAATTTACACTACCACCATATATAATGTGGTAGTGTGTAAAGCATTTAGCAGATGTTCTTATCCAGAGTGACCTTCAAAAGGACTTAAGTTTTACATTCAGGATGATTTATTGTTCACTTGTTCTTTTGAAATAAAATTGTGAATTACTTTGTTAAAAATAAAAAAAACCTTTTATTTTATTTTATATAGCATCACTCAGCAAAACAATAATCCATTTGTGACTGAAAGTGAAGATGCAATGTTTATTTTTTGCTCTAGGGGGGAGTATTCTTTGATTCACTTCTACAGAAGTTGCAGACAGTGTTTCAGTTCAAGCTGGAGGACTACATGGACTGCATGGCTATACGAGCAAGACCTCTACGCAAGACGGTACACAAATACTATAAATTACTTCGGAATATCGGCCCAGCTGTTTCCTTGTCTTAAGGGGTTTGCTATAACAGGCTATATGCCTATATATAAATTATAGTTTGTTCTGCTATCGTTGAATAGAAATTTATGCAAGCACATTCAACGAGTGTGAATCCACTTTACCTTGTTTCAGGTCAAATACGCTCTGATCAGTGCCCAGCGCTGCATGATCTGTCAGGGCGATATCGCACGATATCGTGAACAGGCTAGTGACTCTGCTAACTATGGGAAGGCCCGCAGGTAAGTCTGTCATGGCTACATTAAACTTGAAGTTACTCACAACCAGAGGTGTATTTATAGCATAGTACAATATTTTGATATACATACATGCGCCTTTGTTTATATCATGATATATTGACTGATGATAAATTTAATTAGTGCAACATAAATCATTTCTTTCTTTTTTTCCCTTCATTTACTTGTGGGAAGTCATTGGTTAAGTTGTGTTGCGTTTTCACATTTCAATGTTGACAATTTGTCTTTTCTCTTGTTCAGTTGGTATCTAAAAGCTCAGCAGATTGCTCCGAAAAACGGACGACCCTACAACCAGCTGGCCCTTCTAGCAGTGTACACGGTGAAACCACCCGCATAACATTAGACAGTGTGTTAAAATGCGTACATTAACTTTTTAATATAAAACTTTGATATACACTACCGTTCAAAAGTTTGGGGTCAGTGAGAATTTTATTTTTATTTTTTGGAGGAAAGAAATCAATACTTAATTTGATCGAAAGTGACAGTAAAGACATTTATAATGTTACAAAAGTTTCTACTTCAAACAAATGCTGTTCTTTTGAACTTCCTATTCATCAAAGAATCCTAAAAAAAAAGAAAGAAAAAACTGTACAACTGACAGACCAACAACTGTTTCAACATTGATAATAATAATAAATGTTTCTTGAGCATCAAATCCTCATATTATACTGATTTGTGAAGGATCATTTGACACTGAAGACACTGACACTGGTGATGCTGAAAATTCAGCTTTGATCACAGGAATAAATTACACTTTACTATATATTCACACAGAAAACAGCTGATTTACACTGGAATAATATTTAATACTATAACTGATTTTTGTTGTATTTTTAATCAAATAAGCGCAGCCATGGTTAGCAGAAGAGAATTATTTTAAAAGTATTTAAAATCGTACCGACCCCAAACTTTTGAACGGTAGTGTATATTATATCAATACATATAAATATACAAGTATTTACACTTTTATTTAAAAATTGCCTGTTGAATCAAATCTCAGACTGGCAAAAAAAGTTGTAGGCTTGTCAGTTTTAAACCATTTGTTTCTTCTTCAATAATTGCTTGTAGGTTATTGGCTTAAATGACTATTATTAACATGAAAGTTAAACTAATTTATTCTCCTCCCATCTCTCTTTTAGAAGCGAAAGCTGGATGCTGTATACTATTACATGCGTAGTCTTGCTGCTAGTAACCCGATCCTCACAGCCAAGGAGAGCCTGATGAGTCTGTTTGAGGAAGCCAAGCGCAAGGTATGCATGTTAACACCACTCTTTCAATAGAATCAAACTTTTGGTTTCTGAGTGTCATATTTGTTCATCTCTCCCAACCTAGGCTGACCAGATTGAACGCAGACGAAAGCAGGATTCAGATGGAGGTACCCATGGTTCCAGAGGTCATGTGGGTGGGCGTCGTGGCGAGGACGCCTCCCGTGTGGAGATTTGGATACGTCCGAGTGGGAATCCGGGCACTTCTCGTCCAACAGGCAGTGAATCTGGAAAGGACTCTGAGCAGGATGGAGAGCTTGGAACTTTGAGTGCCAGTGATGTGAGTGCTTTTGAAAACATAGTGTTATTTGTGCTGGGTTACTTTGATCACAATAAAAATCTGAGGTTATTTAATACTTACATAGGGCCGCAATGTTTAGATTGCTGTCACTGCCCTAATCTTTCACTGATCTCTTAAGTTTCAGAGAAATTACCCAAAAAAATGCCACCGTTGCTAATACATGTCCTGACAAATAGATACAATTTTTATATATTTAAAAAAAAAAATGTTTATTAAGAAAGATTCAGACTAGCAGTCTGTTGCACTTTAGGCAATAAATATTCCTCTGAGGCACACAAATGTTTCCACAAATCTTTCAGAAAGCGGACACAAACAGGCAGACGCACGCAACGACACGCGTACAAACACCCGTGCGCATTAGCCAAAGAGGTCATGTCAAATTGTTTATCAGTTGCACAGGATGAGGCTGACTATGAGTCACCCATCAGTGGCAGAAAAGGGCGTCATAGTGCCCTCATTTCGGTAACCTTGGATATTTGCCCACGTCAGCATTAAGTGGACACTTATACTTAAAAGAAATTTGACCTTTTTCCACCCCACCATTGTTCTTTTGTCAGGTTTAGCTGGTTGTTTTAAGCCCTCTGATTCTGGCTTCGGGCAATACTCCGATTTAATTAAATAAGTGCTTTTTAGGTTTATCTGCCAATCAAGTTGCCCATTCTGTGGCGAGTTGGTAAATTTTCTGATCATTTTGTTTATGCATTAACTCTTGGTGACTTTTTTTCTTTACTACAATCTCTATAATTTCATCCATTTTAGCTGAAGGTAAATTGCGCATTTACTTATATTTTTCTATCCTTTTCTTTACAGCTCAATAAGAGGTTTATTTTGAGTTTCCTATACACTCATGGAAAGCTCTTCACTAAAGTAGGGTAAGTCTTAATGTTGACAGATTCATTGTAACCAGCAGTTTTTACACTGTGTTGTTATGCTTTTAAATTGACTTTTGACTTCGAAGGTCATCTCAGTCCAATCATATTGAGATTTCAGAGTGCTGATTTTTTAAGAGAACCTAGATTATGTATCATTTGCAATAGTGATGCACCGATGTGAAAATTGTGGCCGATAACCGATATTAATATTGCTGTTATGGCCGATACCGATATTTACCGATGCCGATATCTCTGTATAGAAAACACATAGCGAGGATTAGGGCTGCACGATATTGGTAAAAAATGACATTGTTTTTATATCGCAATATATATCGCAGAAAAATAAAATATCGCAATTTCACCAGATGACTTGAATAGCTCTTGGAAAGAATGAATCATTCTAGAATGACTGGGGTGGTTTTGTCATGGAGTAAATCCGCATAGAAACTAATATTAATAGAATGTTAACTAATGTAGTTAACTAGACTTTAATAAATGGAACCTTATTGTAAAGTGTTTCCGATGTGTCTCTTGAGTTCATTGTTGGACAGATCAGTTGTTTTAACCATTCATTAAAGTGAATCGGTTCAAAGGAGTCATTAGTTCGCGAATCGGACGTGTCATTAACGGACCACGGCACACGTTGTGTGATTACCCAGGCAGTTTAGGACATCGCACAAGATTTGTCTCAACACAGAAAACATTTCATCACTAGATTAGGGGTGGGAGATATTGACAAAAATGAATATCTCGATATTTTTGTTCAATATCTCGATATCGATATTCAGACGATATTTTTGCAATCCTTCAAAGAAATGTGTGCAAACTGGCAAAGAAGGTTCAGTTGGTCTTTTGACTTGCTGCATTTGATTTGACCTATTATTGTATAGAATTACTAGTACATAAAGCTATGAGACATTATTGATTTAAAGACTCCTAAACTTTTTAAAATAATAAAATATTATTCAATAAAGTCTTTATTGTTCTTTTATATTTTTAATCGGGGTGTAACGGTTCACAAAATTCACGGTTCGGTTTGATACGATACAGTGGTGTCACGGTTCGGTACGTTTTCGATGCAGCAAAAAATAAAGAAATGCCATAGAAATGTAATATTTATTAAAAGAAAAAATATATTTTTAAATAAGTGTGAGTTTTCCTACACCTTGAAACTTTTAGTTTTATAAATAGGGGTAATCTTTGAAGGATGAACAAATAATGTTCTGGTCATCACATTAAAAATAACATTTAAATAACATATAACATTTGAGTTTTGAAGTGCTGGAAAAAGATGTGTGACGTACTTGTAAGCATTTTAATATTTCTGCAAAACTTTCATGGTTACAAGATAGTGTTACTACATTAAATCCATGGTGAATGATCTGTGGACTTAAAACCTATAGTTAATTCATGGAACGATGTTTCTCCTGGTTTCCACGTCAGTGCTGTTTGATCCGTTATTAACGGAGAAATTGTAACGCTTCTACTAGATCTCGCAGCGATGTTATTACTTAAGTGGCGAATTCAAATGCTTTGTTTACGCTTCTCTTATGTAGTAACGGTGTCGGCTCGCGCTGCACTGACATTCGTCCGAACTGATAAACGGTCCGTGAAGCACAAAATAATGAGTTTCGTTCCGCTTTCATTACATTTGCCATTTGATGTTGGGCAACGTTGTGGTGTTCGCTCCAGCGCGGATTTTGGTCGGCAGGAAAAATGGTCCAACCACCGGAATGGTTCGGTTTGTAATGCGTACCGAACCGATCTCTTTGGAAAAATGTATTCCATCTTTTGGACTCATTATACAACGCAATTTTCTAATGATGCAATCACGAAGCTCGCCACTTGAGGACGCCACAGACATTTAAGAAAAACTTTTTAACTTCAGACTTCATTTTTCCGCAAACAACGCACATTTTGCCTTTTCTAGCAGCTATTTTATTAATCGTACATCGGCTTTACTCTTTTGGATTGTTGCTTCAACCTAAGAAACGTCATAACACACAGGTAAGAACTTCGTAGTTGTATATTGCAAATTAGTAGCAGCTTTACTCTCGTGCAATTGAGGAACGATCGTGATTTTGTACAAAAAATAAAATAAAATACAGTCAAACAAACCCCTACAGTATTAAAATCGCTACATATGATTGTTTAGAAGGTTAGTGTGCGTTATTTGTTTTCTCTTTAACTTCCTTCAACTCTTTTCATGTTTGGGGGGTCGGATTGTACAAATTATGAAATATTCGATATCCCAATTTTGCATATCGTCCAGACAACAATTCGGATATTATCGTCTAAACGATATATCGCCCACCTCTACACTAGATAGATTTTTTTTTTGTTTATTGAAAGTGTGGTTTATGTCATCTTAAAGGGATACTCCACTTTTTTTGGAAATAGGCTCATTTTACAACTCCCCCAGAGTTAAACTGTTCAGTTTTACCGTTTTTGAATCCATTCAGCCGATCTCCGGTTCTGGCAGTACCACTTTTAGCATAGCTTAGCATACATCATTGAAGTGGACAAGACCATTAGCATTTCTAAAAAAAAAAATGACCAAAGAGTTTCGATATTTTTCCTATTTAAAACTTGACTCTTCTGTAGTTACTGTAGGCGTAATGATATGACGCAGGGCCTGAAAATAGGCCACCTTCCGTCAACACAACGGAACTATTTTCAGGCGCTGCGTCATATCATTACGCCTGCTGCTCTCATGGTACGGCAGTGAAGTTTCTTGATTATTACGCAGGAATGCGAGTATAGTTCCTAGCCATATCAGCCTAGAAAATCGCAACTTTACATTTTCTGTCGGTATCCCTTTAATGTGTGGAAAGCTTTTCAGAGAAGGCAACGTTATTTTAGCACAATTCACAACCAGCGGTAGTTCAGAAAAAAAAACTTCGGTCTTCCGACCTTTTACCATCGTGTATTCTCAAAGATATTCAGTCAACTCAATTCATTAATATGCGCGAGGGAGGGAGAGAGAGCAATACAGTTTGAAGACGGCGAGAGTGAGTGCACGTTGCGTGCGCGACCGGGGCTTTCACTCTCTCTGCTCGTTCTCTCAGTTAAACAAGCGCAGCAGTCAGTCATCTATTCTACATCACTCACCGGTCAAATAAGGATTTGGCGGGACAAAAATATGCCTTAGTAAGGCTGACAGAAAACTGCGCGCAAGTTCCAGTCTTCTTGCGCTTGATGTTTAAACTGACAGGACTTCCGCTGGTATGTATGCGCTCGTGCAAAAACAAACATCCCCGCCCCCACACTCACATCTACACACACGTTAAATACACAGGAATGATTATCGGCCTGTTCACATCGGCCCTATTTTGACATCGGAACGATACCGATGTGTAAACAATTGACCATATCGGCCGATATTATATCGGCGGCCGATATATCGTGCACCACTAAAAGTTCCAGAGAGGAACTTTTTGGGATCCGAACAGGTTCATCTGTATCTACAGCATTGACTATAAAGCATATTTGATTGGAAGTTCCTGCTTTAAATTATATTAGGCAACTGTTTTATTCAGAATTTTTTTAATGGACATTTTTAAAAAGATTTGTCCTGGGAAAATGTAGAATTTCAAATATTTATTAATGTTTTAATTTTGCCATAAAAAAAGCCTTTGCTGCTTATATAATAGGGTATCCGCGGGTCCTTAAAAAGTCTTAAATTAGATTTTAAAAATGTATGGCCTTAAAAAGTCTTAAAAAGTCTTATTTTGACTTATGAAAGGTCTTAAATTTTCAATGGCAATTTGAGTTAGACATATCTAAATGTTTTCCAAATTAAAACTATCTAATTAGCGTACTTTTTTATTTATTATTCGTTCTTTGTGGAATTGCTCGTTCACGTGACATTTCGCATCATATTCGCGCCAGCATTACGTCTGTCTCCTGCACGCGAAACAGCAGGAGAGGAGAAGAAAGCTGGTTAATTTCAGTTCAATTGTAAGTTCATTCTTTATGTGCGTAGTGGTGTGCGATGTGTATTGTCTATTATGATATTGTAATCATTGTTTTACTTTAACGTTAACTATGTAGGCTACGAGGGCGCACTGCGAGCTGACATCGCATTTGTCTCTCATGCTTGCTTTCACTGCGTGATGTGTCAGTGCAGTTATAGGTATGTTCCCTAATAGACGTATAAAGTTTTTGTATTTTATATATCATATGTTGTTATCATACAATATTACATCAGCAAGAGGGCTGTTTTCCCGTGCACAATAGCAAATATGATATTTATTTTATATAACAGTTAAATTAACATTGTTACATTTTATAAAAAATATTGTCAATATTGTTTGTTTTCCCTTTATTTCGCTGACGAGAATTTCAAAATGAAACCGTAGCAGAGTCTCAATGCAAAAGACAGCGATGATTTCTTGACTGAAATCCGCGTTTTGAACGAATCATTTTAACGATTCAATGAACAATCACTTGCAGTTCCTGAATGAATCAGCCGTTTGAACAAATCGTTTGAATGACTCCCTGAGACAGTGACTTGCCGCCACCTACTGGCGGGTTTAGTTTCACATTTTAAGTACCCTGTAATTAAAATGTTACAATTAGAAATCAGTTCATATTTAAATATTGAATTAAGAATTGAAAGAATTGAATATATCATAGCTTTATTTATGCAATTGTAAATGGAGTATAAATATATTAATGCCAGTTCTGATGCTGCTTCTGTGTCTCCTCTGCACTGCAAAGATGGATTTTGATTTAATGATTTAATTTAACTGGTAACAGTGGTATTGTGTTATTATTCTAATATAATTTAATTTGAATGTTAGAATTTGACATAAAAGGTGATGCATACCTCTAAGTAAAAAAATAAATAAAAAAAAGTCCATATATGGGGGAAAATGCCCCTGGAACTCAATTTAAGGTTGCAAATATTGCCCTTTAATAAAAAATGTTAATTCCTTTCACTGCTGTGAACTGACCACTGCATAGAATATGAAAAATATGAATATCTTCGTGAGTCAGCTGTCAACAACAGGCCTAAACCAGCCATGGTACCAGTACACAAACACAATCAGTAAAATATCATCTAATTATCATCAACAAAACTTTGAAAATATTGAGACATTTTTTTTTCAATATTGCGCACCCCTAATGTAAGGTATTAATTTTGATTTCTTCAGGTCTTAAAAAGGTCTTAAAAAGCCTTAAATTTGACTTTAAAAAGTGTGCAGATACCCTGATAATAAATAAATAAAATATCTACAGAATCTGTGACATGCTGGTAAATACCACAGAAATTCTTTTTTTTTTTTTTTTTTTTTATATTCTGGTGTATTCATTTGCATAATGTGTTGTGTTTGGTCCTCAGGATGGAGAGTTTTCCTGCTGTAGCCAGTCGAGTGTTGCAGGAGTTTCGGGCTCTCCTCCAGCACAGCCCCTCCCCCCTCGGCAGCACACGCATGCTGCAGATCATCACAATTAACATGTTCATCATCCATAACGCACAGATTAGAGGTAAATACAACACTAGCAGCGGCCATAGAGCCTCTCCAGTCCATTGAAAATAATCTTTCTTGCTTCCCACTTTGCTATGCCACTTAATTTTTCTCTCTTTCTTTCTCATAGCTGAAAGGCAGGGCGAAACTCGGTCTGTATTGGAGGAGCAGACCATATCCCTAGGTTTAGCTATGTTTGGTCTTCTTGTCCAACGTTGCACTGAGCTCTTGAAGGAAGCGCCTGCTGGTGAGTAGATGATGTGTTTCAAAACCTAGTGTGCTGTCTACACACACAGCATTATAGGTGCGCTCTAAAAAGGTAGACAGTGTAATTAGATTGGATACTTCTTTAGGCCAAAATTTGGACTGCACAGAGCTTGCAATACCACTGCGTTACAGCATTACTTTGGGGGGAAAATGATCTAAAATGACGGCATGAATAAATTGAGTCAGGTCTACTGTTCCCTTTATGTAAACTGACTGAGTTTGAGTGAACATTATGAGTTACTATCTACTTAGTTAGGATTCTGTCTTAGAAGAGAGCTGCCTATGTAGACCACAACAGCTAGGTTTTGGAACAAAAAAATGTGCATTTTTTACATTCTTAGGAGGTAATTCAAATCATTGTGGGCAAAAATCTCAGTATTTGTGAGCCCTATGCTGCTTTGTCTGATTGTTTGCTTTCTCTTTTTTGTCTCCCCCAGAGTCTATCCCAGCAGAAGAGCTGGGGGAGTTTGATGAGATGGATGACGAAGAGGGGATGGTACGGGTGTCCTCCTTCCCTCCTGACCTGAGAGAGCTGCTGCCCAGCATGAAGGTCTGGTCCGACTGGATGCTAGGACACCCTGACAAGTGGAACCCTCCTCCCTGCAGTATTCAGTGAGTCTTGCTTGCAGTACGTTCACAGGACTGTGTTGATTTGAAGCTGAGCTGGAGTAATATGGTTCTGTGTGCGTTTATAGGGGGAGTCCAGATGTGTGGCAGTGTCTTGCAGATCTTTGCAACTCTTTCTCACACGTGTATCACGGTGAGGTTTTGCTGTATAAAGCTGATGCGGATGGAGAAGGAGACGAGGAGCTCAGAGTCCTGCAACTGGAGGAGGACAAAATGCTCTCTGGCTTTGTCCCGCTGCTCGCTGCCCCACAGGAAGCCTGCTATATAGACCAAGGAACAGATGCGGTCAGTAATGTACACGTCTATGCATACTAACACATTACATCACACTGCCAAATTGCATGCTTGGGTGGATAATATATCTAAAATTAGGACTCAGTAGATTACAATAATTTGCAATTTAACCTTAATTTAAAAAAAAAATGTTAGTTAAAAATGTACTGTAGATTATTTTAATAAATAAATTAGTTACTTATTTATTTTAAACTCAAATTTGCTAAAATGTACTGCCTCCTGGGTGAAAGAATGTATCAAAATTAGTGCTCTTAGTAGATTCAAATAATAATAATATTAATTCTTAAATACTTTTTTGATTCTAAGTTGATCAAATTGGCCTTTTTTATTTTATATTTATTATGTAGTCCATTCATTGTTAATGCATTTTTTTTAGGAAAGAAAATAGTCGATAATAATTGAATTCTAAAAAAAAATTTGATTTATTAAATCAATGAGCTGGTCTTATCATTTACTAATAAATGTGAGTGAAAACACCTGTGCTGCCTTTCTTATTCTGATCACACAACTCAATTATTTACTTGAGGCAAATTCATTGTTCGTTTTATGATATTAATCACATTTAAAGGCACACTGTGGAACTTTTCAACCTTTATAATATATTACCAAAACCCATTGAGATGGTACATCGACTTACAATAGGTTGAATGACACGTCTGCCGTAGCCTGAAGGTGTCTGTATCGCTTTTACTAGCACTATGTAACTTCGGGGTTCGGGTAGGAACCCGAGCACAAAAAGAACTACAAAATTCGACCGCTTTACGGCATACGTCACTTCCCCCACCACCCACAACTTCCTCAGATTCTGACGTGAGTGCTCAACTCGCGTTTGATTGCCGTCTGTATGTTTTTGTCATGGCCGAACCAACAGCTACAAGGAAGAAGGCAAAGGTTTTGTCAGAGGACACTAAAAAAAAGAAAAGGGCATAGTGACAAATGAAAAGCCAGGACGAGGATCACCATTGGTCCAGCGTTCGCTCGCTGGCGTGAGCTAACGTTACACGTCTATGGAGCTACAGGAGGAGGATGGGTGCCCGACCGATGCTAACGCTTGCCTGCACACAAATGCCGTTTCCAAGGTGACACAGATAAATCATATAAGCAGTGTAGTATTGTCTGGTATTCCGGCCACAGCCGATGGTGTTATGAGTGTAATAAAATGCCCACAGCCCATTGTTCATTTCTACACACAAACACAGCCCGCCACAGTGCAGGGCTCGAACAAATAAAATCGACTCATGTCAAATGTAGCTGCTACATTAAATGTAGTGAACGTTCCCACGACTCAGTGCCCACAAACACTACAGACAACATGTCCCACGGTTTCTGTAAAACGAAACCAACACACATAGCTTACAGTCAGCTCAGGCCGACGGTGTTTTTAGTGCAGTAAATGTGCCCGCCGTCCCGCGCCCACATTCACTCACAGACATGTTAGCACTAATGGTGTGTTCACACCGAACGCGAATTTAATTATTTCCGCGAGTAGATTACATACAAAGTCAATGCAAAGACGCGAATAGACGCATCATTCGCGCCAGGCGTTGCGAATGACGCGAATTGGGCGACGCGTTTGCCGCGAATGTCTTCCGCGCAAGTTGAAATATTTGAACTCGAGCGAATGTTCAAGCGTCTAACTAGACGCGATAGACGCGTATTTGACGCTCTATTCGCGTTCGGTGTGAACACACCATAAGCCCCACGGGGCTCGCCCCGCTCGCTCTCTCTCTCTCAGCAGACTGCTATAAGGGAATCGACCGCGGCCAGGCTGCCCGCCTCAAACACTGCAAGCACACATAATCTAAAGCAGTGGTTCTCAATCCTGGTCCTAGGGAGCCACTGCTCTGCACAGTTTGTATGTCTCCCTCATTTAACACACCTGATTCAGATCATCAGCTCGTTAGGAAAGAGCTTTATTAACTGAAGTGGGTGTGTCAGATAAAGGAGACATATAAAATGTGCAGAGCAGTGGCTCCCTAGGACCAAGATTGAGAACCACTGATCTAAAGACACGGGAAGCTGACCCACTGTCTATAGGCGGACCGGTTGACTTTTGCGACAGTGCTGCGGAGCTTGTGGCCTCTAGGGACGCTAGACGTGAAAGTTACAGGTCGAGCGCCACTAGTGGCCAAAAAGTTCCGCAGTGTGCCTTTAATTGAATAAAGTAACTTTAGCCGCTGTAGTTTTCTCACATCTGAATGATTGTTTCTGTATTCTAGGCTATAGCAGCTGACTGTAAGAGAGTGACCGTTCTGAAATACTTCCTGGAAGCTCTGTGCGGGCAGGAAGAGCCGCTGCTGGCTTTTAAGGGAGGAAAGTACATTTCCATGGCAACACCTCTTACAGCCGGCTCAAATGCCGAGAACAAGATGCAAACGCAAGAACTGGTAATGCAAACCTCTCATTTCCTGGATGTATGAAAGAGAATTTCATTGTTTTGTTTTGCTTTTCCCTGAATCATTGACAGTCTTTTTCCAGTAACCCACCCAACAGAGTGTGCGGTTAACTATCTGGACAGAGCACTGCTAATTCCACTGTTTTCTCAGGAGGATGATGTCATTGTGGAGGAATCGTCTCTCTCTGCTTCAGAAGGGGAGATCGATGGAGAGATTGAAGGAGACGTAAGCGAGGATGATATCAGAGAGCTGAGGGCACGGCGCCACGCTCTCACACACAAGCTGGCACAACAGCAGAAACGCAGGGACAAGATTCAGGTATCTCAAGATGCTATCTTCTTTATATATACACATTGTCTACTTCTAATGTTAGTCAGTGTTTCTTGCACCAGAATAGATCAAGCTAATGAATTAGAGCTGACAAATTGTCTGTTTCTGTCCTCCAGGCTGTTCTGCAGATGGGTGGGCAGCTGGAGATTGAGATCAGGCCATTCTATCTGGTCCCTGACACAAACGGCTTCATAGATCATCTGGAGGGCCTGAGGAAGCTTCTGGCCTGTGGGACGTACATTCTGGTTGTGCCTCTTATCGGTGAGACCCTCTTTGATCATTAAAATGCACGGAAATGTTGTGCTCTTCCTTTCTGTCTAATGTTTCTGTTTTTGTGACAGTGATCACAGAGTTGGACGGTCTGGCTAAAGGGCAGGACAGTCGTGAGGGGATCAGTAATGGTGCCCATGCCCGACAGGTGCAGGAGAGAGCCAGAGCAGCGGTCATGTGTCTAGAGAAAGCCTTCGAGTCTAAAGATCCCTGCATCAGAGCGCTCACCAGCCGAGGAAACACACTGGAGTCCATCGCCTTCCGCAGTGAGGACACCTCTGGACAAAAGGTCTGCGTTTCTTCCACTTTGTGAAAGCATGGTGGAGCTAATCTATAGGGGTGGGGGGAAAAATCAATTCTTAGATGCATCGCGATGCAGATGTGGACGATTCTGAATCGATTCACTAATGTCAAAAATCGATTTAAAAAAAAAAAAAACATTTGTAATATATATTTATAATAACGTAATACTGACGGAACGCAAAAGACGAAACTCTGAAGCGCGGAAGTGCAGTGCCGTCTGTGGCGTGCACATAACAGAGACGCGATGGCTGAGCGCGAAATCAAAACACCCTCCGCGTTAAAAGCTGACGTGTGGACATATTTTGGCTTCTATGAAGTTGAAGGGGGAAAGGAGCTGGACAAGAGCCACACTATTTGTAAGCTTTATAGAATAAAACTAAAATATTTCGGAAACATGATGAAGCCATATGACACATTTCCACCCAGAGGAGGAAAAACACTCGGCTGTAGGCTACCGGCAGTGGCGGTCTTAACATAGAGGCATAGGTAGGCGGCTGCTTGGGGCCCCCTACCAGCGGTCGTAGTAGGGGGGCCCCCCAACCAACCTCAAAAATATATATATAAAAGAAAAGAAAAAGCCCCTTATCATCATGAACGCTTCAAAGGCATAGTAAATGTTATTAATATTCTTAAGAAATACGTTGAAATGTTAAAGTAGTAGTTAAAATGTCCAGTTCATGGTTATCTGTCCCTACACATAACACCCCCTACTTTCGCAATAAAATGGACTAGTCCGAACGGCGCGCGGCGCGAAACCGCGAAAGATAAACATGACTGGAGGACTGGGAAGTACACAACGAAGCAAGACGAGTCTAAATGTGAAAATGAAACGAAGTTACCCAAGCGGCTCAAATAAAAGAAAAAAAAGACAAAAGACACCGATATGTATTTGGCAACGCTGCCAAAAATGACAAACTTTTTTACGCCTACTGTTGGGGACACATGCCGCTACAGCAGCAGCTGTGAAGTGACGCTAGTAGTTGAGGATAACGTGTAAGTTATAAAGTTACTGTTATACTGAAAGGGCAAAAGTAAATATGACATTTATTATGGGTTTATCTGATGATTGTTTTAAGTTCACGTAAATTAAAAGTTGTTATATATTTTTTGAAGCCTAACAAAATGTAAATTTTTTGGCTTTCAATTACACTGTAATTAGGGATGGGGCCGATCCGATCCAGTATCGGTATCGGGACCGATACCAGCGTAATTCACGTATCGGATTTTCCCGATCCAACCTGCGGAGATATCCAATGTCTGCGCTTTAACGTTGTCTGCTGAAATGACTCCAAAAGTGATTCCCGCCGGCTAGTCTGCTAGCTGGCTGCAAACTGTGGAATGGATTTCCTGAACGGAGGCGCGGCTCAATGAGACACAGAGTTATGAGACACGCCTCTGCTCAGGAAATCCATTCCGCAGTTTGCAGCCATCTAGCAGGAAAGCATTGAGCAGCATTATGTCCGCTGTGGAAATACTTTACACTGGAAACACTGCGGAGCAAGACAGAAAAAAGCAATGTTTGCAAAGCCGTAATTCAGAGAGGTGGAAGCTCCCTCGCATCGGTCAACACAACGAATCCAATCAAACATTTAAAAAAGCACCACGTTAAAGAGCACGAGGATTTTTTAGCCAGGGGGCAGAAAGACAACGGGAACCGTTTTATTGATAGAGAAAGTGCGTGCGTGTGTGTGTGTGTTGCACACTGAGTCCGAAATTCGCGTCCGATATTTTCGCACGTTAAAAAATAAATACGTCCTCACGTTATGTCAATCACGCTTGCACACTGCCACTGAAACTTTCTTCCGTCAAAAAAAAAAAATTTGAATCGGGTTCGATTTTCTGCGTTTTTCGCATCCGTAGCAAGCAGTTTGAATGGTGTTTTGACAATTCAGAGCCACCGAATCACGAATACGATTTCGGACTCAATGTGCAAGGGCCTTAAGATGTTTACAGTTATTGCACTTTTCCTATATTTCTAATATTTTACATTTTAAAACCTTGATTTGTTGATGCTACAAGAGCCAGTGTACTTGATTTGTGCTGTTCAGATGCACACTGTTTTATTGTTAGTGTGTCTGTAAGATGTTTACACTTGCACGTTTCTTATATTTCAAGACTCAAGTATTTGACATTTTGGGAATGTAATAAATATTGACATGACAATCAATTTGAAACCCTTACAGTTGCATATTTGATTTCAGAATGGGATTTTTCCTGTTAACAGGATTTCCTGTTTTTCTGACTTCCTTTTCTGACCTTATACTTACCTAAAGTTGCCTTTTGGGACATACATGCATACATACGTACATATCATACTTGCCTGTTGAGAGGAGTTTATTTCAGCATCATATAAAATCAACAACAAACAGCTCTGGTATCGGAATAGAATCGGTATCGCCCGATATCCAAATTCAGGTATCGGGATCGGATCGGAAGTGAAAAAATGTGGATCGGTGCATCCCTAACTGTAATGTTGGATGGCTGCTATAATTAATGTTTAAAATTAGGGGGAAAAAATCATTTTTACCCAGACATCAATAGCTGTTCATAAAAAGATGCCATTAAACAAGTATTTAAAATATACTGTCTTTATGTTGTCTCTACATTCATTTGTAGATTAACTGTGAAATTATTACATTATAAAATATATAAACTAATATAAACCTATAAAAATGTTTGTTTGTAGAATGTTTTAAATGTCAATCTCATGTGCAATGCCAATTGCAACCTCATACAAAGTCAATTATTCATCTTGGCAATATTTGCTAATATGGCTGTTTGTGGGGGTTTACCCTAACTATGTGTCTTGCTGGTTATATTGATATTGATTTGATCTTAAAAAAAGAATAAACAGTGCTGGGTTTCCTGGCATTTTGGCAAAGACAGGTATTATCTGAAACCTTATTCTCTGTTGGGGAAGGTTTTTTTTTTTCTCCTCTCCAACCTTTACTTCCCCGTAGATTAGCTTTTCCTAACATTCAGTCGGTAATTTTTTTTTTCCGTTCTCATAAAGATGGGATGGGGGGCCCCCATACGTACCTTCGCTTTGGGCCCCCAATTTGCTAAATCCGCCACTGGCTACCGGTCGTTGTTATATTATTAATTTACTACAAGTATGCTGCTAGGTCAGGCACACATTTATTTTCCTGTTGGTTCTTTGCAATGTTAATAAAAATATATTGTATGTTAATTCTTTATGGGTCATTACTTTGTACTTTTAAAGCAAAGTATTTATAGTCACACACACACACACACACACACACACACACACACACACACACACACACACACAAAAAGATTCAGATAATCGATAATCGCTTTAGCATCGAATCGGAGCCCTCTGAATCGTAATCGAATCGAATCGTGAGGTGCCTAGAGATTCCCACCCCTACTAATCTACAATCTTTGGTTCAAACCTCAGTTCTATTCAATTTCTTCTTTCCTTATTGTTTTATTTTCATCTAAACCACTGTAAGTTTGCCATCAAGGTGAGGTGTCATCAGTAGTGGTTCAGCTAAATTTAAAAATATATTTTTTAGCCTATATGTTTAAATATGTATTTGCTCTGAAATAGCATTTTATTTTATATTATTTTATTACAGTTGGGAAAATATTTTAAAAGTTATTTTAAGTTCACAATATTACTGTATTTTGATCAAATAAATGCAGTCTTGGTGAGCATAAGAGACTTCTTTCAAAAACATTAAAGAAAAACACTGACCCCAAACTTTTGAACTGTAGTGTATATGCACCAGTATAACAATACATAGTAATAATTTTTACCAGAATCATTTTTGTTGAGTTCTGCGATGAGACAAATGAATTGTTGAATTAGAGTTTTGAATCGATTTAAGCACGCAGTTCAAACTGATTCAGACACGGAACTGAACTTAACTCTATAGCTACTTTTGATGCTGAAGGTCAACTCATCAGTGCTCTTTATTTTAGTTGAGTTTTTTATTAGTTAAGGAAAGCATCATTTTGATTAAGAGATTGTCCTAAAAAAATCTGTCTTAACACTCTCATATAAGTCACAAGACAAGGAGAGACTGCATAATTAGTCTAACGGTGGTCTTCAGGGAATGTAACATTCAGACACAGTTCTGTGGTTCGGAAAACGTTTTCATGTCAACCTGCAACTCTAGTGTGGAAAAACCCCTTTAGAGGTTCATTTTAAAGTTCACAAATGCACATGGGACTATAAAGTCTATTTTAAAGCCACCCACTCATTGTCCATTTCTTTCCATCTTTCCCCAGGGCAACAACGATGATGTCATCCTGTCCTGCTGTCTCCACTACTGTCAGGACAAAGCCAAGGACTTCATGCCTGTGGAGAGAAGTCAGTTCACTTATTTGTACTTGTTAGGGGCCGTTAGCATTGTCATTTTCCACTAGATATTTTCCTCTAGATCTCATCAGCAATTCGCGATGCCGGCTCAACATCGTGATGTCTGTCAGCCATCGTCTATCGGCCCAACCCTAGTTAGTCTTCCATATTCGTATTGCGATAACTAGCTGAATGCACATTATCCTTCTTATTACATGACTACCTGCCATTTAAGTAAATAAATTGACTCAAAATGTTGATTTAATTTGATATTTTATTAGCTCATTAAACACAAAGCTTTCACGAAGTACAGGTCTTAGCAAGTTCTTATCAGTTCGGCTGCCACATCATCAAGCTCCGTCAAAGAACGTCTCAATTTAAAGGATCCTTTGAAGCCAGCCATCGTTTCGCGTCCTTTTGAAGGATACATTAAGTGTTTTTTCAATATCGCACATATCCTATCGGAATGTCACGACTAACCAATCAGATTTAAGCATTTCAGAGAGCATGTAATAAACATAAACACCTTAAAAGCATCCTGTTTATAAAAGCAAGAATACTTTCTATACAAATGATCTTTGAATTTGTTTGTTTCTTTGCATTTCTTCTTCCTGGCTGACCAGTTTTGTATTCTCCACCAGATGGGCCGGTGCGGTTGCGCAGGGAGGTGGTCTTGCTCACGGACGACCGCAACCTACGAGTCAAAGCTCTCACACGCAACGTTCCGGTCCGAGACATCCCCGCCTTCCTGATCTGGGCTAAAGTAGGCTGAACCGCAGACCTGACCTACTGCTGTACAAACCAATCATCCTCCACTGAGGAAATGATGTCACAGAGAGAGGATGAATATAAAGGGGAAAGATACAAGTTTTTTTGTCGAACCGACAAAAAAAAAGAGCAGAGTGACACATCAAGCTACTTTAACAAGAAAGAATGGAGGATTTCCCCCTTAAAACGCAGCGTGCATAGACAACCGCTTACTTCGGACATGGTTGGAGAGGTTGAACGCAGCTTAGCTGATTCAGGGGGGTTGATGATTAAAGCGATGAAATGCTGTATGAAGAGGAAGCAGGCGAGGTGTACCTGTGTGAGCAAGAGAACCCAGCATCAGCTGCTCTGCTGTTTAGAGTGTCAGCTTGTAGTGTTTGTGTGGAGTCACACGCAGGCGGATGAGCTCATTCCAGCGCTTCCGTCTCTCTCAAAGGGCCTGTGATGAGGTGAGCGCTCCAGTAGGGGGCGGCGTGAGGCGGTCTCGCGTTCCTGCTCTGTGGCCCAAGTGGCCCTGATTGCGTTTTCTTTGCCTCCGGTGCATGCTTGGTTTGCTCTAAGCATGATTCTGATTTTTACTTGCGTATTTAAGTTTGCATTGCATTTTTGACTTTGGTTTTGACAGTGTCAGGTTCTTGTTTTCATTTAGGTCACATGGTTTTGTTGTAATACACTCGTAACTGTCTGATATTCTGTAGTTGCTGTATGGAAGCATCAAGTCAGAAATTGAATTTTGGATTGTGACATCTGTATTCCTATGTCAAGTAAATACTGATGTTATGAATCTGTCATGACAGTAGTTTTAATACAAACTAATCAATTCTACTTTTTTGAGGAAAATTAGGCTTTGCTGAAAATTATTCACATGGTGTATCTGTCTCTGAATAAATGGAACATAAAATCTACAATTTTGAGGTAGAGCAAAACAGAACAGCACAGTTTTGTTTCCTCTCTTATAAAGAAATGGAAAATACATGGACAACTTGGGTGAGCTGTGAAGTGGGTTATTTATATACTGCTGTCACCACCATCAAAGAAAAACACAATGGATGCTGTTTAGTTGTCATTGTTGAAATTTTTGTGCAAATTATTTTCATGCCTGTATTTGAGTGGATCGTCTGTGCTGGTGTTTTAGTGTGGTTATTATTTTTCTTTCCCAAAACTGAAGTATTACAGTTCTAATGGGACCTGGTATGTCATCTTGTTAGAGCCTGTTTGTTTTAATGGTCAAATATCATACTCGCATTTCTGTTCTGTGGTAACAAAAAGCCATGTTTGGCTTTAAGCAGCATCTGGATTAATCACCTCTGGCCACAAGTCTTCCTGATTTGTTTTTAATGTTGTGGATTGAATTAAAATTTCTGCGTTTATCATTTGTGTCGTCACTTTTTCATACTGATTACAGGTATAACGTCTTAATGACTTCTAAGAGCTTTATTTCCACAGAGCATTGTTTCCAAGGTGTTTTTTTTCAGTACAGGTAGTGAGCATTCATGTAATGTGTCAGTTATCAAAACGATGTCATTCCTTTTTCACTGTCAAAGTCAAGCACATGCCAATGGAGTGCCAACATTTTTTTATTAATTCAATTTCATAATGCATACATTAAATTCTTGGTAAATCTGCAAAGTACAAACATTAAATTGAATTAGACGGAAAATCTGTGCAAACTGTTTAGACTTCAGAAACATCATCAAATATAACATCATGAACCAAACTGGCCTGCAGAGTAAGTACAAAAAAGATTCTGTACAACGTTTTTTCTGGAAAGAATAATAAAATGGTCCTATATATGTTTGGTTTTTAAATTCCAGTAATACATTACATATTCATGAGGGAGTAAGTGATTGATTAGTGAGTTATTTGATATTAAAATGATTATTTTTGGCATAATTTGGTCCTATAAAAATGTTTATAAAGACGATCATGTCCTCATTCAAATACCACATGACCTCCAGCAGATGCAGCAGCCTATCAGTAATTACATTTGACGTTGTTCTGCAGAAATGCTATCGAGGGGTCATAATTGAATTGGTGTTTTCAATACTTTGCTTTTCAATACTTTTTATATTAACATGCAATAACATAAATAAAACAATTCTGAAAAACTATAATAAAAAAAACAATATAGCAACCGTTCACTACAAACACGATTCAATGCCTTCCATGATCATCAACTCTGAAATGAGTTTTATGGGCTGTTTTCAAAGTATAAACACAAATCTTGAGATATGCATGTATTTCAGTCACATAAGAGCTTCCTTATGAGGTCACGTTTCTCCAGGAATACATGAAGACGGTGCATCTGTAAACAGACCTCACTGAACTCCTCCCACTTACAGAACAGCAGAAACAAAACTATGCAAACAAAAAACTGTACACCAAGATTACACATTCATGTGGAGTAAAAACTTCAGCCGTCTTCAAACTTTAATTAAGGAAATCCTGTCAAAACTCCACATGATACTATTTGCTAGAATTCATTTTTCCATGTTTAACGTCTTGGCCTGAGTTCCTTCTGTCATAAACAACTGAGCTGCATGTGCTACACAACCTAGAAATGAAGTGTGCTTTAATGTCACGATTCACACAATCTGCTGCAAAATCTAGCCCTCAAACAAAGGCACAAAGCTGATAGTATAATGCTGATGGGCTTGAGGTTTGAAAAAGTGTTAATGAATGGGTAGAGGACCTAAAAGTTGTTGGATACCACTGAATACTACATTAAGTTTCCCACAAATAGAGGACATTAATGTAAAGATCTAAAAGGAAAGTATTGCACCTTCTGAATTATGTCAAAAAATACTTAACTAGAACTCATACATTAGTTGAGGTTGATGCTTCCGTGTAGTGAATTTTACTCAACGGAGGAACACTTTCTTATCAAATAATGCACTTACATGTTAATTCAGATCAGTTAACATCTGCAGCTGACAAAAGTGCATCTTGGGTAGAAACACCTGCCAAACTTTTTTGGTCTAAAAAAAAGTAGTAATCCCAGAGATTAACCAGTATAAATACATTATATATTGGACAGACAAAACCCTAGGTCATCTTAAGGTGTTTTGATCAAATAAATGTGCATTTCAGAAGAAAGAAAATGTGTTAGACACCATGCAATAAAACCTGGTGAAAGAGTCGTTGAGTTCAGTCGGTGCGAAGAACTTGAGAGTCTGTGCGGATATGAACGCAGGTTAAATAAATCCACCGCAGCGATGTGCTGCTGGTCATTTCCATAGAGATGAGAAGATGATGCTGCTAACCTTAAGGCATTATATCTGAGGGCTATGCGGTCTTTCACACGAGGTCTTAGAACAAGAGGATCCTTAAGAGAGGAAAAATAATCCTGGTGCCATTCCATGGTCCTGTAAGGAGAGAGAAACCAAACTTGTGTAAGAATAAACAAACACTGGAAATATCCATTCTCTGAATATGCAGAGGGAACGCAAGTATCCATTTGGCAAACACTTTGATCCACCTATCAAAAAAATCATGTACATGTACAGGTGAAACGCGAAAAATTTGAATATCGTGCAAAAGTTCCTTTATTTCAGCAATTCAACTTAAAATGTGAAACTAATATATTATATAGACTCATTACATGCAAAGGGAGATATTTCAAGCCTTTATTTGTTATATTTTTGATGATTATGGCTTACAGCTATGAAAAAAAAAATTCAAAAATGATTCGCCACTTTTTCGAAAGTGAATCGATACTTTTTAGAAAAAGAATCGCTACTTTGTCAAAAAGAATCAATACTTTTTTCAAAAAAGAATCGCTACTTCAAAAAGAATCACTACTTTTTCGTAGGCTACTATTACACAGGAGCCTAAACTCTGAGAAAACGATAACGTTCAGCGCTCCAGAATAAAATATAATATTCAGAATTAAACAGTGTAGCTGACTTACAGATTCAATTAAATCGCTACTTTTTCGAAAGTGAATCGCTACTTTTTCAAAAAGAATCGCTACTTTTTCTGAAGTGAATCGCTACTTTTTCAAAAATGAATCGCTACTTTTTCGAAAGTGAATCGATATTTTTTCGAAAGTGAATCGCTACTATTTCAAAACTGAATCGCTACTTTTTCAAAAATGAATCGCTACTTTTTCGAAAGTGAATTGCTACTTTTTCAAAAAAAAATTGCTACTTTTTCATTGTTCTATACATAGTTTTTAAACTATGTATAGTAACATTGTAAAAAAATTGTAATTACATTGTAATAAACGTATAAATACATTGTATTAAATGTATAATTACATTGTAATAAATGTAGAATAAGACTAACAAATGTATAATTACATTGTAATAAATGTAGAATAAGACTAACAAATGTATAATTACATTTTTTACACTAGTTTTTTCAAAAAGAATAATGTAACAAAATAATGTAACAAATGTATAATAACATTTATTACAATGTAATTACACATTTATTACAGCGTTATTATACATTTATTACAATGTAATTATACGTTTATTACAATGTATAATAACGCTGTAATAAATGTGTAATTAAATTGTAATAAATGTATAAGACAGTAACAATGTATAGTTACATTTTTTACACTATTTTCAAAAAGAATCGCTACTTTTTCAAAAAGAATAATGTAACAAAATAATAATGTAACAAATGTTTAATAATAATAATAATGTAACAAATGTATAATAATAATAAAACAAATGTATAATTACATTGTAATAAACGTATAATTACATTGTAATAAACGTATAATTACATTGTAATAAACGTATAATTACATTGTAATAAATGTATAATAACGCTGTAATAAATGTATAAGACAGTAACAATGTATAATTACACTGTAATAAATGTATAAGACAGTAACAATGTATAATTACATTTTTTACACTATTTTCAAAAAGAATCGCTACTTTTTCAAAAATAATAATGTAACAAAATAATAATGTAACAAATGTTTAATAATAATAATAATGTAACAAATGTATAATAATAATACAAATGTATAATAACACTGTAATAAACGTATAATAACACTGTAATAAACGTATAATAACACTGTAATAAACATATAATAACACTAATAAACGTATAATAACGCTGTAATAAACACATAATAACACTGTAATAAACGCTTAATAACACTGTAATAAACGTATAATAACACTGTAATAAACGTATAATAACACTGTAATAAACCTATTACATTGTAATAAATGTATAATAACGCTGTAATAAATGTATAAGACAGTAACAATGTATAATTACTTTTTACACTTTTCAAAAAGAATCGCTACTTTTTCAAAAATAATAATGTAACAAAATAATAATGTAACAAATGTATAATAATAAAACAAATGTATAATAACACTAATAAACGTATAATTACACTGTAATAAACGTATAACTACACTGTAATAAACATATAACTACAATGTAATAAACAAATAACTACACTGTAATAAACGTATAACTACACTGTAATAAATGTATAATAACACTAATAAATGTATAATAACACTGTAATAAACGTATAATTACACTGTAATAAATGTATAATAACACTGTAATAAATGTATCATTACACTGTAATAAATGTATAATTACACTGTAATAAATGTATAATAACACTGTAATAAATGTATCATTACACTGTAATAAATGTATCATTACACTGTAATAAATGTATAATTACACTGTAATAAATGTATAATAACACTGTAATAAATGTATCATTACACTGTAATAAATGTATAATAACACTGTAATAAATGTATAATTACACTGTAATAAATGTATAATAACACTGTAATAAATGTATAATTACACTGTAATAAATGTATAATAACACTGTAATAAATGTATCATTACACTGTAATAAATGTATAATAACACTGTAATAAATGTATAATTACACTAATAAACATATAATTACATTGTAATAAATGTATAACAACCTTGAAAAGAATCACTACATTCTTTTAAAAGAATCGCTACTTTTTTACTTCAGAAGTAAACAGTGTAGCTGACTTAATGTTTAGCTGACAGAAAGTTTATTTTTAAACCACAATTTTTAAACCACAATTTTTAAACCACAACCCTCTCTAATGTCAGAATGTTTATTTTTAAACCAGAACTTCAATGTGTGCTTCTTTACAGATATATTTAAGGATATCTTTTGCATGTCTAATCCAAACAATGTCAAACTCGGCACTGCACTTACTTGTGCCCGCAGCAAGACACCTGTCAAGTTTGAAATCCATCGGACAAACGGTTCGAAAGATATTCGAATAACAGACAGACAGAAAGACAAACGTTCCTGTAATTTATAGATGGACTAGTGCAATGCCCGTGCAAAATCAGTTTTTGTGTGTTTTTAGTAATTGTTGGTTTGGTATGTTTGAGTTGCTGAATAGCCTAGGCTACTATTAGGCAGGAGCCTAAACTCTGAGAAAACGATAACGTTAAGCGTTAAAACACTGATTCAAAGCTACAAGACTCTTACCCAAATCTTAGGGGCCCGTGTACACGAATACTAAAAAATTATTTTCAACTAAAAACAGAAAACTTTGTTGGGCTTAAAAAAAGCTAACTTTTTAAAACGGGTTTCAAAGTGCACGTTTTTGAAAAAGATACCGTATTCATCTCAGCGTAAACTACAAAAACGCTAATTTGTGAAAACGGTGACGTCATGCGCATGTGTGTTCAGTCTATAGGCATGTAGGGTTTCTTTACAAAGTGACATCACCAACTACTGGCCTGGCATTAATAATAGAGTTTTTAGTTGTTTCCACAGATCCATGTGAACAGGGATCATTTTAACAATGCTGTTGTCTGTACATGAAAAACGCAAAGGAAAAACCTTTTCTGCTTTTAGAACATTGTTTTCGTGTAACTGTACCCTTAACCACTACAACACATCACCCCAAAGAAAATCCCCATTCAACCTAAAACCTAAAGCAAAGTCTTACCTGATTAGGACTCATTCTCCATGGTAACAGAAACAGGCTGACATACCTCTGGAAGACAATTCCACACCGATCAGTTTCATAAATGCATACATTTCCCTCACATTTATCAACTGCATTAGGGAGCAAACTGGTGTACATTAAGGAGCAGTGTGTCTCCATTAAAGCTTCAGAGAAATCATTAGACTTTTAACAATATCTAGTGATAAAAAACCCACCATATTTCACAATGTTCTCTAGCAATATAAAGGGTGTAAAAGCTTCGCCGTGACGTACCTATGTTTGCAGGACTGCCGTCTTTCTGCTCCTCGGAGTGCGTATCGTTGCCAAGGAGATGATTCTGTGACTCACTCAGAGGTCTGGGGTTTGTCTGTCCATCAACAGTGCTGTTACCATAACAACCATTATATGTCAGTCACAAGCACTTATGGAGACTTCCACTGCTCCAAAATAAACCTCACCCTGGATTATATTTTTACTATTAACAGTGCCGCTCTGAAGACATTTCTGGGAAAACAGACTTCTAGAATGTCTGAGATTAAAAGAGAATGCACATAAAGGGAAAAATAATCATGGTTTAATTTGTTCTCATGACGAACTGCAGAATTATACTGCCATTCAAATGACTAGAGGAATTGTAAACATAGTAGATTGTAATTACCATTTAATGGCCTGGTGTTCAACATTGCCTTGCTCTGAGTCAACGTTGACTAGGCGAGTAGGGAATGTGTAGCCATCGCCTAAACTAGAGAGGAAAAAACAGCTACTCATGCAACCATAACTTGCCACACAACACTGAATGGTTTCTCATGAGGGTGTTTATAATCTTACAATTAACATTAAACTTAAATTATCATTTACTTTCTTAATACACATTTCTGTATCTAATTATGAATGATTTATTGGTGCATTTTATTAATAAAAAAAAAGTTACCTGCTGTAAATGGGTATGCACCAACATAGCTTCTGGTCCCCAAACACCTGGGTGATATTCTTACGGAAGCCCAGAGTGAAGCCATTTTTATCTGGACCATTTCTGAACACCGGTGCCCTGAACGCCTCTGAAACAAAGGATGAGAGATTAGAATGAGGTCTGTTCCTGTTCTCAACAAATGACATCCTGTACTTTTGAACAAACTTTGGGAGGAGTATCAAACTTCATTGTAAAAAAAAGTTTTGGGGGGTTTTTTGTCTTGAAGTTTACCTAAACATTCTTCATAAGCACGCTCACAATCCAATTGCCCACATTCATTTACATATGACTTTTATGAGCAAAGTTTTATTTGTTGTCTGAACATGTGACTACATTTTCCCTCAGTAAAAGATAATGATGCAAAATCGGTCACAATATGTAACTAAGAGATAGGAGGACTAGCAGGTCAAAGAGTGACAGGGAAAGCAAAATATGAACCTGGACAGGAATACAATGAGGAAGTAATTAGAAACTAAAGAAGCAATAACTGTATTTACTGCATTTAGTGTTTGCAGTGAAGCGAAAGAAAAAAACAATCGCAATGTAATAAACAAATATTAAACAGCTTATGATAAGGAGATGCAAGTAATAATAATAATTTAATAGCTAAAGATGAACTAAACTAAAAAAACATGACATAAAAATAACATTTCAACGGTTGCAGGTTAATTAAACTTTAGATGTGAAGGATTAAGAAGCAGGAGGAGGAGAGGAAGAAAAAGGAGGAGGAGAAGGAGGAGCATGAGCAGGAGAAGAAGAAGAAAGAAGAAGATGCAGCAGCAGGAGGAGGAAGAGGAGGAGAAGGAGAGGGACAAAAAGGAGGAGGAAGAGAAGAAAAAAAGAAGGAGAAGCAGCAGCAGGATGAGGAGAGGGAGAAAAGGAGGAGTAGGAGGAGAAAAGAAGAGAAGGAGAGGAAGAGAAAGAAGCAGGAGGAGAAGAAAGAGATGAAGAAAGAAAAGAAGGAGAAAAAGCAGCAGAAGGAGGAGAAGAGGGAGAAGCAGAAGTAGAAAGAGCAGGAAAAAGGAGAAGGAAGAGGAGAAGCAGGAGGAGGAAAGAAGAGGAGAAGAAGAATAAGAAGAAGGGGAGGGGAGGAAGAAGATGAAGGAAGAGGAGGAGAAAAAGTAATTAAAAAAATATATAAAAAAGGAAGAGGAAGAAAAAGATGCAGGCAATACTAATATCTTACCTATAGTGGTTCTGTTTTTTCCCACCAGCCACAGATGGTAGCTGAAGAGTGACAGGATACTGATGAAGAACATGGCCGCCACAAAGAACAGGAACAACACATGGAACTTTGCATGAGTGTCTGGCAGATGATTCTGTCGAGTGAGAAAGTAGAAAGTGAGACAATGAAGAAAAAAAAAAACATTAAGTATCCCAATTTAGTTTGTAGATCAGCATTTCATTACACTACAAAGGCATATTCAGGCAAGACCCTCGCTCACAGGTCATTGTAAGGTACGATTTTTTTAAATGTGAAGTGTGACATTTTTTAGAATCAGTAAACGAAGTAAACAAAATAAAAGAAACTCGGGAAAATATAGTCCCGCCCCAAACTCACACCACTGGTTGAGCCAATGTTGCTGTGAAAAAAATATTTTAACCTTCAAAAAAAAAAAAAAAAAAAAATCACACATCACCTTTAAAATTGTGAGATGCCCAAAATCGTTTACTGCCATTAGATGTAGTTGCAGAGCTCAAGAAAGCCTGTTCATCTAACTGCGTCAACACTAACGTCCATGTCTGGTAAGAGCTGATTGCTGTGCCTCTAAAAAGCGTCTGTGTAATTTAATATGCGAAACTGCACTCTGTATAGCAACACTACTGGTTATTTTCATCAGTAAAAGAATGCAAAGCAAAATGATTCAACAAAATAAACGGCAACAGTCAAAACAGTGGAAAGCACGCGTGAGTGGTTTACCTCCGGGCAATGCTCTATAGCCCTCCGTCTGCAAAGCTTCAGACAAAGTGTTAAAAACAGACAGAATGTTAGAAGCAGACACATTTTCTTCCATCTTTCTGTGTCTCAAAAACAAACATTAACACAAAGGTGCTCGCGTAGCATTTAAGAATATTAAAAAAGTTTTAGTGAAAAAAAAAAGATATATATTATATTATTATACTGGTGCATATAAATGAACACATAGTATATGCTACTGTTCAAAAGTTTGGGGTTTATAAAAACATTGTTTTTAAAAGAAGTAATGCTCAGCAAGGCTGCATTTATTTGATCAAAAAGTAATTTAAAACAACAATATTGTGAAATAAGATAATCTCTCTCTTTTTAGCTATGAGAAAGAACCATATTCATCAGCAGAGTCACTAAAATCCAAAGCATCAACCAAAACAATGTTCTTCCGCAAAATGCATGCAGTTTTGTTTTTTAACAGCTAGAGCGCCGAAAGATACAGTGTACCTTTAGAGTGTTCACACTTGGCATGTTTGGTTCGATTAAAACAAACCCTGGTGCGATTGCTCTGTTAGTGCGGTTCATTTGAATAAGTGTGAACCAGAACTGGTGTGCTACAAACAAGCAGACCGAGACCGCTGAAAAGATGGGTCACGGTCTGCTTCCAAACGAACTCTGGTGTGGTTCGAATGAAATATGAATGTAACACGGACCAAAGACATGTAAACGAACCAAAAATGGGACATTATGTCACAAGATGCGACCCTAAAAAGGACAGAATGTATACCTGTTTTTTTCTCATTTATCATTTGTAGGCTATGCACATACAACGAGCGCATTTCACCCAGCACACAGCATTGTTTTGGATGTTCGATAAGTTCCGTTGTGAAATATATGTAATAAAAGCCGACCAATCAGGTTATGAACATATCCTCATGCGTTTAGGTTCATTGTTAAAATGCCAATGTGGACACTAAGCAGACCAGGACTAAAACCTAAAAAAAAAAAAAATGTCCAGGACTGAAAAAAAAGTTTTACACGAACTACAAGTGTGAACACACCCTTAAACTCAAATCAATGTTTATTTATAATAAATAATTTATAATAATACTTATTTATTTAGCATGTAGATATGTAATTAAGCAGGATTTAATGAAGTAAATAAATCTAAAATAATAGAATAAACCCCAAAAGGGCAATTACTTCATTAATCTTTGTGATATTACCACCTGACTGTACATGATTGTTTCACATAATTGTTTAGGTTATCTGCAATTAATTTTCATGCATACAGAAAAACAGATAGATAGAGATAGAGACACGCTGAGGTTGGCGCTCCGAAATAGCACAAGGTGAGAAGCGAGAAGTGTGAGAAATGAGAGGAATCAGATGTCTTTGTGTGAATGTGTGGACTTACTGTCCAGAACTGGATAAAGTACTGCAAAACTGTGGCGGCGATGTAGACGCAGTACAGCATAGAGTATGCCAGGAACAGCACAAAGAACTTGTAGTTGGAGAATCCAACACAGTTATTAACCCTGAAAGACAGCAAAGAGTCATTACCTCAAGCACAACAGTGACAGCTAATGTGACAACATAACTTTAGGTAAAAAACTGATTGCAGCTCCAGATGCACGTACCATGGACAGTGGTGATCCATTTTCAGCACACATCTGGGAAAAACAAAAAGGATCCAAATAAAATGTGCAAATCCAAGACATACAAGATAACTATGGCTGCATCCGAAACGGCATACTTCCCTACTATATAGCAGGCGATAAACAGTATGTGACCAAACCAAATATGTTAGAATTCACAGTATTCATATAAAACATTTTTTTTTAAAGTAGCCAAAAAGTACCCGGATGACCTACTACTTCTGGCAAGATTCTGAAGTGTGCATACAATGGACACTTTACTATCCCATGAGGCCATGGGAAAGGATTTATGAATGACAGTGAAGTGATGCAACTGACGCTGGTAGGTCATGTGATAAGGACAACATGGCGAATGTAGTATGTCCAGATTACATTCATACTACATACAAAATACTTTTTTTTAAGCGGTCATGAAGTAATTAAGTGCCAAATCACAGTATGTGATTTCCGACGTAGAGTATGTTTTTTGGATGGACTCACTTGTCGCAGGTAGAGCAGTGATGACATCTGTCTGGTTTGATCAGCTGACAGCGATCACAGTAACGGATAGCTGAGGAGGGAAGAGGATTTATAATTCAGAATCAATTCATAACTCCGAACTGTATGTCACTAGTATATAGATGTATAGATACCAAACCATTCAAAAGTTTGAGGTCAGTAAAGTCAGTAGTTCATTTTTAAAGAAATTATTTAAAGCTTTTATTTAGCAATGATGCATTAAACGGATCAAAAGTGACAGTAAAAACTGAATCAACCGTTTCCACAAAAATATTAACCAGCACAACTATGTGAAAGAGAACTGGTGGTAGTTGAGAAAATTCTTTTTTTCTGGAGCACGTCTCTAAACTTAAACAAAACTCACCGAATACTATTCACCCAGGCATGAACAATATGTCTTTATAATCATTTAAGTGTTTACTATTAAATTATCTAATTCAAAATGAAAACAAATATTCTCTGTTTATGTAATCTGTATGAAGAGAGAGATGTCAGTCGTTCTCATGGCAACTCATTATCTGCTAATGTGAACACGCCCACGGAGAGCGCATGCAAATGATCTGAGGCAATCCATGCAAACCTGTCAACGCCCACATCAACTCGATAAAAACACATCAAGTTTAATCAGATTCATGTACTTTACGTCATCTTGCGACGCTGTAAGGAATAATACTATCGTTATAATAATTTAATATTTAATAAAAATTTACCTCAGAAGTGCCGGTTTAGTTTCACTTCGAGGAGCAACGGATCCAGCAGAGGATTGTGAATTTTAAGTTCTTTATTCTTAAGTGCTTTGTTCAAATCGCGATATGGAATAGTGTCTGTAAACCGCAAAAGACAGGTTTCTGTGTGTGAATGAAGGAACGGCACAAATGCGCGCTGTTGTTTACAGGCACTTAGCCTACATTAGTAAATATGTTTTTTTACATGAACACATCTACTACTTTAGCTTTTACCAAACTATATTGCTATACAGAGATGAGTAAAAATCGACCGAAATATGTTGAAATAAAATGTCTTTGTATAAGCAACGTATTAAACTGCAAATTAACATTTATATGCCCAAATATAGGCTATCATAAAAACGATATGTTACAGACGAAATATGAGAGACAACATTTCGTTGACTAGTTTTGGATAGATAATAAAGTTTTTACTGTAAAATAGACTAACTGCCACATCAAATAAGCTTTTGTTCGCCAATTTCTGCTCATATGTTAAATATAGTGTGTTTTGTCAAAAAATAAAGTCATCAACTAATATGTCATTATAGTGTTTGTTCCAATGTAGGCTATATTCAAACTAATGAATCCTTAACTTTGAAATGCGTATGATAAAATGTATACTTTTTAAAAAGAAAGATTACACTTGAAATATTGTTAAAATTGTAATTGTTGTTGATTTACATGTGAAAACTGAATAAAATAGCAAAAAATATATTTACAAGGTAGCTGTAAACAAAATCTTAATAGGTCAATATAAGCTTTCTCATTAAATTATTTATTATTATGTTTTATTAGTGACACATTTGGGGAGAGGATATATTTCAAAACTTTCTGAAAATACAGTATGAGAATTAACTGCACAATTTACTAGAAATGTTTACCTTGGATATTATACAATTTGCATGCATACAAAATTTGTAAAAAAAATAAAATTAAAAAAAAGTATGTTTCCAACTCTAACTTTGAACCAGTTCTCAAGAATGGCCTATTTGAACAGGATTTGTTTCCAGGTATGACTATGTACTAAAAATGTGCTTTTGACTTTCATTTATATTTGGATTATTTGTTAGATTTCTTTTGTCCTCGTATTCTTTTTTGTGGTACCCTCTCAGTGACATACCTGACTGAAAGGCTCATTATGCGGCTCATTACGCAGGTCATTGTCTTCTCAGGTGTGAATCAGAGCATTATTCATGATCATTCACGCACCCACGCATATTGCCTTTCCAAACAAAAAGTGTCTTACAAAATTTAAATCAATATATTGTTTTATGTGAATGAATAGGCAGGATGATTATCAGATCATTTTGAAGCAAAAACTCTAGGCGACAACATCCATTAGTCGCACGGACACATATTTAGTATGCATTTAGTGGCCTTATTTCAGAAACTTTAATTTAAAAAATTTTCAATAACCATGATTCTCTCAAAAATACAAACATCTACATACATGTTGCTCACATATCATGGTAGCCCTGTTTGAGCTGAATAGAGTGTAATGACACCTTTGCCATTAATGGGTCTCATTCATGAAACACGAGAAGAACGAATTTTTGTGTAAATCGTGTGTAAAGTGGTTCTGGCGTAAATTTTCGGATTCATTAAAATGTTCGTATTTTCCAAATGTTAGTTGGTACGAAAGAAATCTACACCTGCTCCCAGCCACGCGTAAATAATGTGCTTAACACCCGAACGTTTTGCTCATTAATAAGGCTGCATTTAATTCACCTTAATCGGGTACATATTTGCACAGCATTTTGAAAAAATATTATATATAGTAATTACATATGGTTTTTCTTATTATGAGAGCCAGTAATAGCATCTGCGATGGTGGTCCTTCTCCAGTTTGAATACTATTTTTCCGAAGTGAACTAATTCGTTTTTTGCTCTCAAGCTTAATGTCGAACCATTTTCTTCTCACTTCTGGGAATGTTCGATTAACAGATGAAACTCCATTAACTGCATCTGTAATGCTGCCAAGCTTCCTTTTTTTTAGGACCTGATACGCCACTATGTACGCTTGAAAATAAAATGAAAATTTGAATGAACTTCTGATAATAAAACTTCAATTTCTGCATCTGAGAAATTGTTTTTTTCATTCGCATTCATGTCATAATATGATGACCATATATAGTTGTCAGTCGGATTTAATGGCCGGGATTTATGGTAAATGAGAATGAACGTGCACGCGCATCCCATTTACGACTGATTAGAATTCATTAACATACACACACATTTCACTATCACATCTGACGTTTACGAAGTATTTGTGAATCAGGAGAAGAGTTTTCGGGAAGGTCTCTTTACGCGCAAATCACTCGCATATTTACTCGTATATTTACGAATGTTTCATGAATGAGACCCAATATGTTTATATACAACTGAAAAAGGACAAATGTCAGGGCATGTCAAAACATCTCAAGGACCCCAAAAACACCTTAGACCCCAGTGGGTTATTAACTCTTTTTGAGGCCAAGCAAGTCACACGTAAGAAACAGTCGCGTGCTGTAGTGTTACAAAAATGTAATAAATGTTTAATTTAGATTCCAGTACAATAGTATATAAACTGAGAAAGTTGAGTAGACTGGATTCTGCCAATCCTGGTCTCTCTAATGTAAGTTAAATGAGTCAGATTACTGAGATTACCTAATGGCTCTTGGAGCTCCTGTCTCAGCAAGAGAGTCCTGCCAGTCTCGTTCTCGCGTCTCAGCGTTTGAATGGTTATGCTGATTGGATTGGGAGTGGGATCGCTCTCGGTCTAGGACAGGTTTCCTGAACTGGTATACTTCATTTACATGCTCTCCGCCCCTAAATGTATATATATTGTAAGGGAACGTTCCCTTAGTCAGACTTGTCTTGACGTTACTGCAGCTACCCACAGCTTGTGTTCTCAATAAAGAATCCTGCTGAAGATACAACCAAGTCTCCTGGGGCCTCATGTACAAAGACTTGCGTTGAATTCATACTAAAACATTGCGTACGGACAAAGCTGTAAATATGCGTACGCACAAAAAAAAGCAGATGTATGAATCTCTGCGTACGAAGGATCCCACGCATATTCTCTTTGTACATCCCAATTAACGTAAAATTGAGCGCACATGCACGAGCACAACGCCCCACCCAGTCTCCTCCCCCAATTAAATTAATTTAAATATGGTAATTATTAGTCCAATTTGGCAAAAGAAACCTGCAAGAACATGGCTAAAGCAAGCAAGAAACGAAATTTCACTGAAAATGTATTCTGTGTGAAAGTGTAATTTATTCCTGTGATCAAAGCTGTATTTTCAGCATCATTTCTCCAGTCTTCAGTGTCACATAATCCTTCAGAAATCATTCTAATATGATGATTTGATGATCAAGAAACATTTTTTTGTATTATCAGTGTTGAAAACAGGTGTGCTTCTGCTTCATATTTTCGTGGAAACCGTGATATAGTATTTTCAGGATACTTTAATGAATAAAAACTTAAATCAAACAGATATAGAAAACTTATAATCTTTTGTAACATTATAAATGCATTTACTCTCACTTTTAAACAAATTCAAACAAAAACAAATGTCCTTGCTGAATAAAAATATTACTTTTTTTTTTTATCTTTACTGACCGAATTAATGAAGTTTATTTTTTATTCCTAAGCCAACACTGCCATTGCTAGACGGGTTGTATCAATTTGCAAATGCTTTATATATGTTCTTACTTAATTGCATAATAGAATATTTTAATAAGACTCGTGTGACAATAATATGTCAAATAATTTATCAATTACAAATTATAAGCAATATCTGACAGCTGGCGGTGCGATAGAACAATTCGTAGTGTAATGTTTGCCACTTCACTTTATTGCCTCTATGAGTCGCCAATAACGGACAAAAATCACGACAAATGTACGTACGCCAGACATGAAGTTGGAGGAACGCACATTCTTAAGTTAATTTCACTGTTAGTACATCTGGCCGAGTACGTGAAAGCTGACGTACGCCGTGTTTATGTGCGTACGCAGTGTTGATACATGAGGCCCCTGGTCTTCACTTCTGAGTTTCCTACACTTTAGAAGGAAAGGTTCACAACAGTGCCCAGTCTATTCTCTGCTATATGCGTCGACCTAAAATTAAAAATGTTTGCAACTTTTTTTAAGGAGCGTATCACAAGCCGTCGCGATATACAAATTGCGATATTTACATTTGCATTATTGCGATATATTGTGCAGCCCAAGAGACTTCATTCAAAAACATTTTACGACTCCAAATTTTTTAACAATTGTGTAGACAACCAATCACACTTCAGTATGCAAATAGATACAGTGGAGTACAAAAGTCTGACATAGCCAGCATTTAATAATTATCACATTTTATCAGAATAACAATTTGAGTAAAAAGTTGAAGCAAACTTTAAAACTACACATTTCTAAAGTTAACATTTATAAAAACAAAAAAAAACAATGTTTGGAGTTGAATTAACTGCAGAACATTTTAAAGAAGAAGTACAAGGGATTTCAATGCTGATGTATTTTTTTTAAGCTCACCCCCAGATCCTGTGCGTGTATATACGGGTAAATCTCTGGCCACTCTTTTCAGGATTTCCTGTTGGGCCTCTGGTCTCTCCTCTTTCTCATACAGCTCTTTCTCAGCCTTAGGGAGACAGAACTAAGAGAGACAACAGAATGTAAGATTGTGAGTGCGAATAGACTAATATGAATCTGCATATCCAACCAAAATCAACCAGAAACTTTCAAATAACTTTTAAATATTATTAAATTCGTAATACTATTTTTGCCATCTTTATTGGCAAGATAGATACATGACAAGAAATTATTTGACTTGCACTTTCCAAATGAGCTCAGTGTGTTAGAGCATGTGTGCTAACTGCTAAACCACGCCACGCACCCCACAGGCAGTAAAAAATGCAAAAACATCATTTTTTGGGCTTTCTTCCTCTTCTCTTCTCTGTCATTACATTTTGCGGTAATAAAACTACAGAGCAGCCAGAGTTTAAAGGCTCCCTCTGCTGCTGCTCCTCATCCAGATGTGAGGAACATAACCACATACGCATTACAGTATGATAAATATTTTGCTCCCCCATGACCCAGGTGAAATGAGAACCCGAGAGCCTGGCAATAAGGCTTTATATGCACTTTCGGTCTTGTGAACTTACAATGGCTGCTACGTCTGAGGCTGAGACTAACATGATCTAGACCAGTGCAGTGTTATTTTAGTAAACTATTAAAATTTAATTTTAGTAATTCAACCTTCAAAGGCAACATATTTTAACATAATTTTAATTTTATTTTTTAGCATTATTTCATTTTTATAATTTTCTTTTAAGCAATAACAACACTGGACCAGTGATTCTCAACATATCGGTTCTGATTGGGTCCCAAATAAGACGGGGGGGAAACCAATGCTACAAGCAAATAATAAAATGCCTAACAACCACCAATAAAACCAAATAAAAATGGAAAAATAAATAGACGCTGCGCATCTATCAAACATTATATTAAACAGAGTTCTAAATTGTTCTTGACCTCAAAGCATTTTGCTACCAATTTCAACGATACTTTGATACAAATTCATCTGTCGGTCGATTGGTAGAAAGAATGAGTAGACATGAGGTGGCAACATGGACAGGTTGTACAGTACAACTTTCCCTCATTCTCAAAATCCAGAAACTGAACTACACAAAGTAAAATAAAATACAGGGCAGACTACATTAAACATTAAATATGATGTACTGTTGGGCAACCACTTGATCTCTAAACTTAAAGCAAGACCTGGGCCCTGAGGCAAAACTAGTAACGAGAACGAGAACAGAGAGACAAAGAGAGAGAGACAGTACCTCTTTTGAGGGGATGGCAGGTTTGGAAATGATGGTCTTCCAGTAGGACCATATGAACATGAAGAAACAGAGGTGAAACACTATCAGATAAAAAACTGCGAGAGAAACAGAATGAGGGGAATTTTAGAAAAACAAACGACAATTCATACTTACTTTCTAAACCAAAAAAAAAAAAATGCTGTTACTTCATAACAGAAATGGGATGTGTTGTTCATTCTGGTGTGACAAAACATGTGACTAAGAACAGTAGGAGGCCAGATTAGCCAACAGAAGAATTTGTTAACTGCTTTTGCAATATTGTGCACTTGGTTTCACTGGCGTTCCTCTTACCTTGCTCCTCTGTGTTAGTGATTGTATCTGCAGAGAGAAAGAAGCAAAGGTCAATCGGCAATCCCATCAAGAACAACTGGCCTGATTCACAAAGCCATCTGCTGAGTGCTGGGATACTGCTAATGCTCTCTCAGCTCCCAACCACCCAGTTCCCTTCAGTTAGGCCAGAGCGCCAGGCGACTGGTACTGCCATCTGGCAGAGTGCTGTCAGAGAGAGCCTTGTGTCCATCACGGATGGAGAACCCCGGTTGTCATGACGACTCAAGTGACTGACAGATAAATGTCGTGATGAAATCTTTTATTCATTAACTAATTATTTTCATTAAATACATGTATTTTTATTTCATTAGGCCTAAGTGTTTCAATAAATATTTTATTAATCAAAAAGTACTTCCAATGTCAAAGTATGTAGGAGGTTTAAATGTGCACAACATATTGAAAGTTTAATCATTTCCATTTTTTCCCACTTGGTTAATTTATGTCTCACGTCACTAGTGTTACATTGTGTTGTTATTTTATTAACCTATGATTTAATGTGAATCATATGAATGTCAATTCATCTTTTATGTGAATTTGTCACTGGTGTAGCAATCCTTGTTTCATTTGTGAAATAAAATAAGAAACGCAACAACAGAGCAAAAGTTAATTTGAGATTTTACTTGCAACTCTCCATCATAGAGTCATACCGTCAGATTTCTAAAAGGATTTACAAACCTTTATAGCAAAAAAGAGAGGGGAATCAATAAGGAAGGGTTTACAATATATCACTGCACTTTACTAGGGTAATAAATGGACCAGAACACACAATGAAGGGAGTATTTTTAGAAGCTGATGGGAAAGTAATAACTGGGTGGAACTACAGAGAGTGCAGCGATCACTGTGAAGTGGTTAACAACAGCTGCAGTTACAGCATATATGTTTTCAGTCATTTATGTTTCACACTTTATCTAAAAAAAAAAAAAAAATATTCACTTAAGGAGTACACCCTGAAAATCCAAAAACTATTACAGAATTTTCCTTCATTTTAAAAAAAAGAAAATGTAAGTAACTTTAAGTCTATTTAAGTAATTCGATAATTATGCATATACTATAATTATACAAAGACAGGAATTATTATGTATAGCATATCAATCATACCATGAAATTGCTGTCACTGTTTGACAAACTAAACAATCTATAAATCAGAAATCTTCCGAGGCATACCTCGATGAGATTGAAGTGAGCGTTATGTTACTGAAAATTGATAATATATTCGCAATTCTCTTCAGCACGTCAGCTTGTCAAATCAAGCCTCTCAATCAGTTTAACACCTGGGCTTAACGCTTGAGTTTGAATTAACACTGTGCATACAATAACTGAAATCAAACCAGTTCATTCATGGCTTTCGACGTGAATTATGCACATAAATAAATATTACTATACAAAGAAACCGAGCTGAATTTCGATCCATATCTGGTACCAGTCAGTTACTGTCACTTCCTGCCCTGACAACCGCTGCAACAACTAGCCATCAACTTTTATCTAACATTACAGTGTTACATTCAACCAAGTCTACTAGGGTCGAAACTTACATATACAGAGCTCCACCACGTAAGCGTAGTAGGACCAGCACACGACCAGGTTGATAAAAATCACAGGTATCCAGGATAAGCCCCGTTGACAGCATCTTACCGCCTGAGAGGGCGCCATCTTTAATCCGACCCTCGGAAAGGGTGTCGGTGACGTCACGGCACGAGCCTCGTCCGATCGACGAGCTCGGAGAAAAACAAAGAGCTGCTTAACACCAGCAGCAGCACATTAATGCCCCATTATCGTCCAATTAAGCGATAAGTATTTCATTTTTAAATCAATAACACAATAAACATTCAATTGTCCTCCCATATGTAGTTTTGTTTTATTATGTGACAATTCCGAGCCTTAGGAACCCAAATGAAATCAGCATTCACCTTTCTGCCACATCTAATCGCAGTTTATTTAAATTATTTTATTTTTTCAATGACGTGAGAGTTTAAACCCCTATTTATTGTGTTTTGCTGTGTGTGTAATATATACAATGCACGTACAGTGGTGTTTTCAGGGAAAAAAATTTGTGATTAATTCAGTTTTTTTTTTTAATTAAATATTTATTTAATTTATTACATTTATTTTTATTTTATAAAACAAATTAAAATATGTATCTTAATAGGCCTTCTTAAAAATTACGTTCAAAGTCAACATACTTATGGCTGTTTAATGTGCACTTTGAACGTTTATTAATTTGTATCACTTCACTTGGTTAGGCCTACATGTCATTGGTGTTACATTGTTGTTATTTTATTCAACTATGATCACTAGGCTACTTAAATTCATATTTTATGAGAATTCGTCACATCTCATGGCACATGAATTAAAAAATATAATGATGTGCATCTTGTATGAATAAATAATTTATATTCCATTAAAAAAAACAGAATTATCTATTTTGATATCATGGTGACTAGTCACCTTTATTATTATAAAGGGATAGTTCACCGATAAATAAAAATCCTGTCATCGTTTACTCACCCTCATGTTGTAGATAGTTGATGGCACCCATTGACTTCCATAGTAGAAAAAAAATACTATGGAAGTCAATGGGTGCCTTCAACTGTCTGGTTACCAACATTCTTCAAAATATCTTATTTTGTGTTCAACAGAAGAAAGAAACTCATATAGGTTTGGAACAACAATAGGGTGAGTAAATGATGGGAAAATTTAAGACTTAAACTTCAGACTTCCCTTATTAATCCTCAATGGGAAATTAGGTGTTACAGCAGCAACAACAGAAAAACAAAAATAGACAATACAGTCAATCATTAATCACAATAATCTGAATATTTATTAATTACAAGAACCATGCAATGAACTAATTAGCATAAAAACTAAAAAAAGAAAACACCTCAGTTCACTTGCCCACATAGGCTACACACTCAATACTCTCCCAATACCATCAAACAATGCCACTGCCACTCAATCCCTTAGTCCAAGCAAAACACTATTATTATTTAAAATAAGACATTTCAGTTAATAACTAAAAAAAAGTATAAAAGAAGTAGGCCTAATTATATATATTTGTAATTTTCCTGCAACTCGCCATCACGTCAGCAGAGGGAAGCAGAGCAGTAGTTTCAGCATCAGCACTGTTGGTCTCCCATTGAGACAGTGAAGAGGTGAGAGGACTTGAGCGTGGGACGCAAAAATCAATATTACAGTCTGGATGGATTTGAATCACCCAGCTAAATGTAATCTAGTTAATGAGTTAGACTGGATGTCCCAAGAGTCACCTTCATCAATGTGGTACTTTTCATTTGTGCTTAATTTGATTCATTGTCAGTTTTCTGGCTAGTGGGCTAGATAGTAACGGTTTATTTGTGAGTTTTATTAGATTCGTTTTCCACCCTGTGCCCTGTCCTGCAGGGTGAATTCCAACATTGATGCCAGATGTGGTTCATTTCTCTGAACTGTAGAAAACAGACTCCTCTGGTCCTCTCTTTCCATATCTGCTGTTCTCCTCGGGAGGTTTCAGAAGTGAGTTCGTCAGAGAACCAACAAAACAAAGAACAAATTGTCTATTCCGGCACTTACGTGTGATAAATAGATCTTGTGCTGAGCCTGATTTAGAATTGTTTTTTGATCAAATACTCTCTCTCTCTCTCACACACACGGTCTCACTCTTTAATGCTCTGCGCTTTATGTAAATATAATGAGTCCTTTTTGTAAGCCTATTAAATTTATAGTGATTTATTTTCAGTGCAGATTAATTGCAGATGATACCATTAAAAGCAGCCTTGAGCATCTATTGACTGTAATGTGACTGAGTGGTTTGTATATCTACACACTTGGATATGGTTATCCGTAGTTTTTATTGATGAATTATACTAAATTACTAAAGTACCTCTATACTAAAGACGATTTGCAGCACAGCAGAAACTTGTCTTTAAAGTTGGCATTAAATGAAAATTCACCCTATTTTCTAAATGGATACTGATCTTATTGTGAATTATTCATCCATGCATGTTTCATTTACAAAACATTTTTGTTTTCATTTTTTTAATAAAATAAATAATATAACTCTGCCTTCTGATAAATTGACAGTTATCTCAGGTGACATATGCCTGACTTTTAAACAAATCAACACCCCATGGATTGAACCAAGTCCCCACCCTACACTTTGTTCGATAATCTGTTTCACTCCTCCGATGTACATCACAATACAGAAGAACACATCTTTAATTATTTTTGAGCCTCCTCTAATAGGTTGGAGATATGTAGTCTCAGCACAGAGTAATGTGTTGTTCTGTCTGGCGAGTCACCCCTGTTTAGTGAGCCCCAATGAAAGCACCACTTAAGGGATGAATTAATTTATTGGTTCGTTGCGATGAAGGAAGTAGGAAAGAGGCCTGTTTTAAAAGAGAGAATAGTGAGCAGATAAGGACAGAAAAGTAGATGTATACATGAATGGATGCAGAGGGGGTGTCATGCACCTACTTCAGAGGGGACACCAGTGGCGGTCCTGGGTCACTTGGTGGTGTACTCAAGACAAAAACTTAATTTTTCTCCAAACTCTTTATCGATAACAAAGTGTAGTAAAAAGAAATAAAAAAGGTATGTACATTACACAACAGTCCAGAGAGTACGAGAAAAATATTAAAACTTATTGTAAAAATAATCAAAATACATAAATTAAATTTAAAAAAGGAAAATAAATAAATAATGATTATGCAATGTCATATTTGAAATAATTCAGCTACAAAATGTAGTGAACAAGTTTTTTTTTCAAAGAAATGTCTCTTTTCTAAAATAATTAGAAGAATGTATTTATGATTTTCTGAAATATATGGGCTTTCTAAACAAATTAAAACAATCATATTCAAAATCAAAATCTGATATTATGCTGCAGAATTTTACACAATTTTTTTTTTTACCTAGAATCATGCTACCTAATCATTTTTTTAAGTGCATTCAAAATCCACTGCTCATATACATAAAAAATGGATGTGCAGAAGAAGAGAGATGGGTGTGATGTGTAATTCATATGTAAATGGGGGGGGGGGGGGGGGATTTAAAGAATTTCTTTAAAAATAGGAAGATCATGAAAGACACTGATGCAGAGATGAAGATACTGGGTAGGAGAGGTGGGCCAAACTCATGATGAGAGGAACGGTGATAAATAAAAATAAGTTATAACGACTGGAGTCCTCAAGACCCCAGCAAAATAAGTGTGACAAGCAAAAGGATGGGCTACAAGAGCATGTGCTGATGAGAATTCCTACGAGAATTATGTGTGTGTGGGAGAGAGATTGTGCGTGGTTGAGTGGGAGGGGCATAAGAAGAGAAGGAAGGTTATTAGAGAAAGACAGTGAATTTGAGACGACAAGAGATTGGGAAAGAGAGGGAAATTATGTGGAAAATGTTTAAGTCTTGACAGTTCACACCAATCACAGCCATATTCATTACAAAATTTCAACACCCTTCCAATATGTCCTCCCTCTAATGTACAATACACAGTCTTGGATTGGTAACGTATTTCGATCAGATTGATATTTTGAGCAGCTTGTTTGTAAATCTATCACAGCAGGGATGCTGTAACCAAGCCAGTTGCTGCCTGTGTTGTCCTTTGTCCCATACGCAGCAGTGATGCTGATAGCAAGAGAACACAGTCAAAAATAGGAAGGATAAATCTGCATGAGTAACTGGGATGGGAGAGATGGGAACACTTGGAGGAAAAGAGAGAGTGGACGGGGAGAGAGAGAGAAAGAAGGAAAGAGGGTAGGATGATGACAGCCCCTGGCTCTGCTCCATTGCTGACGAAAGCTGCTTAGACCCTCAGTTGCTATGGTGACCAGCTGGAGCAGCCAGAGGAGAGGAACAGAGAGAAAGAGAGGGAGAGGGAGGGCGGAGGCTAGAGAGGGAGGAACAGAACGAGAGAGAGAAAGAGGGAGCGCTTGAAAAAAGAGCAATAGACAGAGGGAGGGAACGAGAGTGGAGACGGAGATAGATACACATTGCTAGCAAAAACAGTCTATAGAAATATAAAGGGAAAAGGTCATTTATTTATTTATTCTTATCAGTTATATTTCATTCATTTGAGCGTGAGGTTACAAAGAGAGAAAGTGTGAGGGTAGACCGAGACGTCGAGACGAAGGAAAAGACACACTGCAGTGGAGCTGGAATATGGATGCACAGTCTGAGAGCTGTGAACCACCGCCATGTGACCCTCAGCCTCCAGGTAAAATCAGAAAAGCCTTCAAACTGTTCGGCAAGCGGAAGCCTGGAAGCAGCGTCGCTAGCATCTTCTCCATGCGTGGGAAAGGAGATGAAGGCCCTAAATCACCGCCATCAATTAGCAAAACCCTGGATGGATTAAAAGAGCCTACTGCCCCGGAAGCAGAGGCAGAGCAGGTGGATCTTGACCAGGAGGATGAGAGTCAACAGGAGGAAGCTCCAATGGAGGAGTTCACGAGCGGAAACATGGATTCAGAAACCACCCCTACTCGGCATTCCATCTCCTCGCTCACCTCTGCTAAGTCTTTGAGCTTCCTCAATATGCTTCGCAAAGGCCGGCGGGGATTGACGGGAGAACGCCAGGCTCAGACCGAGTCTCAGAGGCCTGGACGCCAACGGAAGGGCCTAAAGGGATTGTTTGGTACAGTACGCTGGCGTGGTAAAGAGAAGGAGGATGAGGAGGAGGAAGAGTCTCAACCTGGCCCTCCCCTACTTGCTTCCCGCTCCAACAGTGTTGAGATTATTAAGGAGAGTCTCACATTAACACCTGGGCCTCCGGCTCGCTCTGTGGAGGAGACAGAGGAAAAGCTTCTTACACCACAAGAGGGCCCTATGTCATCTGAGGACTCTGCAAAGGTGAGTGGGGTGAACAAACCTCCAACAAATGAACGCTTGAGCACACTGCTCGGAGATATCTCATCAATTTTGAGCTTTGATTCACTGACGGCATGTGGAGATATTGTAGCAGATGTTGAGGCAGAATGGGTCAAAGCTAGCAGTAGAATGGAGGGAGCACCTAGCACACAGCAAGTGGATAATTCTGAGAAGACTTCATCTTCTACAACTTCTACAAGATCAAAGCCTAGTCCTTCTCCTACTTCTACTCTAAGCCCCACCACCTCTTTCAAACCGTCCCCTACTTTAGCAACCAAACCCACCCCTTCACCCACCACCACCAAACCTTTTGCCAGCCCTTTGACAAAACCTGCAGTCACCTCAACGTCCTCTTCGGTGACCAAAATGTCACCGTCTATGCCTACTGGCCCTATTATCCCTACCCCAACATCCAGCCCTCTCGCTAAACCCACCCCCACATCATCAGCTTCGCCCATAACCCAGCCTACACCAACACCTATCCCAATACCTCAAGCCACTGCAACTTCAATTACTCCATTTATCCAACCTAAACCAACCCCTACATCTGTCTCCACTACACAGCTTGCCCCAGGCCCTTTATCAAGCCCTACAACCAAATCTATCCCTTCCCCAGCTAAACCTGCCCTGTCCCCTGAATCTAGCCCTGAAATCAAACCTGACACACGATCTAGCTCCACAACTACCCCCATGACCAAACCTATCCCAACCTCTACACTCATTCCTCTATCTCTCTCGACCACTACTTCTGAAACCTTCCCCTCCCCCTCAATTAGTTCTACCCCTGAAACTTCTGCTGTTACCAAAACTGAACCTACCCCAACCCCTGTGACTAAACCTGCCCAAGTATCAACCCCTGCAACAAAACCCACTTTGAGCATTACCCAAGAATCCAAACATACTGCGTCTACCTCTGCAACCAAACATACTCCTTATCCACCACCTTATCCACCACCATTTGGTAAACCTACCCCAGCCCCTGCACCAACACCAAGACCAAAACTTGTAACAACATTTGGATTATCGACAAGCCGAAACACTGCTCCCATTACCAAGCTTGAGACAAAACAACCCACGGGACAAACTTCAAAATCTAGTACCCACACTGGCACAACATCTGTAAGAAAAGCCTCCATCTCTGAAACGGCTGCTTCTGTTGCTAAACTTCCATCTGCTGTTAACCCGTCACACTCTACGTCCATGCCTGCTCCTTTTCTTACCTCTGCCACCATGAAATCACCCACAGTTACTTCCACACCATACATTCCTGTCCTGAAGTCTCCTCCAGGTATTACTCCATCCTTCATTTCGTCAAAAAGAGCAGAAGATGATGTCAGCATGGATTTGAGGGAGGACCTGTTAAGACACGAAGGAACTGATAATAGAGACTCATCAGCTACTCAAAGCATCAGCAAGGCGGTGAAAAGGGGCCCTGCAACAAAGCCCTCAACTCTAAGTAAGATCCCTGTTTGTGGTGGAGGCAGACCTGCTAAGCTGCATCATCGAGATTCCCAGCCAAATGGAGATGATGACCACTCAAATCTACCAACACCGGTACATGAAGAGGAAAGTCCGTTCACTCTCTCACGAGAAAGCAGCAGCAAAGAGGCCCTCAGCGATGTCTCCACAGAATCGGGGGCTGTCACCCCAACCCTCTCCCACAGCCAAGAGGACATTCTTGATGGCAAACTTAGTCTCCAGACACATCCAGCAGCTGGTGCAACAAGTTTAACCCGGGAGTCTAAGATCCCCATCAAACACGGATCTACTGCAACCTACCATTCTGTGCAGGGGAGGGCAGAAGGTGCACGCTCCAAGATACCAGTGTCCAAAATGCCCATTCGTCGGACCAGCAATAAGCCTGCACCAACAGCTACAGCTGCCGTCACCCGAAAGTAACTGACATTCTATGACAAAACCCTGAAACATTCCACTCGCAACAGTTTTCTCAAGAAATACTTTTTAATATATTCGGTCAGGCATCACTGTGCCTGGTTTACGCCTTTTTGCAGCAAATATCCTCACAGGAACAACTGGATTGTTTATCATTATTTGAACTTTTTTTACACACCAGTGTTAATCACACAATTCTTTTATCAGCTGGGTGTTTCTATTCATATCACTCTTGAACAGACTGAAGCTGGATTCAACTCTGTGTGCCACCAGGAACAGATGCACATGCACAGGCCCTGTCTAAACGATCCCCATGGCAACCAAACATGCAAATTAAATGGCAGCCACTAAAGCACAAGAGGCACCCTCACCTGGAATCAAAAGCCATGTAGACCTTCTCTGAGGAAACAATAAATGCATCCATCCATTATCTCTGCCGTCATCCATAATGGTCTTTTGTGGTGATTAAAAGCCTCAGAGAAGAAACAAGCAATCCAACATCGAGTCTTGTGGTTTTTGTCCAGGTCTACAACACACTAGAGGGGCCCAGTATCATCACAAAGGTGCTTTTTTCTTATCTTCCTGGACTGCCACAAAGAAAAAAAATGTTTTGTTACAGAGCAATGGAGGGATCTTTGTAGCATTTGTTACTTGGCCTTCTTTTTTAGATTTTCTTGTCTGGTGTCTTTTTCCAAATTTTTCTTTTTCAAGTGAATTTTGTGGATCAATGTTAGTCTTCTTGGAGCTCCCACGTGTTGTATGCAAACAAACTGGATATCTTACCTGTACAGTTCATGCCAAGACAGGATATTCCACAGCATCTTTTGAATGTATGTAGCAGAACGCATGCCCTACTTTTTCAACCAGACGAGCCATCGCACTCCTCTTCCTCTCCCCACAGATGTCCTTTTCTCGCTGTTTTTTAAACACTGTGTTAAGTCACACAGTGCCTGTCAACTGTAACAAATGTGTATGTAACATGTCATCGAAGAACCATGAGGCATATGGATCTAACTCTGTGGATTTTCCTTTCTGCCTGCACTGAACTTTTGTGTGAGACTGCATTAAAGAAGTCTAAGGACAGTAGAGGTGATGTTTCACAGGCAGTTGGTGTTATAGGTAAGCGAAGACTTTCATGGATGACAGTGGTGTCAAGTTTTGGATGAATAGATCCTTTTCTTTCAAAGTTGCCATCACATGCACATGTTTAATAGAGGACTATTTTTGTGTGTATGAGTGTGTATATGTGAATGAGTGGGTGTGATTATCTTAATGTCACATTGTTTCCTATTTAATCAATAAAATGTGATTATACCTAGAACGATTTCAGTGTCATGCAGGGTGCTTTATGGTATGGGAATCGATTGCATAGGACAGAATTAGGTTGTGAGAGACTGGCGGTGCATTACATTGTCCTCTGTATTCACATTATGTAACCATGTTACTCTTTGGTTCGAGGACAGTCAGTAGATGTGGATCCCCACAGAGCTTTCCACTATAAAGACCCAGACCCCCACCACTGCCAACCACCCCCACCCCAGCTTCCTCTGCAGTGCCATGCTGCTGGGCTGAAAAACCCACTGACCTGAATAGCAAACCTCATGAATGTCAGCATTTCCTGGTCAGTGAGCTGTATGCTAAGATGCAATACGCTATAGAAATTCCCGCCACGCAACCATGCAGCTGCTGTATGCAAATTATATGTTTCTAATGGGTTGTTATGCTGTGTCTAAGAGAAACGGGGATACAGTTATTTAAATGAGGGGATCCTCAACCTTTATAAAACTTAATTGTGGGAATGAATGAACACTGAAATGGGGGGACAGTGGTGCACAGAGAGAGAGAACGAGAATGAGACAGAGAGATTGTGGTACAGATGGGGAGAGAGAACAAGGAAGGGGAGGGCAGAAAAAAAGCAAGCCTTTTGGTTCTATCACAGCTGTGTTTTTTTGACAGTCGTGACATAAGAAATGCTAAAAGCGGAGTGTAAGGCATACTATATTAACACTACAGCTCTTTGAAACTCATACTATTGAAATCAAACAACAGCAATTGATATTTGTAAGGACAGAGATTGATTCGGGTGTTGATCTCCATCACGGGGTGAACAGAGGTAGAGAGAGTTTGCAAATTTCCCATAAGGAAAAAGAAAAACAAAGGATGGAGAGAGACAGCACAAACAAGGCTCTGTTGTCCAAATCAGAGCCCAGGGCAGTAGGACTGTTTAACTGGAAAAACACGAGGTCTTCACCACTTCACAAGGTGATTAGCCAAAGAGCAGCTCACTGTTAATGGAAACCGTCCCCTGCTTATGGATCTGACACCCCCCTGGGGTCTGAAGATGATGAAAGGCATACGCACTAAATGGTCTGTTTTTCCACCACAGAATGTGCTCCTCCAAACTCTTCTAAACCTGAGGTCTGATTGTGAATATGAATAATGCTGATGATCACGTAGCCTCAATTACAAAAATTGAAGCGAATCATTGTAAAGCGAAAATGTCAAACGCAGCCTGGAGTCTGATCTAAGGCAGCAAAAAAGATGTGTGTACAAGATAAATCCGGCATGAGGGTCCTATTTTGAGCCCTAGCTCAAAATAGGATGAAATGGTCTAAATCTAATGGAATATAGTCTGGCATGCTAATGCAGCCATAGACAGGACCAGAGGTGATCCTCCCCTAAAGCAGATGGCACAACTAGCCATATTCATAATTACACGCAGACAAAGAATCGCAAGAAGACATAATCACAAAGAATGGGATTAAAATGCGATTTAAGATTATCTGCATATGTGTTCAGTTTATGTGCATCCAAACATGAGATTAACGACATAACCTCTCTAAGAGATTTGTTTTGAAACATGAAACTTGGTGAAAACACCATTTCCTACGTCTCAAAGCAAAGGCCCAGTGGAAATGCATAGCAATATGATACCATCAGAAGATTCTAACAGTGTTGCCTGATATTACATACCCTTCATATTCCTTTTACAATAATGATGTAATGTGAGCTGGATGGATTATCATAAACTCTCCTGACACTTTAAAACAGGTCGTAACAACAGAATCTGTCTTATTCCCTATCTGTGTATATACAAACACCCCCAGTGAAAAGATGTTCTCTGTTAGGAGATGTTTGGCTAATTATCCATGCTCCACTGAAAAAACGTCGCTATGGCAACCTCACTAGGTCAGCCAATGGGGTACTGGGAAGAAGAGGGGTGTGGTGAGGAGGCAAGGAGTTCTAAAATGGACTCTCACGTTACATCTGTAACACAATTTATCTATCCAAAATGTTAAAAGGGAACTATTGTATGTAGCATGTTTACAAAACTTGGTAGTGTATGTGACAGAATGGCCGTACTGAACATTCTAGCAGTAATGAATTTTTTGAATCACACTTAATCACATGTTTCTGGGTGATCAGTACGTGAGAAGGTGTGAGAGGCGGGATGGAAATGTGTTCATGTTTCATGTCTCATTTTGTAGCCATGTTCTGCAGTTATTTATCACAAATAACAATGACACATAAATATAAACAAACATACAGCTCAAAGCCAACTTTATCGTCATCATTTTAAAAATACAGACAAATGAAAGAAAGAAAAAACTTCTGGTTTACTCGAACATTTGATTTTATTATGGTTCACATTTTAAATGAGCTAAAAAAAAACATGCTTACAGTAAAAATATTGCTTTTATCTAAAAAACAATGAATGGTTTAAAAAAATACGGATAAAAGCTGAATATAAAAGTACCATGATACATTTTGAATAAGTACTTTTGTTATTGTGATCTATATAACGCTTTGGTGTGCTTATGCAGTAATGTACTGTATTGTCTACCGAGTGAAAGCTGAAAAAGCACCTCTAAAATGCTGTTCAGTCTCAAAGTGCACATTAACACTGATCTTTTGGCTGGCAAACTGCAATTAATTCATTTCACGGCCTAAATTGTTGGTGAAAATGTGGAAGTATTTGCCAGAAAAGATGCCCTGTGGTTATAATGAGGCTGAATGACAGACATGATTGCAAGAATGACAAGACAATTTGGTCTTCAAAAATCAGTGGTTCTTAACTTGGATGATGGCATGGTAGAAAAAAAACAATTCATCCTTTGGATGGTAAAACAAATTGATCAAATTTTAAAAAGGAAGAAAAACACTTCCCATTTCTTTTGTTGTTGATGTCTAAGGCTGTGTGTATGAAAATCTGGTTTCTTAAACAAAACCACTTGAGAACCACTGAACTAGATGTTTTGCTTTCAGACAGCACATGTGCCTTCATTTGACCTAATGTGACAACCTTGGCATTTCTTCTTGACATCATATCATTTCTGTATTGCTCGTACTCTAAATGAAATAATACTGATTCCTACATAAAAAATAATAATATCAAATACACAATCATAAGTTCAGACATGCATATAGATTTTGTTCAGTGGTAATAAAACAAAACTTTTAAAAATCAAAATTTTCAACTTAGGGTTCAAATGATATTCTTGCAGTGAATAAATTCAGCAATTATTTCAACATCACTTACACCACACAATGACTTTGAGAAATCAATGAATTCAATCATAAAGATTATGAAAATAATCATTTTGTGCTCAATTATTTAAAAGCCTTATCTATTAAATAAACCCTTGTCAATGGCATCTTATCTGATGGGTGTACGTCATTACATTCATATTATGCTGAAACACAAATTCAACTTGTCTTTGGTGCTAAATTATTCCTTCTGGAATGTTCCTGAGCATCAGGGAGGCACAATAAGAGTGTTGCAGGGATGACGTATTTGTGTAGGCCAAAACCCAGAAATGGCATTTAGCACTTCCGGTTCCATCGTTCCCAAGTCAGTAGGGGTTTTATAATGGGTTTTTGGTTAAATGCCTGAAATAAGGTCTGTGGTGAACAAAAGCACAAGATTTTTTTCATGTTTGATTCTACAACATAAAACACATCAGTAATGCACTTTTTTATTAAAGCTTTTATGAGTCTTGAAAAAGGCAGGTGCTTGTCCGTGACATGAAACGTCATCAGCCGAACAGGTAAACTCATCTACTCACATAGTCTTGTTGTGTTTATAATTGCCCTCTTGCAAACTATTATAACTGAAAAGTACAGGGAAAATGTTTTTATACAAAGACTGAAAGAGTTTGCGGAAGCTTAGTGATGGTGAAGTCATGTGACTGTATGTAGTTCGTTTATAGCCTACATTTAGCTTTTGACTACTGCCGATTGTATTCACGATTCAAATTTCATAAAAGTTGTGTTCATTTGTGAAGATCATCATGATGAACAAAATCTGTAAAGAATCATTAACTTTAACTCTTATTTTTCTGCAATAATCCAAAAGCCAATGGAATAAAAATCCTATTGTGTTTTTGTCGAGGGAACCAGGGTGATGCTAACTTCCGGGTTGGCCTACAAAAATATGTCATTACTGCGGCCCTCTATAGGTCAGTACAAAAAAAACACTTATAATAAACAGTCTGTTTATGTCCTTCTACAAGTCTTGTAGCTAAATATATAGCTATACTCATCAGATATTGACAAATGCAAGGCACTTGGTAAAAGAGCGAATAATATAAATTGCATAGCGATATAGAGGTCAATTAACACAAAAAAAATCCAAATGTTATTTGAAATAACGTTTCTAAATTCATGTTCAGTACTGTTAGATATAAAAACAGTACTGAACAATACCCTGATGTTTGTTAGAGTCTGTATGGCACACCAGGAACACTTTGACTTTGGTGTCTCATTTTTAACAAGCACGACCAGTTATTTCCTTGAGGTATATCCATGTCAAAGCTTCATTATGAGTTGGCACGTTTGTGAAGTGTGAAGACCAGTGAGGGATTTCTTATTTACAGCGCTGTTCTTCGTCTCACCCCTGAAGTGAACAAAACGGGGAGAAAATTCAAGAGTTGGTACCTTTGAAGTCCAAAAGCTGCCTCTGTAAACTCAGGACAGGACGCAGTGGGTAAAGCACCAGTTTTTCCAAACTAGGTCATGGATGACTGCAAACGCACAGTCGACCCTCTCTTCACGATCAGTACTGATAAAAGAAAATCATAAAAATGTAACCTCTTCTGAAAGGAAGACATGGAAAATGTACCCATTACCCGGATCCTTTCAGCAGGCCGAGCTGAACTGTGAAGTTCACTTTGGGCTTGTTAAATGTCGTTACAGATGAGCCCTGCTCACACCAGGAAGTGTGTATATCCCTCCGCTCCAGTGACGATAACATCCATCCAGATTCTCATGGCTTCTGGGGAAGGAGCCACCATGTAATAAACCCGGTCATGCGTCTTCACACTAAACGTCAGGGAGGTGTTTGGGCTCTGATGGAAAATAAGAGTGTGGATGGAACAAGATTAATGGGATGAAAAAAATATCAATTGTAGCAACGAGCACTATTTTTGCAGCTCACCTTGTGTGCGTTCTTTAGGTGGTCGTAATACACTTCCTCAATGGCTTGGAAGTAGATAACACCCTTCATTTTGGTCTCATGTTTATCTGGAGAAAAATAAAATGTTTAAAAAATAAATCTATGTTTTTTTGAAGAGAGCATGCGGTTCAACCTTTGTTTAATTGTTTTATTTTACAGTTTAATAATACAATTTAACAAAGGTTAAGCTAAACAAGTAAAGCTCTGTCAAATAAAAGTGGTGGGTAACAGATATTTGTAAGATAAATCTGCAATGATTTGCAGGTTAGTGCTGAACGTAGCCATTGCCTCCTGTGATGTCTGTGAAGGGCACAGCTCAGTGTTGCCCCCTTGTGGTGTAATCTAGTTTCATGTCAAATTTATTTTGCATCACTTATTATTAAGGTCCTCTTTAGATAATAGTTTAAGTTTACATTTCACTGTCATCCATGGACAAAATTAAAACATGGAATTCAAGAAATATTCTGGATTCAATATATCTGTGGCCTGTTCATAATTACCCCTGAAAATGGTTATAAAAAAAAAAAAGGCTGACAATTATAATAATTTAATGGACGATTTATATGTTTGCAGCTTAACAAACACTCCTTTTGTCTGAAAAATAAAGTGCACTACCCAACATAAACTTCAAATTTCTGAATTTCTACCCTTCAGAACTTTTGCCTGCAAGATCTCTATTAGAAATGCATTACTGTAAGCACATTTTAAAACTGTTAATATAAAATGAGTGACAAATAAACATTTAATATTCTATGGTAATTCACAGCGGGCCACAGACACTGTTGATAAAGCTTGATAAGTCCAACTAAAAAGTCAGTGTAATTACCAGCATAATATGCCAACGTCCTTCGATTGCGGTCAAAGACGAACCAGCGCTTCTTCCATGTTTTGATTTTTCCACCCATTTTGACCAAGAACCCCCTGCAGGTCTTCTCAGTGATGGCTAGGTGAAAACAAGTTTCAGGATGGTGACCCGCTGCTTCGATGTGACCTCTCAGGTCGAATTCATCCTTTCTCACTGGGAGATAACGTGTCAAAGGACGAGACTAGAGACACAAATGGCAAAAATTAAACAACGTCTTAAAACTGTATGAGTGTGTCTGCACACACTCTCTCAGATTTGATCAGAGGCAGAGATCCAGTCATTTATCAGCCACCCATATTTATAGGTTGATTATCATCAAATTAAAACCATCGGCAATAAGCTTTTAATGTATGATTAATGTTGAGTTACTGGTTTAATTATATTGCTTTTGTTATTTTTAAGCTTTTGCTTTACTGGCTTTTGTTATTTGTATCTCTTGTAAAGCATTTTGAGTACCCTGAAAAGCACACAATAAATAAAATGTATAATAATAATTATTATTATTATAAAGGTAAATTTGTTGCGTTGTATAGGATCTACAGCATTTTATACTCATAATATAATCAATAAATGTGGACGACATAAATATTAGGACAAAAATAACCCCATTACAAATTATGATGTAAAATACTGTCTTTTTGATAGTGATGACATGGCAAAAAGTTAATTTGGGATTCTGGCTGTGTCTTATGTCATAGATTTAAAAAACAAAAACTAAACAAAAATGAGATTGAGGCTTTTATTATGCATCATCTATAATTAGAATCTATCAAAATGATTTAAGGTTTTAAGGTTTAGAAGTACAAATATCACTAAGGAAAATTGTTATATTATAATATTTATTTGTATTTATTCTTGTTTATCCATTTTGTATGATTATAATAGATTATTTTCTAAATCAGTGCATCCATAATCAGAGTTTTGAATTGCATTAAATGCTGAAAGATTAATCTTCCTCTCTTCCATGTCCACTTGGGTCTCTGTCTCTCTCCCTGAGATTCACCTCTCTCTCCACTAGTTTCTGTCGGCGGTTTGTCTCTTCCTGCAGTCTCCTTTCCAAGTCCTCCCTCCTCCTTCTCTCGTCTTCAAGAGCCTGTCGGCGCAACTCCATCTCCCGCTCCTGCAGAGGAGAAAGAAAACACACATTCTGATTTCATGAATATGTATATTGGCATTTTTTTGATAAGCATGCAGATGCAGAGAAAAGAAAGTTCAAAAAGAGACCGATGTACCCTGTGATCCAGCAGTCTGTTCTTCTCAGCTTGAGCTTCTCTTAGCATGCGCTCCATCTCCTCTATCTTTGCCATGTTAGCTGTGCTAGCGCTGTACAGACCACACACACACACACACTTTTTGTTAGACGTGTTTTAAACTGATGATTTTCAGGTCTTTTCAGATTTTTCTTGTAAAAATCTAGTATAAAAATAATGTATTGTCCAATAAAATCAGAGGTGTAAACCCTTAACCTCATTTGGCAATGCGTTCCAGAGCATCTTAAGGTTCAGCTACTTGGAACGACCTTGGAATGCAATAAAAATTCCTCAGACAGGATGTGTGTATATCTGGGCTACTTAAAGGCAGACTTCTGTCTATACAGCATCCTTATAAACAGTAATAAGTACATTTAGACTCTCACAGATCACAAAATACAGATACACACACACTTCTTACTTGACACAATGTTAATGCCAACAAAATAATGATTAGAGTGTACCAAGCGATTTTGCAAAATGTTGCGGCAAAATATTGTGTTTGTTATTTTAGGGAGGACCAATGAAGGCAGGTGTGTGTTTGTTTCCAGCAAGTATCTGTAACATCTAAATGCTAAAAAACTGGGTGCAAACAAATACGATTTGAATGGTCAGAAAAGACTTATATATTAAATATCTTCATCAAATAATCTTCAACAAAGTCTTGGTCTCACTTTGAGATGTTGTCTGGTGAACAGGCGGAAATGCTGGTCTCCAAGCTTTCTGTACTGTCCACGCTCATTGTGTCAAAGTTGTGTCCGTTATCCAGGTAGTGGAACGGCTCCAGGAAGACATTTGTCTCAGAAACCGTTCTATTGGACATCTCACTCATTCTCTGCCTCTCGTCATTCAGATACATTTGACCTGCTTCAAGACCAAAGGAGAAAATAATAAAAAATAATAATAAATTTAAAAGAAAAAAATTATTTCTCTTGAGATTTACACATCTATATTATACATTTATCAGGGTTAGGGTACATCTATAATATTAATATATAATTTCCAATTAAATGTCAAATGCTTAGAACTGTCAAAAAGAAACGGCTGTGTCAATAAACTTCACAATTTGAGGTATTATTGATGTTAATATCATTATGTGGTAAGTTATAGCAATATATTTGAAATGTTTAGTATATTATTGTTTCTTCATAGTCATATACAAGTTAACATGTTGCAAAATAAGGTGGATATTTTTAACATTTACTAACATAATATTTAATATATATATTTCCTTTTATTAAACTGATTGAAAACATTTCAAGGAGTCATCTCAGGACATATATCAATAATAATAATACTAATAATAATAACATAAATACATACATATACCTATAAATAACAAAACGCTATACACACAATGTGCACCGAAAAGGAGAGTAACATAAATATTTTTTTATATATATATATGCTTAAAACTTGTAGAATTCTAGACCTGTAGAAATGTCATGAGATGAATCAGTGTGTTACCCTTGAGCAGGCGGCGAGTGTCCAGATCACGGGAGGTGACAGACAGGGTGCGGGGAAGTACACTACCACAGCTAGAGCTTTGAGACAGCGGCATATGGGGCTACAGAATTAAGAATACAGAGCAAAAGAGACCATTTAAAAACTCCCTTCCACATAAAACCATGAGCACTGAAATTTTCAATGTAAATTGCTCTTTTAAGATTGTATAAAATACTTTTCCGATGTGCCGTATCTGTTGTCTGACCTTGGGAGACAGACTGCGATTAAGGGCAGAGTTTAAGGTTCCAGAGCTCTGCCTCTCTCTTTTACGGGACATTCCACTGTCACTCAGCAGAACTCCGCCCTCTTTACTGCAATTACTCCGCCTCCTCTCCTCCAGAGAGCGAAAGTGCTGGAATATTCAAACAGACAGATAAAATAGTCTTTCAATATTGAAAAAACTTTTTTGTCATTCCTGAGCTTAGTTTCCTCTTTACTCATAGAATTGGTTTGCAATACCTCCTTCATGGACACAGGGTTAAGAGGAAATGCCTGGCCACCTGTCAGCTCAGAGTACTTCCTCTCTAAAGATGAAAGGTTTTCCCGTTCCTGAAGAGGAATTAGAGACCATTAAGAAATGTGTAAACATGTATGAATATCCTTGCATTAGATAGCAAAATATTAAACCAAGTGTCATATATTGACTAAAGAAAGATAGCACAAGTGCAATTTTCAAGAAAACATTTCAAGTTTTAAATGATAAACTATACATGTATAGGTCAAAAAGCAATCTGGGTATTTTGTAATTAGTGGAACATGTCTATAATGAGATCTTAATGGGAAGTGACTTTATACATTATGGATTAAAGGTCACTGCAAAAGTAGAGTTTATATTATAGAGCTTATATATCATAAGAGTTTATGATTTATTATTTCATTTCTTAAACAACCATGTAGAAAGACAAAAATGAATGCACCTCTTGATGGAAATAACATCACAATATTCTTTTCCATCAAGAGGTGCCTCAGTTTTTGGTCAAGATCTTGTATTGACAATGTACAGTACATCCCAAAGACTTTCAATGAATTTAAGGTCTGGAATCAGAAGTTCCAATTCATGCGTGAAAATGATTCTTCATGCTCCCTCCCAACCATTCTTTCACAATTTGAGCCAAATGCATCTTGACATTGTCATCCTGGAATATGGCCATGACATGTCTTCCTACATGGTTGTGTTAAGAAATGAAAAGCTACACACTCCATTAATAAGGGTTAGAAGAACATATGCTAGAAACATAATAATCACTGTATATATTGTATGTAAATATATTAAACATTTTTGTGTATATATACACTCACCCTTTGCAGCATATAAATGAGGTTGCTCTTCTCTTTCAAGAAGTTCTCCTTTTCCCGCTGTGCCTGCTGGGTAATCTGGGTCGACTGCTTCTTCAGGGTAAGTAGCCTCTCCTATAGTGCAAACAGTTTTTGTGTACAGAGGGAAAAATATGATTATAAAAAGCTCTTTGTCCACACACAAACACTCAAGGGTTAAAATCATCTACACACACCTTGCGAGTGACAACAGATCTCTGATATTCTGCAATCTCTCTGAGGAGTTGCTGCGTCTGCGTCTCCTTCTCTTCATCTTGACGGCTCTCTTTTTCCAGCTGCTGAAACTCCAAATCTTCAAAACGCTTTGTTTCCGCTTCTAAAGCTTCAGTGTCCTACCAAAAAAAGCCAACAACACTTAGCATGAGGCAATATATTGCATATTTTTACATGGTGTAAGTCCAAACAACTAAACTAACTGAACATTCAGCAATAATTCACAGGATTGTTCTAAACAGAAAAGTGACTAAAGGTCAAAGTCTCAGGAAATTTGGGTATGTTAAAAAAACACAGAGAAGAAAGGCCTACCAACAAGAAAAAATGGTATTTCCAGAGCTGTTGCAGAGAGGAAAAAAACACAACAGGAAATGTTTGTGAGAGACAGAATAGTTGGCCGCATAGGTGAGAGCAGGTACGAGGGAGACCACGGTAACTGACTGACCCTGGATAGCTGAATCTGTAGCTGCTCCTTCAGTGCTTCAGGACAGGTGTCCAACTGGGTCTTCTGCTCTGAAATCAGCTCAGCTAGCCTCTCTACTTTAACTCTCTCAGCCTCCAACCAGGCTTTGTCCTATAGCAGTGGCGACGCGTATGGATGACATACACATACAGAGCAGACAGTGGTGAGATCGACACAAATATGATGGACAAAGAAATAGAGAAATTGCAAGGTTGGGTTAGAGCAAGGAAGAGGTAAACTGGAAAAAAAGGCAAGTAGATGTGACATTGGTGGGTGTAATTCACTAATAATGGAGTACATATTTTCTTAAATTTAAACTTTAAGTGCCAATATATTCATGAATCATGATTTCTGTGTAAAAACGTTCACACTACGTACGGTAGTTAAATGAGACCCTCTTGTTTGCCTTTTTGGAGACTTCGTCCTGAAGTTTTGATATACTATTTTCAATCTTTTCAAGCTGTACAAATACATTGTCACCTGATGGTTACCCGAGTATGATTTCTTTGAGCATTTTTCTCCATGTTCCCCATTTTTTGGTTGAGCTGCTCCAGCATTTCTTTATCGCTCTGTAGCTGAGTGACCTCTGCCTCCTGCTCACCATCTAAAAGAGCTCTCTCCACCTCCATCTAAGAAGAGATCAAGACAGTGTTTATTGACTTCATTTCCTCAACAACAGTGTTCTTACTGTTAACTAGGGCTGCCCCCTTATAGTCGACTAAACGTTAGTCGACCAAAATGTTATTAGGTTAGTCGCAGAAAAAAAACTCCACAGGAAGTGCGACGTCACTCAGTCCGTGAGGGACGCAACATTAACGGCGGGTCCTTGTTGTAATTATAGTATGTCGGGCAGGAGATACAAACGTTCGCCTAACATCCATCAACCTCATATATGGCTTAACCTAGATAAATGTGTGTTATTATTAGGCACATATTATACACATATATACCGCCGGCGGTACCCTTCAGGTTTATAGGGTTAATAAACAATTAAAATGTCTCCTTGCTATTTATTCTGACATTCATAATCATTACTTTTTGCTGATAAATAAATGAAAAATGACCTTAAACTTCAAACTAAAATTAGAAACGTTGCCATGGCAACTATTTGAAATAAGTTTAAAATACTAGTTGAATTACAAATGTCTAATTGCAACTTATTGAAATAAGTACTACAATTACTTGATTAAACTGTATAGAAAATTTTTACTAAAAATGACACTAGAATATCAAAAATTACTAAAACTAAGATTTAAATTAAAACTGAAAATATAAAAATAAAAGTTAGTTAATTCAAAATATTAATAAGTACTATAATATTATATAAAAATATAACTAAAATAACACTGTTGCAGAATAAACTAAATCATTTGATCTAGAGATCAGTCTGCAAGAGACATTTACAGTAATGCTTTTGGCAAATGCTTTTATTCGAAACGGCTTGCAATTTCTGGGAATCGAGCCCATGAGTTTGGAGTTGCTAGCGCCACGCTCTACTGTTTGAGCTACAGGAATGCTTATCAAACATGTTACCTCACTTTAAAAGCACATAAAGCTTTTCATTTAAGCACACACACCTCTCTGATAGACTCGTCCATCTGTGTGTCTAGATCTCGGATCTTCTGTTCAAGTTCCTCGATGTTGTTAAACACCTGAATCCTCTCCTCTTCTATACGTGTCACTTCCTGCCTCAGCTGCCTGTCTTCAGATACCTGCTTAAAAAAAGAAAACACAAAAACATTAGAGATCAGGTATACTTTAAAAGACAATGCATTTTATAAGATGAATGGTTTCAGTCCTGGATGATGATTGGGCAATTCAGCGTTTGTTCAGAACTCCTGCATTGTTCATTGTTTTTTTGACTGATATAACAAACACAACCACAATTACATGAAGATCTGAAAAGATGGATTAAAGTAAAAACAAATACAGGCATTCAGACCTGACATGGGATTGAACTCTGAAATGAATATCCAGCTCCTCATGACGGCTCTTTACGGATAGTTAACTAGGCTGTTTCTGAGGCCACACTTTTTTTCAGTGACATTGCAGAGGAATGTAGCTCAGCAACAGATGCAAGACTACAGAGCCGCCTCTGTCTGATAATGGCGTCTGATCTCCATGCATTTGACATTAACCAGAAATATTCAGCAGTGTTTAAATGCAAACTGTGATCAACAACTTGTTGTGATGTTATTTCCTTCAAGATGTGCATTCATTTTCCTACATGGTTGTTTAAGAAATGAAAAGCTGCACACTCCATCAATGAGGGTTAGAACTGTTGCCAAACATATAACATGCTAGAAACAATCATAAACTCTTAAGCATTTGTATATTCAAATATTGTAATCAAATGTAATCATTTAATTCGATATAAAACCAAGTGGTATCTGCAAAAAAAAGACAATACAAGATGATGTTTCTCAGACCTAACTTCACTATTGTTTTTTTGTTATTTTTTGCAATGACCACTGGTGTCAGGGTGATTATTATTATTTTTTAGGACCTGTATAAAGTCTAAATATTGCTTGAGAGAAAAGGAGAAATGTGGGAGAAATTATATGCAGATCTGCATTCTTTCCTTGCATTTCTATGTTTCTTTCCAACAATTACTGTCACATGTGTCTTGAGCACATAGACGCACACACACACAGCAAATCCACCCGGGAATAGAGTCATTTCCTGTTCCTCTCCTCTTGCAGGAGAGGCAATAACTGCCCCTCTCTCCTGAGAAAGTCTATTAAACTCAAACACACCATTATGTCATTATAGGTATCCAATGGAAAAACACTTATTCCACAAAATCCCCATCTTGAGCTGGAATTTGCACCTCATGTGCCTAAAATGCAGACAGAATCTGTTTTAAAACTGTGTGAGGTCAGCGTTTTAAAAGTTCACTTCGTAGTGCATGTTTAGAAACAGACATCAACAGACAGTGTGTCAGGTATAAAGACTCCACAGCATTCCCAAACTGTTTTGCATACTTTAGATCCAAGAGGACTGCATACTTTCCACTGCATCATTAGTTCAATCTGGGATAACGGAATACAGAGTGGTAGGCTGCTTTAGATTTGAACACACTGGCGATGATGGTATATACAGTAAGAACAAACATCACTATGGAAATAAATATGTAATTTGGAGATTAAATTAATAGAAGAGTGAATATCATGAAGAAATTAATGGTCATTTTCAACCTCAAATCAAAAGCTACTGTAAAAAAATCATTACTAGTAAGTTTTTTTAATTGTTTTTTAAACCCGAATTTACTAAAATTACAACAAATACAATGATATATAACTACAATTTAAATAATATATCGATTTATTTCACATTACACTGATGAGAATTAGATTAATGTGTTACATAATGAGAATTTAGTAATAAAGAGATAATATACTCATTATAAATACTTAATTATCTTACTTAATTATTTTACCCAATTATCCCAGAATTAAATCATTTACATTAATATTCTTTACTGTACAGGGTAGTAAAATCTTGCTTTTTTTATTTACATTTTAAATATTTATATATTATTTTAATTAATTTAACATAGATTCAATTTGGTACATCACATACAACAAATTATTACCTAAATATAATTAAAAACACTTTAAATAAATAAATGTATAGCATTAATTTATTTCCCATTACAGTAATGAGAATTTAAGAATTTAGTAATTGGCATAATACACTTAATTATCCTAAAAAATAATACCACAACACATGCAAAATAAAACGGCCCAACAAATAAGATTTTTTTTCTTAATAATTTGGGTTGACCCGGACATGCTCTTGGATAAGTTGTGTGAAATTCAGAAAGAGATATTCACTGTTTGACATCAGTAATGGTACATGTAGACGCAACATGTATAAAAAAAAAGAAAAAAAAGAAAAAAAAAGTATATACTGTATTCAGGTACATATTGTGCAGTGTCTCACCTTGCTGCGGAGATGTGGAGAGGGCGAGGGGGCTGAGCTTCGTAGGCTAGTGGTGGGTGACTGGGGCCTGGTCTCCCTGTGTCCGCTGAGTCTGCGCTGTCTCTGAGTCAGTATCTCTATCCGACCCTTACCCAGATACCCACTATCCAGAGACACTGCTGCAGAGTCTGAGAACACAGACTCATCATCAGACACCTGCAGCTTCTCCAGCTCTCGGTTGATCTTCTGCAGGTCCGACACAGCTGAGACACCCGAATCAGTCTCCATCTGGCACAGATCAGACCGGCCCAGCTCAGAGCACAGGGACAGGATGGTCTCAAGACGCTGGCGCTCCTAGAGTAGAACGAAAAAATTAAACAGTCTTAGGCTTCATTTTGTTTTATGTGAAACTGGTAATGGACAGTGTTTTGGGGTTTTAGAAATCTTAAAAACATTACGATGCTAAATTGATATTTAAGATTCTGTTTATGTTATTTGTAATCTAATATAAAGCAAATCAAAAGCCTTTTCTACTAGTGGTCTCAGACTTTTGGATCATACACACTACCTGATACATTATATTATAAAACAAACTGACTGAGCTTAAAGTGCCCCTATTATGTTGTTTTAAAGATTCCTAATTTAGTTTTGGAGGTCTCCTACAATAGTTTTACATGCATCAAAAGTCGAAAACACTTTGATTTTCTCATAATATACATTGCACATCAACTCATTTTTCGAAGAGTCTGAATCGGAAAACAGTCCGTTTGAATATTCAGTCTCTCTAATCCCCTACTCTGCTCTAATTGATCAGTAGATGTTGTTCAATGGCAGCCGATGAAGAACATAAGCTGGCATTATGCAAACTTGTTACAAACTTACGTAGGTATGTTACGGAAGCGAGACTGGAATTGCTGACAACTCTTTTCAGCAGTTCAGAGTCTATTATTTTTATTAGGAGACAATAACTTTATTTGTTGTGCACTTTGGTCTTTAAACCTTTTCAGAGACCTTTTATATTTACAAACAGCTTATATTCGAAAAACATAATAGGGGCACTTTAATCTTTGAAAAATTAGATTATACATAAAATGCGCTGTTTAGATTTGTATCATTGCTGCCTCCTTAGCAGTGGGTTGTGGGATTTGGCCCTGTGGAACGGAACTAATTTAGTTGCACAGACAAACAAACACACATACATTCTCTCCACACACGCCTGTGATCAGATCAGATGGTTTAACTACAATTGCAGTGCTTTAGCTCAGTTATCATGTGACCTAGAGGCAACATTTCAAGTTCTCATAAAGGTCTAAGTGAAAAGCAAAAACTAATTTAACGTGTGTTTACCAGCTGGTTCATACACACTCAAGGTTTTGATTTAGCTGTGAATGTAATTTCATTAAGTCTCTAGCACATGAAAGTGTGTGTGTAATCCAGTGAATAGCACTTATAATGTTCCAGGCCAAGAACAGATCAAAGTCCTCTTGACACTTTCATGTCTAACCATTCTCTCAAAGGATGCAAACTGAAACCAAAAAGCTGGATTCAAGGCTGAGAATTATAGGGAATTAAAGTTGAAACAATATTTCACAATATTAACAAAATAAAGTCCCTCACTTTTTGATTACTATGAATTTATTCTGATAAACTTTAAAATGATCCGTAGCAATAAGAGTAATCTACAAAGTGTGCCGGATGCAAAAGTAAACTCAACGTAAGGCACATAACAAGTTTGCACCTCTCCCATGTTAGTTATTCTAGGATGTTAGGTTGCTAATCAAATATATTATATTTTAGCTAATATAATATATTAATAAAATATAACATAATAAAAAGCATAAAAAAATAAATATAACATGAAGGGTAATTAAAAGGCATTAATGATATACTATATTATAAAATATATTATATAAATTATAAAATAATATAACATAAAAAATATATTTAATAAAAAAGACATTTAAAATATAATAAAATTACAAATAATAAATCCAATAATAATAAAAATAATAATATCATCATGTGTGATTTAACAGAGAATTCTGAAACCTGGATGAGACTCCCTGGTGTGTTTGTTTTGGATGAGTGCAGGTCTTCTTACCAGTCTTTCCACTTCCTGTTCTCGAAGTCTCTCATCTCTTTGTCTCTGATGATAATCTCTGAGCTCTTCTTTTCCACTGAGAGAACTGATACTGCCCCTTCTCGGCCCCATGCCAGGCCCCAGGCCTCCTTTACCAAATGACAACCGCCTTTCTCCTACTCCTAGATCCAAACATGGGGCAGATCCCACAGAGCAAAGGCTGGCCCTGCGAGAACTGCTGGTCACGTTGGCTATCACAGTCACATCTGGTGGTTTCTCCAAGGATGGGAGGCTGCGGCGTGGTTTGGTGCTACGCCGGGGTGGCAAAGAAAGCACTGGGGCGTCTCCTCGATACAACCTGGGCAGAGAGAGACTATGTCCCCCCAGGCCATTCAGAGAGCCGGTGGAGTATTTCCTTTGGCGGAGCAATGGTTCAACAGTGGACTCCCCATCTCGTGTTAGCAGTCTGCGCCCCAAGCGAGGGCTGGAGGGCATGCTGGCTGCACCACTTGGACCTCGGCGGGATGAAGGAAGAGCATCAGTCATGTAGGAGGAAGAAGAGCCGTTCCACATAGAAAGGAGTGAGCTGGCAGTGTTGGGATTTCGTCCTTCTAAAGGGTGGCAAATCAACAGGTTGTCCTGCCATTGGTGCCGGCCACGGGTTTGGCTTGGGACTGGACTTATGGGGCGCTCTGATTGGTGGGGTGATGGTGGCATGCTCAGGCTGCTGGAGGGTGTGTAAGGGGAGGGAACTCGAATAGAAAGGGGTGGACGGTCCTGTAGATAGGAGGAAGCTGATTGGGGACTGGGAGGGGGGGACAAAGTGAGGTAACCGCGGTCTGAAGTAGCCTTTAAGCTGGCCTCCAGAGCGGACTTTCTGCGCTGCAAGCTCTCCATCAACTCCTGAAGCTCTGCCTTGGAGCGTGTGCCACGAACACAGGATCCAACCAATGTGCCGCCATTGGAATGAAACTTTGTTGTGTCTGGTGAAAAAAAAAAAAAGGTAATTTATGCCTGTGCACCAAGTGTACTGCACAAGTCCTGAAAAGTGAAGCCAAAATGTTTTGATTGCCCCCAGGTGGCTGGACCAAATTACACTTCAAATAAATGGTTTCCAAAGATGGTTTCTGTCATGTTAGATTAATAGCTTCTCTGAGCGAAGTAGTCACTGATTTTCGGGAGGAGATTGGAACTTTAACTAAATTTACATAACTGATTATTTCCCACCGACATGAGCTGTTCTGCAGTAAACTGTACTAACAGATTCTGCAGGAGTGTGGGCGGGGGCTTGATACCACAGATCCACTTCACGCTCACTATTGCGCAGACTTTTCTACAATGGAGGAGAGTGAAGGAGCGTCGTCCATCTTTTTTTACAGTCTATGCTGTGCAAATTCAAACATGGTGCCTACTGAAGGATCAAGCCAGATCTCAATCGTTCATTCATGGCAAACTTAATTTGTCATTGACCTCTCAAATATCTTAAAGGGATACTCCACTTTTTTTGGAAATAGGCTCATTTTACAACTCCCCCAGAGTTAAACAGTTGAGTTTTACTGTTTTTGAATCCATTCAGCCGATCTCCGGGTCTGACGGTACCACTTTTAGCATAGCTTAGCATAGATCATTGAAGTGGACAAGACCATTAGCATCTCTCTCAAAAAAATGACCAAAGAGTTTCAATATTTTTCCTATTTAAAACTTGACTCTTCTGTAGTTACATCGTGCACTAAGACCGACGGAAAATGTAAAGTTGCAATTTTCTAGGCTGATATGGCTAGGAACTATTCTCTCATTCCTGCGTAATAATCAAGAAACTTTGCTGCCGTACCATGAGTGCAGCAGGCGCAATGATATGACGCAGTGCCTGAAAATAGTCCCCAGCTAGGTTACTTCCTGCGTGACCATATAAGTTTGTGTTTGCGCTGCATAATATCATTGCGCCTGCTGCACTCATGGTACGGCAGCAAAGTTTCTTGATTATTACGCAGGAATGAGAGTATAGTTCCTAGCCATATCAGCCTAGAAAATCGCAACTTTACATTTTCCGTCGGTCTAAGTGCACGATGTAACTACAGAAGAGTCAAGTTTTAAATAGGAAAAATATCTAAACTCTTTGGTCATTTTTTTGAGAGAGATGCTAATGGTCTTGTCCAATTCAATTATCTATGCTAAGCTATGCTAAAAGTGGTACCGTCAGACCCGGAGATCGGCTGAATGGATTCGAAAACGGTTAAACTCAACAGTTTAACTCTGGGGGAGTTGTAAAATGAGCCTATTTCCAAAAAAAGTGGAGTATCCCTTTAAAACTCCCTAATTGTATTGGTCATGGCAGTGATTCTGTGACCAATGAGGTTTGAGAGCTCATTTTCTGCAGATAATGATTTAAATTTCAGTCTGTTCCAGCACGAACCCACTGTGACAGAATGGACACATAGACTGAAACAGATTTGAGAAGATGACTGCAGATTTGCAATCAAAATCTTTAAAAAAAAATTGACAGAAGTGGGCATTAATTGAAAATTAGCTTGAAATAAATAGACTTAATATATGTTAATAATGTTTGAACAATGCAGATAATGTACTGGTATGTGGTGTATTCTCTGAAGTGTAAGTTTAATAAAAACACAGTTTAGAAAAAATTATAATAATTCAGTCTGTTAGTAAAAAGCTATCGTATGGCTTCATAAGACTCTCAGACACAAAGGAAATTTCGATTCCTCATAATATGACCCCTTTAAGGTTTAATATACACAAAGTCTTTACCTATAAATTCCTCTTATATCAAGTGGTGGAAAACCAAAGCCACATGAATCATCTGGAGGCATGCAAATCTTAATGGAGACTGAAATTACATCAGGGAAATTAAAGAGCAGTTATGCATTTAACTGGAACCATCAAGAGTTGTAACATGACAAACCCTTGATGCGATCTTCTTGTTCTGATACAAAAGCTCAACGTTTGGAAAGGTTGTTGTCATAGACACGAGCACAAACAAGTTTGCAAAATCTGCCAAAATAAACAGAGAAATCAGACGTGTGTTCTGGCTAACTTTTAGGTTTTGCTGAAGTTCAAGGGGCACATGTGCTCAGCTGACTACAGCTTTCTCATACAAATCTCAGCCCACACAAATATGGATGCCTTGGGTTTTTGGGGGGGAAAGCATTGCCTAAAAATGGAAGAACCACAGGCAGAATGGGTTTGTACTTTTTGGCACTGAAGCAGAGGAAAGGGACCGGGTAAGAACTCCTCCGCAACCGGAGTGTGATTTGTGGAGCAGTGGTGGTCTTCGTCGGGGAACACACAACATACGTGTGGACCACCTGTACTCCAGAATGTTTATCTCTGTTTTGGGTTGTAAATCATTTTAGCTAAGTGGTTGACCTGGAGCCATATGGATGGGATTTCACGTTGTCATTTATTTACAAGGTAACATGGTCATTTGTACAGCTGCAGCTACATTGTGGTAAGATGAGTGTTTGTATAAACTCAAGGTCTCTCAGCCAACACAAAGCCCACAGAGTAAGAGAGAGAAAGAGAAAAGAAGAGAAGAAAAGCAGAGGTGGCGCTTTCCATGAATACATTACACTTTGGGTCCCATAACTTTTTTTTTTTTTGTAAGATCCATTAGATAAACCATTATGTAACATAAAATTAAGCCTGCATGAAATGTAGCAAGTTTTAAATATATAATATGTCTGCATTTCCCCCTAAATAATGATTTTGGACTGTCCTACCTCCAAAGTCTTGGATCTTCTTAAATGTATACAACTAAAGTTATACAATGTCAAAATCATTTGTTGAATCATTCAATTTATTGTAATAAATGGACTATTTTTTAATATACACCATTTTAATATTATTACCGAAAATATTCCTTAATTCACTTATCAAGCTCACCAAGTTATTGTAAAACGAATATGATCAAACAAATACAATGAGCATTCTTTAATGTATGGGAAATATACATTAATAACTATTTAGTCCTTAATTAGCTTAGCTGCTTCTGAACAAATTTAGATGAAATTTGAAACTTTGTTACTCACTACAACATTTTTATAAATATAATAATAAAATATATATTTAGTGTTTATTGCTAGAATTACAAATGTACACAAATCTGGGTTTTAAACTATTTAGACATAGCCCAAACCTCATTTAAAATGAATGCTAAATACTAAAAAATCTATAGTTTGAAGTTGGCTATTAATATTTGTTTAAGTTTAAGCAACTCATTTTACTGACATTTAGTTTAGAAATACCTAACTATTAAACGGCTTAAAGGGATACTCCACTTTTTTTGGAAATAGGCTCATTTTACAACTCCCCCAGAGTTAAACTGTTGAGTTTTACCGTTTTTGAATCCATTCAGCCGATCTCCGGTTCTGGCGGTACCACTTTTAGCATAGCTTAGCATAGATCACTGAAGTGGACAAGACCATTAGCATTTCTCAAAAAAAAATGACCAAAGAGTTTCGATATTTTTCCTATTTAAAACTTGACTCTTCTGTAGTTACATCGTGCACTAAGACCGACGGAAAATGTAAAGTTGCGATTTTCTAGGCTGATATGGCTAGGAACTATACTCTCATCCCTGCGTAATAATCAAGAAACTTTACTGCCGTACCATGAGAGCAGCAGGCGTAATGATATGACGCAGCGCCTGAAAATAGGCCACCTTCCTTCAACACAATGGAACTATTTTCACGCGCCGCTCCTGTAGTCCACGATGTAACTACAGAAGAGTCAAGTTTTAAATAGGAAAAATATCGAAACTCTTTGGTCATTTTTTTTTTAGAAATGCTAATGGTCTTGTCCACTCGAATGATGTATGCTAAGTTATGCTAAAAGTGGTATCGCCAGAACCGGAGATCGGCTGAATGGATTCAAAAACGGTAAAACTGAACAGTTTAACTCTGGGGGAGTTGTAAAATGAGCCTATTTCCAAAAAAAGTGGAGTATCCCTTTAAGGCCCTATTTTGTATCCTATTCGTGGAAAATTACAAGTAATGTTTAAATGTGATTGGAAAGAAGGAAACAACATTGATTGAGACTGATGAGCATATTTACATGTTTAACAAACAAGCAAACAAACACAAAATAGCGCAGAAAAGCAGAACAGATGGCACTGAATTGCACTCTTCCTGTGTATAAAACAGTCTGCGGCATGATAATGGAGGGGACCAATTAGGCTGCAAGCAAGTGACTCCGTTTATGAAAAGACAGCAGATTGGATCCAAGCCAAAGAGCTGATCGGGGGGTCGGGGGGTCGGGGGGTTGGGGGGTTGGGGGGTTTGGGGGGAAGGTGGAAGAAGATGTCACTCACCCGTGCTGAGGGACAGTGCGGGTCCTGCAGTCTTTTCTGGCAGCATGTTCTTCATGTGATTTGCCTCTTCTGGTTGGTTGAAACAGAAAAAAAGATTTACCAGACAAAGAGTACACCCTGAGGAGAAACCACACCACACACACATACAAATGACACAGTCATTTTAACATAAAAAGATTGTGCTCGAGTCCAAGGCACTGTCGAGGAAATTAAGCTGTAATAAATCATTACCTCAGACGTACAAGCCCACAAGAATGATACACATTCATAGTAGTTTTAAAAGTTATGATGACCAAATAAAGTTACATAAAATGACAAAGAGCTATGGAATTTTGAAGACAAAACTCTTTCCCCTCTTCATGTCTTGATATGAATTCAGCTCAATAAGACAGAAAGAGAAAGAGAGACACGGTCTCTTGATTAAGTGAAAAAACAGATCCAGAAAGAGCTCAGATTTCAGATCCAGTTTGAAGTTTCTTCTAAAGAAAAGTCCACAGTCTTTCAGAAGACTTAAATCCACAAGACTGATTTTCCCCTTAAGTCTGGGGCACATCCTCTCTCTCTCTCCCCCCTTCTTTTTATTTTCTTTCCCTCTCTCTTTACTTTTTACTACTGATTTTATCTCCAGAAGTGGGCTTAAACTGACAAAACCTCCTGGTGGCGATGTCCCCAATTGGAAAAATTATTCATAAATAAAGCAAAAAAGTTTTTAAATACTTATTTAAAAAATGCAAATTATGTGTAGGGTTTATAGTGATTATAATTAGCCCTACATAAAAACAAAAGAAGTGTGAAAAGTAAGAAAATATTTTAAAAATCCACAGATTTGGGAGTGTTTTGCGAAATGTCTGACTGATCAAACAAACACTAGCTATGTTTCCATCCAAAGTTGTGAATTTAACTTCAAAATTGAAATATCACATAAAACATTAGCAAATAAAGCAGTGTTTTCATTCCACGTGTTCCAGAGTACAAAATAGTCACTTCCTGGGAAATTGGTGCAAAATATCTGTAATAAAAATGGAAGTTTTCGTACATCATAATTGACTTGCGCCTCAGAGTGCGCCGACGAAACGCAATCAAGGCCTCAATTGGGCGCATACGTTTTTTTATGCGTAATTTGTGAATTTATGCGAATCATAGCATTTACATTCAGCGTTTCATTCATTTTTATTTCATTCATTTAAAAACAAATGCAACGACAGCATTTAACATGAATGAAAAGGAGCAGAAAGAAGTAAAAACTTATAATGTCTGCCCCCTATATATAACATCTCAAAATGCGCATAAAAATAGGTGGATGGAATATAGCTCTCTCCAATAACCACATGTCAGGGGCGTTTCCTCCGAAGATGTACGATTGGCCTATTACGCTGTTCACGAGATAATTCCCGTCTCTCATTTTTGTGCACATTCCGCATTCGCAAATCATTCTGAATGAATAAATGATGTGCAAATGTGAAAGATAGCACACATACGTCTGGAAGATGTCTGTTAAAGATCACTTCATCTGGAAAGCATCTGCTGTTTACTAACATCTGATAGACGTCTTTAAGATGTCAGTTTTACATTCTAAATCATAAACATCTTAAAGACATTTTCTAAACGTCTATTTGACATCTGACAAGCTTCTGCCACATGTATAATAATCAATGCGCAAAAGACATGCTGTAAGCACACAGGCTTTTCCTGAAACACACTGCGTGAACACTCAAACTCCCATCAGACTCTCCTGAGAAGCCCACTCCTGCAGTCTGTGGCTGCCTATGAGAAGTCTGCGCAGGAAGTGGGGGATCGTTTTACGCTGTCAGCGACACAATCCTTCACCCTGAGTTCACCATCGCCCGCCACCTGAGAAAGCTTTGGCTTTCCTCTAAACCAACAAAGGGCTAAGTTGATTGTCTTATCCAGACAGAGGCAGAGCACCGGAAAATTTTCTTCATCTTGCCCCATTTGTCAATAATTATGTGAAATGCAACGTTGCATGGCAGTTGTTTCATTGTTATTGAAACAATGCAGTTACTTGGAACGAGGTGATGAGGTACTTTGGCTGCAATGTTATGATATGTGGTTATAGCTCAGGTTCTTTCAAATGCGCCAAATTCTCAGGTCTGCAGTTGTGATGTCTCTCTCACACTCTCTCCATCACCGGCTGACACTAACTCTCAAACATATTGAAAGCCTCCCTTCCCTCCCAGCCTAAAGCACATCATTTGATCAGCATAGTCTTGGACTGAAGGAGTGTACAATTACATACTATATGTCTCCATAATGGTATCATATGTACTGTAATCACTGCTCTCTAAAGTTTAACAGATTGCTTTAGTTTATGATCTTGGGAACAGACTGCAAAAACCTGAGTTTCACTAAACTCTGGGATTTCCAGATTGGGGTCTGCCCTGTACAAACCACATTCATTCTGTGTGATGATTTGCAGCACTTGTCAGCCTTTCAGCACGAAGACCCTGCCAAAGTGATGACAGAACACAACAAAAAGTGCCATGCTTAAAGATTTGATTTAAAACTATCTGCAGAGGTCTATAAATTCCTCCAGCTGAGCCAAAGAAATTTCAATGTTAACCATAGTTTCCATCAAATGCATTAGTTATAGTTCCTATACTACAGTTCTATCACCATACATTGAGGGGATATATCTGTGTGTGTGTGTGTGTGTGTGTGTGTGTGTGTGTGTGTGTGTGTGTGTGTGTGTGTGTGTGTGTGTGTGTGTGTGTGTGTGTGTGTGTGTGTGTGTGTGTGTTTCAAAGAATGTGCACATGAAAGAGAAAAACACATCTGATCAAGTTAAGTAACACTAACACTGAGGCAACCTATTGCACTCACCGCTAATCGCTTTAATATACAGGGATTAAGCGAGTTAAATATCAACGATCTGCTCGTTTGCGCCGCAAAGCAAACAACCACACACGCGACTCTGTTTAAACGCCATTCACTGGCGTCACGTCGTGTTTGTCAGTCTAAAGTTCTATAAACATGCCTTTAACCTACTTTACTGCAGAACAAAACCAGCACACGACGGCTCAGAACTTCTCTGTCAATCCCTACCCGACTTTGGTCCACAAAATTAATTTCCCAACAATAACTCTTTTGTAACTATGCAAAACGCCTAACTTAATCGTATCAACGCAGTTACGCTCTTCACTAAGCTCCAAGTGATTTTTCTTGAGCTCTGTATACAGTTGAAGGATTAAAACTAACCTTTATTTAGTGTCCCATTGACGAAGCATCAGGAGGAGAATGATGCGCGGTCGGTCCTCTCTGTGCCCGACCAGTTTAGCATGACAAAAGAGGACAGAGGCGATGCTGAGTGAGTGCGGCAAGACCTTGGCCGTGTCTGCGGACACGCCTCCTCTCAGCGGGGGACGCGCTTCAACAGAACTTTGGCTTTTTGGTTGATCGAGAACGCGCTCTAATGGAACTCTGACTTTTGGCTGATCAGACAGTGACTCACAGACAGTCACGGGGGCCCATCAGGACTGCCTATACATAGGGCCCGGGATCTTGTGCTACGCCCCTGGTCACACACACCACAAATTGATGTAGTTCATGGGATACTTCACTTGCAAGTTTGATCATGCCAATTTAACATATTCTCAGTTGTAACTCAATTTTCTGTTTGCTTACTGTAATGTATGAGTCGATCTTTAAGGTCTGGTAACAATTAGCCTACCATACCAATCCGTTCACAGCGAGCTATACATTTGCTAGCCAACAAAAACAAAATAACTTGATTCTTTAACCATCTTTTTTTTTTTTTCATTGAACACGCCCTGTAATTTAGGTCCTACAGATGGTTTCATAAACACACATACACATATAGGCCTACATATAGGCTATATATATATATATATACACACACACACACACACACACACACACACACCAAGTGTCCCTACAAGAATAATATCAGTAATTTTTTACCTTGTGGGGTCATTTGGTTGGTCCCGGAAAAAAAGCTCCTAAAAAGTTAGGAGCTAGTAAATGTCATTAGCTCAGAATAATAACCAGTACGACTATGGAATGTCCTCATAATGATAGGAATACAGTGTGTGTGTGTGGCCTGGTAATTATGGGGACAAAATGTCCCCACAAAGATGGCAATATCAAAAATCCTTGTCCTTGTGGGGACATTTGAGGAAAACAGCTTATAAATCATACTAAGTAATGTTTTTTGAAAATGTAAAAATGCAGGAAGTTTTCTGTGATGAATGGTATTCAGGGGTAGGGTTAGTGTAAGGCGATAGAATATACAGTTTGTACAGTATAAAAATCCTTATGTCTATGGAAAGTCCCCATAAAACATGAAAACACAACATGCCTCTGTGTGTGTGTCTAATAATTATATATAATTAACTTTGTATTCAAACCTAATTAAAACGTGTTCAAGTTCTTATAGCCAAAAGTAGTAAAAAAAAAGTGCAAAGTAGAATTTCCCTTATTTGAAGACTATACATTTTCTGTAAAAGGGAAGTTTTGGCCAGTCCAAAACAAGCATTTGTGTGTGTGTGTGTGTGTGTGTGTGTGTGTGTGTGTTTCACTGGTTGGAAATCTTCTCCTTGACCTTGCATTAAATCCATGAAGAGAGTGCATTGGCATATTTTCCATTGTAAATTTCCTTCAGTGTAACAGTGTACAGCTGGGAGGAGGGTGGGGGGAAGAGAAGGAAAGATGGTCCCCTCCTCCTGCCGCCCAGCGGGCACTCTGTTCTCCATCACTCACAGAGCTCCAGTTGCATCATGGGGAGGGGGCGCTGGAGTGCTGCCCAGCAACTCTGATTACTTCCAGATCTCGGCTACACATTTCAACACACTTAAACACAGACATCTCCATATTCATGCACTCATACTACAGCACATGAACGCATGCGGATAAAGGCAATTATAAACATTCATTCTGAATACACTTATAGTTGAGCTAGATATATACCAGATGCAGTTTTGTATATTTTTTAAAACAGATATCACACTGGCCTGTTGGAGATGCATGAAACAGCAAGTAAGTTTAGGAATGCCTTAATCTATCTGTCTCTAATGTGTATAATATGCATGCATTGGAATTGCAAAACTTGCGTGTCTCATCATCTGTTTATGCTTGTCTACATCTTATGACGTCTCCGAGTGCTCTAAATACTTACCTGAGTACTTTAGGACACATAGTCCTACAGTTACTGACCCTTAAGAAAAATAAAGTTTGACGAAGAGGATAAGAGATTGAGAGGGAGGAGTAGGGGTGTGTGACCAATCAACTATTAAACACTGAAACATTCTCTGGAAGTCTGGAGTCACACAGAAAAGTGTGATCTCATATCACTCTGATCAGCAAACGCAGGAGGAAAAAGAGAGACGGCAAAAGAGAATAAAAAAGAGAGTTTATTGCTAAACATATGACAGAAAATCAAAAGATCAAAGAATGCAAGAGGGAGAGAGAAAGTGGGTGCGAGATGTTATTACTGTGGTGTGTCAGGCATGAGTGGTATCACTGGACAGGAAGTGATTCATTGCTGTCGTTTGTTTTGATTTCTCTCTTAGGCCGCAAGCAAGCATGGTTAGATCCACAGATCCTGCTGAGTGGCCGAATAAGACATGCCCACATTAAATAGTTGACCTCCCTTTATAACAATGACCTCTGGGAAGGCTCAGATATGAAGGAGCACTATTGATGCAATAAAAGCAAGTGGTCAGTAGTGCTTAGAAAAGTGAGGGATTTCTAACTGAAGTTAGGAATGTAGGCTAAAAATACTGTGTATAACCTAGAGACAGCTTTGTTGGCTTGGTGACTGGAACTCCATCAAGACAGCACATATTTCCATTGGGGTGTAAAGGGGCGGAGGAAAGGGATGGGATCAGGAAAAGTCCCAGGATATGACTTCCCCCAAAAAACAACGGTGCTATATGTCAGCACGCTTTAAACTGATGCTGATTCTATTTTGTGTGTGGATGGAGCTTAACCAGCATCAGTTTAAAGATTTATTCCTTGGCATTTTTGTCTTATGATGACAAGAGAGTATGTAGTAGATAGGAAGCGAAGTGGGAGAGAGTGAGGGGAGACGGGATCACTAGCTGGGACTTGAATATGGTCACAAAAAGCTCAACAGTACTCTATGTCAGCGAGCTGCCCAAAAGCGAACACTCCAGCTGTCGGAATCCATTCCCCCACCCATATGATTAGAGATGTTGATGTAATGACTTAAAAAATGCTGATTCTGTGTGCAAGGAGCTTAACCAGGGGACAACTATCCAACATCAGTTTTGTGAATATTAGAACCTCATTTTGTGAGAAACATGGGGGGGAACAGAATCCGACGGCAAACAATCCAGATGTCAGAATCCGTTCCTCCAGCCGTTTGATGAGAGATATTGATGTAGTGACTTAAAAATGTCTAATTCTATACTGTGTGTGCATGGAGCTTAACCAGCACCAGTTTGATAAATATTAGAACTAAAATGTGTAAGAAACATGGGGGGAACAAAATCCGACGGCAAACAATCAGCTGTCAGAATCCGTTCCCTCACCCCCAAAACGTGGAACGTTGATGTAGTGACATTAAAGATGCTGATTCTATCCTGTGTGGTCATGGAGCTTAACCAGCATCAGTTTAAAGATTTATTTTTTGCATTTTTGCCTTTTATCATGAAAAGAAAGTATGTAGAAGTGAAGTGGGAGGGAGAGAGGGGAGGACAGGATCAGTAAAAGGCTACGAGCTGGGAGTTGAACTCAGATCACCCAAAGCACAGTGCTATATTTCAGCGAGTTGCCCACTACGCTATCAGGGACAACTAGCCAGCATCAATTTTGTGAATATTAGAACCTCATTTTGTAAGAAACATGGGGGGAACAGAAACCGACAGCAAACAATCCAGTTGTCAGAGTCTGTTTCCCCACCCCTATGATGGGAAAAGTTTATGTAGTAGTGACTGAGAAAGCTGCTGATTCTATCCCGGTGCATGGAACTCAACTAGCATCAGCTTAATAAATATTAGAACCTCATTGTGGAAGAAGCATATCTGTGATTAGTGGAATGAATGGATACATAAATAAAAACAAAAATATAGAAATGAATGAATGAATAATTGAATAAGTAAAGAAAAATATAATATTACTACATAGAATAAAATGTCAAACTTATTTAACTGAAAGTAAACATTGATTTCGGGACAATGGAACCAGAAGTGCTAAAATGCTAGCCTGTTTCCGGGTTTTGGCTTACACAGACACTCTATTCACAATTGTCATAATGTGGGTCAATGTGTCCTGTCATGTTTAGTGGTTCCCTGTCTTGTCATTAGTTTTCCCAGGTGTTTCCCATTTACCACGCCCCCTTGTTATCCTATCTAGCTCGTGTGTCTCTGATTATTTAAGCCCTGTGTTTCTGCCCTGTCTTTGTCAGTTATTGAATGAATGTATTTACGTACCACGAGTGTCTTGTCTGTTCTGAGTTTACCCAAGTCTGCATTATTAAAGTCTACTGCTGCATTTAGATCCGACTACCGCCTTTGCTTCCACGCAATTCATGACAGAATAACTGACCACCAGGATCTAGCCGGGAACCACCGACCGTAAAGCAAGAGGTATGATGATGGAGGACGGATTCTCCCAGAATGGACGGTCGCTTGATGAGTACGTGGGGGCTTACCTAGAGTTTTATCATGAGACTAATTTGAGTGAGGAAACACTCAAGTAAAATTTCTGGAGTGGGATGGACGACACGTTCGGCGCAATGCTTCTGTTAGATGCGGAACACCTCTCTTTTGTGCAGTTCCTGGACCGAGCGTTGTGGGTGTGTGGTTCGTCACTCACTGTAGGACTCGCTGAGGAAATCAGCTGTGTTCCCAAACCAGGGCATTCCGTCAAGACCGTTCCAGGTAATTCCAAGCACAGTTCACGTAAGAGAGTTTCCAACCGAGCTCTGAGAAAGCCCGTTCGCCGCATCCGCACTACCGACACCGCGCTCCACAAGCCTGCAATTCACGTCTGCCCAGTCGAGCCCGCGCTTCACTTCAGCCCTGCCGACACCGCGCTCCACAAGCCTGCAACTCACGTCTGTCCAGCCGAACCCGCGCTTCACGTGAGCCAAGTCGAGCCTGCTTTTCACAACATGCCTGAGCTTCTTCCCGCCGAGACCGATCATGCCTGAGTTTTTGTCTTCCGAGCCCGCGACTGACGTCTGCCCAGCCGAACCCGCGGTTCCCGAGTCAAGTCCCGAGTCAAGTCCCGAGTCAAGTCCCGAGTCAAGTCCCGAGTCAAGTCCCGAGTCAAGTCCCGAGTCAAGTCCCGAGTCAAGTCCCGAGTCAAGTCCCGAGTCAAGTCCCGAGTCAAGTCCCGAGTCAAGTCCCGAGTCAAGTCCCGAGTCAAGTCCCGAGTCAAGTCCCGAGTCAAGTCCCGAGTCAAGTCCCGAGTCAAGTCCCGAGTCAAGTCCCGAGTCAAGTGAATCGAGAGAGTCAAATGAATCGAGAGAGTCAAGTGAATCGAGAGAGTCAAGTGCCAAGTCAAGAGCTGATTCTAACCAAGTGAGTGAATCTAGCCCAGTGACTCGCCGTCGCAGGAGGAGAAGGAGGACTCGTTTGGTTCGCCAGGCTCCGGTGGGTGTTCCCAGACGCCTCGCCCTGCCGGCCCCGCCTCTGCGCCTCGCCCTGCCGGCCCCGTCTCTGCTCTTCGCTCGGCCAATGTCTATGAAGCTCCATGAGACTGTCCCAGAGCCCGTTGCCAGCCCGGAGGTTGTCCCCCTAGGTTTTCCCAAGTATTTTTTTGGGGGGGGGCCAAGGGTCCGGTGAAGAGACCATGAAGGCTGCGCCGCCATGGTCGTCTGCAGGGGCTTCACCACCCTGGCCTTCGCCTCGTCCTGCTCCGCCCTGGCCTTCGCCTCGTCCTGCTCCGCCCTGGCCTTCGCCTCGTCCTGCTCCGCCCACACTCTGCGGCCCTTGCCTAGTAGGTCCTGGTCCCGTTCCCCTGCACGGGCCTGGCCCTCCATCCCTCCCCCAAGACCGCCTGTGCTTCACCGCCCTCCTGAACTTTTGTGGGGTTTTTTTTGTTTTGTTGGGCGTCAGGAGCCGCCCTTAAGGGGGGGGGTTATGTCATAATGTGGGTCAATGTGTCCTGTCATGTTTAGTGGTTCCCTGTCTTGTCATTAGTTTTCCCAGGTGTTTCCCATTTACCACGCCCCCTTGTTATCCTATCTAGCTCGTGTGTCTCTGATTATTTAAGCCCTGTGTTTCTGCCCTGTCTTTGTCAGTTATTGAATGAATGATTTACGTACCACGAGTGTCTTGTCTGTTCTGAGTTTACCCAAGTCTGCATTATTAAAGTCTACTGCTGCATTTAGATCCGACTACCGCCTTTGCTTCCACGCAATTCATGACAACAATATGTTGTGACGACTTTATTATGAGAGATGTTAGTCAATTTTGGCTCAGAAACAACTGCTCCTAAAATTGCACTTTGATTGGACTTCACTTCTCACAGAAGAACTGATATAAAATGCCTTTATGATGTCATCAAATTACTGTACGCTTTTAAAATACTGAATATACCACACTGCTCTGGAAACCCCCACATTAAATAACTGTTATTAAACTCAGCAGGTGGTGAGAGGGTCAATATTCAAACTCAAGTTTAGTTCAGCCATCATGACCTCAGTTTAATGGGCTACATTATTCCAATCTAGCTGAAGGAATGTTTCCTGTGCACAGTCTGGAAACTTTAATTGTCTCAGAGCAGCAAGGTTGCCATGTAGAATATAACACACCCTAGCAGAGTAAAACATTTTCATGCTTTTTGCATAAACAAGTAAAAAGAGCCAATAAATACTTGGGCAAGAGGTATCAAAGTAATAAAGCCACTACCTACTGATCAGGTGTGGCTGACTGTGACCACACCTTCAGGCCACTCCCACTGTCAACTAAATGCAATACGTTTTCTAAGGATAACAGCAGGAGTTTCAACAAAGCTTATTAAAGATGTTCACCCCAATTATGACATTTACCGACTAACAATATGTTAGAATATCTAAACCTAACTTTCTCTCTTCTGAGGAACGCATTGTTTTGTGGAATGTTTGTAAGCAAGTGATCAATCTAATATATCCTTATATCCGATTATATCCTATTGAAATGAATGGGAATGCTAACAGACAGCTTTCTTCAGGTATTGTAGACCTCCTTAGACAATGTTTTAAGCTTTTAAACAAAGATAAGCAAAAATAAATCTGCAAATAAAATTATGGATTTACTCCTCTTACTCAAGCACCGCTGCAGTAAAATATATCGTAAACCCTCTAAGTCCTGGTGAAGTGATTTAGTTTCATAGTTGCTGGAGCAGGTTTTTATAGGCCATTTAATATAGCCTGAGAAAAAGACCCTTCACATACTAACTGTGTTTGAAAATGGGCTTAGCGGATCTCCCATTTGCTCAGAATGAGATTAATTTACAGATGCACACATATGCATAATCAGAGACAAAATAGAAGTTTTAGAGAAAGGAGGGTAGTCTCAGTTTATGAGAGGAGGAGGACATGAAAAGAGTGTGGGGGAATGTTTTCATGAGATCTTCTGGGAGCAAGTCAGAAAAGGGACAGAGGGAGAAGGAAGAAAAGAGGCCAGGCTGAAAGGGCTTACTATAAATTGCCATGATGGAAAAACAAATAAATAACAGAAAAAGTACCATGGTACTTTGAGGAGGCACATGACTGGCAGCCAAAATGAACAAACAAAGAAACCCTTACAATCAAGCTAACCATTACACCAGTCTAATTATTTAAAGGGAAAGTTCACCCAAAAATGAAAAGGCTGCCATAATTTACTCCCCCTAACGTCGTTCCTGTAGTCTATTACTTTTGTTCTCTTTTCAACGGAAGAGAGTAAGGACTGATGCTGTCCAGTGAAACACAATTAAAGTAAAAAAGGTCCATATTTCTTCTGAAGTAAAAAACTAATTTGGAATGACATGCAAGTGGCAAGTGACGCTTTGTGCGCCAGCATATGGTTTATAATCATGAGCTGACTAACCCAGATTAACAAAGCTAATCTTAAATGATCTAGAATCCCCCAAAAGTATGTTTATCTAGGTCTTCTAATAATTTTATCTTTAAAAAGCAGCACAGCAGTTCTGCTCTGGGATATGTCATGAAACAAGGCTATTCCCCTTGTTCTCTCCAGCTGGCTGGAGTTCTGGGTTTTTCTTTTTGCTCCTTCGAGAGGAAGTGAGGATCAGAAACAGCTGAGAGCGCTTGACTCCCCTTGTCTCTTAGTTTCTGTACGTGAGGTCACTGGGCTAGTCCATTTCTCCCCAATAACAAAGATCTTGAAAACCTATTGAGAAGACTTTGCATCACCTTATAAGCTAAAAGGGGGGTATAACCTTGTAGCAAAAAAGCATACAATCCATCAGCCATATCCACAGTGACTGTGGTGACTGTGAATAAAAACCCCTCAGAAGTCACACTCTTTCTGGATAAGCGTAAAACAACATTGATTGCTAACAAAGAAACTTTTCGCATTACTTGCATTTTATTTGTCAATTATTGGCTACATATATATTGTTAATAAATCTTTGAGCTGAAATTTGATGTGTCTGTCGTGCAGGGCAGAGGACGAGCACACTCGCTCACCCCAAAACTGTTTACTCCCTTAGTGTACTGATTAGCTTGATGTTTACAGTAATGCACTGTATTACACAATTACAGTACCATGTTACTGTAAAACTGAAATACGTTAAGGTACTGTAAATCTTAATTACAGTAACTTACTGGCAACAGTGTTGCCAGTAAGTTACTGTAAAAAACCTTGAAAAGTCTAACAGTGTACCCTAGACAAAACTTTACCCCTGGTACGTAACAATAGCGATTTTTCTATAAGTGCAACTATCTAAGTTTACTTGACCATGTTGTCATGGCTCACTAGGTTTCTTTATTGTTTCACATTCATTGGACCATTCAGATTTACAGACTATGCAAACAAGTGAGATGATTATCCTATAAGCTATTTAAGGAGCTATTTAAAAGTGAGCAAGAGTCTGTTTATAATAATAGCCTGATTATAATCTTACCCCGGAGATGCTCATGTCAGACTGGAGGGATCATTAGGTCAGATCACATACAGTAAGCTTTAAAGTCCTGTATATTTAAAGTCCACTCAAGCTTTAATCATCTCTGGTTCCCCATTTAATTAACATTGATGCAGTTACATAGCTTACAGTACGATTGACACACAGCTGAACAAGCTCGAAAGAGACATTTCTGTTCTTTAATTTTTAAACGTCCGCGAGGGACGGATATGTCGCCCTGGAAAAAAGAGGGCGACATATCCTTCCCCAAAATCTTGAGAGATTTACTCTAAAAGCAGCCTGAAGTTATTACTTAAATATACTCTGTGCGTTTGTGTGTTGCACAAGTAGTTGTTCACGGTCGAGTAATAGTAGATTAAAAGTATGTTCTTCTTTTTTTGTTTCTTAAATTTTACGAAAACACTTGCCCAATATCTTTTTTCTGACAGAAAAAAGCACGCTTTTAGCCCAAAGAAAAGCAGATAGGTCAAGCTGATATACGCAAATAGAAATATCACCACCTCCTGGTTATAGACTGGCACATTTCACAATCATAGACTGTTTATTTATGCATTTCACACAAGTCACATAGTCTGTTCACATTGTCACTTTCTATATCAAAGTGAGATAAATAAACCACTAATAAAACTAATTAAAAATGAAAAGGGTTTTTCATTTCATAAGCTTTATCTAAATTATGATTACCTAAAAAGTCTGAGGATTGTATACTTGTTTAAAGACACATAACTTGATATAATGTGCAAGACTTATAATAATAAAACACTTTTATATTAAAATGTATTTTATTAATTGAGCATATTGAGTTTTCAGCTGGGTGATTTGTGTTGTTAGATTTTGTCCAAAATAACTACACATTATTATTTACAATAGGTCATGCATTCCAGAAGTGATTATAACTAGCACCATTTCAAATTATTAAATGTATATCACCTGAAGCCATTAATCTGTGAGAGCTCAGGTGTGGCAAATCTCTGAATCATTGTACTTTCCATCTCTACTCCATCTGCTGAGTGTGATTCAGATTTAAGTTCATTTTCTCTATTATCAGATGCATCAGTATTCATCTCAGATGTGAGCAGAGTTATTATAGCACCTGTAGGGGATTGCGGCCTGGATTCATGTCTTTCCACTGGTGTGTCAGATGTAGAGGAATCACTAATAATCATGCACGTATTTATTACTGTTGGTGGATGTGGCAGGACGTCATTATTAAGGCAGTCAGGATCTTGTTTAAATGGCTTGGATGCTTCAAAAGGTGTTGTGTTGCATGGTGCTCTGCGAATTTCTGTCTCCACTGATTCCAAACCATTGTTCCCGGGTTCATCTGGTCTTTGTCTTTCAAGTAGAGGGATTTCTGCCAAAATGAATAAAGGATATTAGAGAGTGCTGCATTCACAGCAGTATGAATGCATGAATGAGGATCATTGTTTACCGGTTTTGTTGGTACATCTGATGCGTTTATTGATGTCTGAATGGCCACGTACTGGATTTTCACCTGCAAGAGACATTGTGCATAAAGTAAAAGCTAAAGGGTAATTGCTTTAATAATATATTATATTGTATATTTCACAATATATTATTATAATATTTTATATAATATATTATATAATTAATATAACTTTATATATGTGTGTGTGTGTGTGTGTGTGTGTGTGTGTGTGTGTGTGTGTGTGTGTGTGTGTGTGTGTGTGTGTGTGTGTGTGTGTGTGTGTGTGTGCGTGTGTGTAAAAATGTGTAATAAAAATATATATTATTTTTAATGTTATTATAATAAAGTAAATGTTGAATAATATTATATTGTGTAATATTACAAACCATATTATAATATTTCATATACTATATCTATAATAAATATTATAAATGTATGTATATTGTGTAAAATATTATCTAACAAATATATTATTATCAATAATATATTGCTATATGTCAAAATATGTATATTTAAAAATGTATTTTAATAAAGTTAAAGCTAAATGGAAACTACACTAAATATATTAAATATTACATGTCCATTGTATAAATAATTGTGTAACAAAAATATATTACAATATTTTATATAATATAGTATTATATTATATATAAAATATTGTAATATATGTTTAATATATATATATAATTATTATATATATATAGTAAATACACAGTTTTTACATACTATATATGTAAAAACTGTGTATTTACTATATATATATATAATAATTTTTTCATTTGTTATTATAATAAAGTGAAAGCTAAAAGGAAATTGCTTTTATATAGTGTAAACAATGAGTAATAAAACTTTCAATAACCTGTTGCGACATGTCAAAATATATTATTATATTTTTAAATATTAAATACTTTATTTACCTCTCAGTCTAAAACATCGTGATAGAGCTACAGATACAGTGATGAGAAATATGAAGACAGACGCAGCGGTTCCCCACCATGACCTCCTGCAGTCATACTCATCATCATCTGGGAAAAAAAAGTATAGTATTATGTATTGACATTTTAGTCATTAAGTGAAATGATCCTGTTCCAAACACATGAAGTAAATCTTACCAGTCACGCGAACTGTAACATTGACATGGGTTTGGACTTGATGTCTCATTTGGAAGCCGTAGAATGTGCAGATGTAGGTTCCGCTGTGTCCCAAGCTGTCTGGATTCGGCAGATGAAGGGACCCGTTGCCTAAGTGAGCCTGATCTATGTCGAGTTCAGCTTTGCTTTCCCACAGGTTCGCGATCCGACGGGTCCGGCTGTCGTAAGTGAAGATGACGGAGGATTCTGTGGTTCTGATGAAGGTCCAAGTGAGGGTAAAATTGTGGCGAAGTTGTGGTATCATGCAGGGGATCATAAGTCCAGAGCCCTCCTCACCAAGTAACATATCTAAAAGATTCAAACGATTCAAATAGCTGATTGAAGGTATGACAAACACCTTTCTTGACATTGTTTTAGCAAGTGTCAGAAATGGAAACTGTTACCTTGCTGATGCAGTGATGCGGTCCACACCTGTGTTCCATCCGCGGAGACAACAGAGCAGAAGTAAGTGTGGTCAGAGATGTTGCCCATCACACTGATGGCGCTCTCAACGGTGAACAGGCCCTTGGAGTCTGAGGTTTTACGAGTGAAGTTCTGGAGGCTTCTGATGTCACTAGGGGGATCAGTGGCCCAGGTGACCTCAGGAGCTGGATAGATGTTCTGGGACAGACATGTGACCCTTTCCTCAACCATCTCAAGCTTCACAAACTGGATCAGAGCTAAACATAAAAAGAAAAAGTACCACATGAATCAATTAGTTATTATTTGAACTGTGTATCTATACAAACTTCTAAACTTTTTCATGTTATCTTGTCTACATGCATGCATTGTAATACGACTACATATTTGTCAGCATATCTTTAATTCTGAATTAAATCTCATGGTCTCTGGAAAATGACTGGTATAAACATCTAGTGAATTACTAAATTAAGGGTTTTCAAACGTTTTAATGCCATATATTATATAATGTTATTTACTGCCATTTGCTATAATAAATACATGGAATTATATGCTATATATTTTCATGTATAAACTGTCATTTAAAAATAAAAGAATATTTATCTATTCTTTGTTATTGTTAACACCCTTTTGTGCTTAAGAACAAGAAACAAACCTGGAGGGAAAAAAAATATAAAAAAATATATATATATATATTTTCAATATTAAAATAAATACCTTTTTTTCAAAATAAAAAATCTGAAAAATTACTTTCTATTAAATGAATACTATTTTATTATCTGTCAGTAGAAACAAATACTTTGTGATTAATCTCATTTGGGTTTTTTTATTTTTTACTTCCGACCAAAAATATCTTAACATAGTATTTACTTTTTGTATGTTACTCTTTTGTGTTTTCAATATTAAAATAAACGTTTTTCAAAAGAAAATAATATATCCGAAGAAAATAATTTCTATTAAATTAAATAAAAAAAATCTGTATTATGTCAAAAGAATAAATTACCTGAAATTAAAATTTATTATTATTAATTTTTTAATTATTTCAATGTCATTTGTTACTTGTTTGTTACTTGTTACTTTTACACTATTCTTAAAAGTTTTCTACAGACCCCACTAGCGTCCTCTTGTGGCCCCATGAGAGTCCTTTGACCCCAGTTGGAAAACTAAATTCCTTTTACAGTAGGTGACCAAAAAATTTTACACTTTGTGAAAAGTAGCTTTTTACATCAGACAATAACCAAAGCAAACTCAAACAATATGACCAGACCATGACCTCGTTACTGACCTTTCACCCCCAGGTTAACAAAGGTTTCCTGGTTTCCCTTCCTGGTGATGGTGTAGCACTTATACCTCCCTTGATCCTGGACTTTAACTTTCCTCAGCACCAGAGAGGCATTTCCCTGTGTAATCTGGGAATTAAACAGGTTCGTCCGGCCACTGAAATGCTTGTTCTGGAGCCCGTACTGGTCTTTATTGTAGTAGTAGCTATGGACGGGGATTTGCTGCTTGTACCAGTGGATGACCACGGCTGCCGTGGGCCTGAAACTGCAGGGTAGCACGCAGTCTTCTAAGAACAGACACGTTACGTGTGCATCTAGAGTGAGACCAGCACATGTAAAATAACTGCAATGTTAAATTCAGTTTTGCTTTGCATACAAAAATGCTTACCAGCCATCAAAACTGTTCTAAGGACATTTTGTTAACGTTCCCATTGAGTTATCCAAAAATAAAATTGTAAGCCTATTATAAGTGTTTATAGTTTAGACCATAGACAGTATAAGAAAGGTTTAGACCATAGGGTTTAGACCTGTCATGATGGTGTTCGCGGGTAATTTCGTACGTCACTCGCACATGCGTGCCTCGTCGTATTATCAAATAGAGAAGAAAAGAAATGTCCGTAAATATTGAAAATTTGCTCCGAAAACTTTGTCGCGGGTATGGTGTGGGTTATAGTTGTCAAAAAGGTTGACAGCACGCTAAATTCAGAACAGAATATCTGGTGGCAAAAAGAGAACGTGACACTGACAGAGCTCGAGAATCAACATTGCTTTGGCTTTTTGGAGATGGCCACAACATTTGACATGATGTAAAAGAGATGGCGTTTTTATTACTCAATAGGTGAGTAAGGTATTGAACATATATTGCCATGTAGCTCTCTAACAGAGTCCATTGTAAAACATTATCTGTTGTAAAAGGTATAGGCTATTCACTTGCACAGTCAGGCAGAGCCTCAGCACAACCAAAACAATATTCTTCCGTAAAATGCACGCAGTTTTTTAACCGCTAGAGGGCGTAGTGTACCATTAAAAACGTTAGACAAACTAAAACGTTTCAGAAAAACGTTCCATATAACTTTGAACGAACATTCTCTAAACATTACTGGAAGAACATTTGTTCATAACTTTGAGAGAACATTCCCTGTTAGCTGGGTCACTACAGATTCTGTTCTGGTTGTCTTGGTTTAAAATAGCTTTATGCCAAACAATGCCAAATCCTCAAATAACAAAACTGCACATTTGCACATAAATATTTAGTCATGAACCTGTTCTTTTATTCAAATAGACTGTAATGTAAATGCTTAAATGTTTGTACTTGTAGGCTGCTTATGAGAATGAATAAATCACATATTCATTCTCGTCAAAGTCAGTCTTTGTTCTTGTTCTCGTTTACCAGTGTCATTATCCGAGACTAATGGAGTTTCCTACAAGTGCTGCTTTGATCCATTCACTGAGCAACTACAGCTACTTAAATGACATACAACTAAATGATATACAACTTAAATGCCAGAGATGGAAAATGCAGGGGAAAAAATGACAAAACAAGTACCATTCAAATAAAATGAAATAAATATTCCAGTAACAATTTATTCACGTATCATGTACAAAATATTTGATCTTGCATTTTATATATTTTTTTATTATAAATGAAAAATTTTATTTAAAAAAAAATAATATATAGGCCTATATATATATATATATATATATATATATATATATATATATATATATATATATTTCAAGAAGACAACATTTAAAAGCATAAAGAAACTTTCCTACAAGACATGGATGGTGATTATATCTCACACTGAGAAGTATCAAAAGTGAGCATGCGTGTATATGTGGTCTTACCTTTAGTAATGATGATACCAGAAATGCGAGTCCTAAGTGAAAGCACAAATGCAACACACAGAAACAGCAGATCCATGACTGTCGGACTATGCCACACGTTCAGATCAAATTTACTGTGATGCCACAATCTTTCTCTGTATGTGTGCATGTGTCCTGAGATTGTGTGCGCGTGAGAAAGGGGGAGAGAAAGACCCTTGTGGACATATCAATTAAACCGGTAAAAGATTAACCAGAGTGCATGAGTGGACATATAGTGACCAGAACTGGTTTGGCCATGTAAAGGGTACAGTTAAGCAGAGGATAAAGAAAAGAACAGGCCGGGTCATTAAAACCTCAAAGCAGACTGGTGTGGTCTGTCCATGCATGTGTCATGATGTGATTATTGATCAAATTCACTTTTGATCAATTTAATGTATCTTTGCTAAATAAAAGTATGAATTTCTTTACAAAAACAATTCTGCTGGCCCCAAACTTTTAAACAGAAGTGTAATTACAAAATGGATGGAAAATTACTAATGAAATATCGATATATATTGATATATTTTTTATAGGGCTCATCCAAAATAAAAGTTTGTGTTTACATAATATATGTGTGTGTATTGTGTATAATTATTTTTAATACATAAATACCCACACATGCATGTGTATTTAAGAAATATTTGCATGTATATACTGTATATAGACTGAATGTAGCCTATATATAATGTATATATTTTATATAAATATAAACATTTTATATATAAATAACATATTTTTCTTAAATATATACGTGTGTGCATTTATATACAAAATAATTATACACCATACACACACATATATTATGTAAACACAAACTTTTATTTTGGATGCGATTAATTGTGATTAATCGTTTGACAGCCCTAATTTTTTAATAATACAATTTAGTGTAATTACAAATATTGTAAAAACAGCCAGTGTGAGATTTATGGGAAATTTATAATAAATTATTGATAAATAATGTATTTATTTTTTAATATTTTCTTTTTTTAATATAATCTTTAAAAAAATATATTTAATCAAAGTAGCATTCAAAAAAATAATATACAAGAAATGTTTGGTTTCTTCTGAATGTTTCCTGAATGACATTTTGTTCGCACAAATCCTCAGAGTGCAAATAAAGTCCCATCAATTGGTCTTCCAACTTGTATTTCATACTGGCTTCTCTATTCTAATATTCTTTTTTCTTTCCATGGTTAACTGTGAGAACCCGAAGGCTCTGTCAAAAGTTTACTTCCAGCTTCTGGCTCTTCCAATGTTTTGGCTATGAAAGACAAAAGAAAAACATTCAGTTGCAAAATTGAAAATCTATGTTTGGAAATTTGACTTCGTCTTTACATGGCAGGGAACTTCTATAAAGTTCTTCTTATGACTTGACAGTACCTGAGTTCATGCTTTGCATTTCCGCATCCTCTTCAGCGTTTTCTTGATTTCTTTTCAATTTTGCTGCAAACATAAACATGAATATACCACACAACAATAAACACTATTATGCAGATGAAATATTACGGATTGAGTTCTGTTCACTGTATTACCTCTGTATTTTTTTATAACCAAAGTGATTGCGAGAAGAGCGATTAATCCTGCGACGATGCCCAGCATCCACAGATTATATTTAAGAAAATCTACAAAGAGAGAGAGACAGATGTTTTAAAAAATAAACTGCCACAATGTTTTAGCAGGAAATGAGTTCTAGGTTTGGTCCGACAGATTCATTATTGGATGGATGAGTTCATGGATCAGTGGATACCTTTCCCCTGCCTGGAGGATGTAAAAACAACACGGGTCTGGATCACATGACGCGTCTTTGCTCCGGAGAGGGCACATGTGTAGATTCCAGAGTGCTTTGAGCCAACAGGTTTCTGCAGGTTCAGTGAAACATCCCCTTTCAATGCATTTTCCTCTTCTAGTTCTGCATGATCCCAGGAGCGGCTGGATTTATGGGTCCTGCTGTCATACTCGAGGACATCTGTGGTTTTGTTTACTGTCGTAAAAGTCCAGACGAGAGAGAAGGACTGAAGGTCCTTGGGAGCTCTACATGGAATAATCAGGTCTTGCCCTTCAGAGCTGTTCATTTCTGTTTTGTACATGAGACAACATTGGTATTGTCACCTTCATAAGCATAACATTTATAACATACATCTGTATTGGTACTACAGCATATATCACTTTTTTGCACATTCTAATTTGAACAAGTTTTACCTTGCAGCTTTAATGAAGCTGTCCATGTCTGCGTGCCGTATTTGGAGGTGATGTTACACACATATATATGATCAAGGCTGTTGTTCTGCTGTTTTAGGACGCTCTCCACTGTAAAGAGGCCCTTTCCGCCAGGAGCCATGCGGGTGATGGGCTGCAGGGCAGCAGGAGGTAAACTGGGCTTTGTGCTCCACTGCACCATCGGAGCTGGGTAAACTTCTTTAGTAGAGCACCGAATCAGCCCAGAGGGATCGGTGTTAATGAAGATCGTACTGATGGGAGCTGGAGGACATTCAATAAAAATAAAAAAATCAATTCATTTAAAAATATTGATACTAAAAGTCGATTAGAATAATCAGTCCAAATTCAGCCATTGTCAGAACAGAATTGGCCAATAATAATTACTATTTTTATCAGCTAAATTAAGGGCCAGATTTACTAAACAGGGCAAATTAGTGTGAGAGCGCAATTTCCATAATGACCAACGCAATTTACCAAAAGCAGCGCTAATTAGTGTCTGGTTTAAGACATGCTTTTTTTGATTTGTAAATAATGGCGCAAATACCAGGAAGCGCAAACCTTAGTAAATCACCTTGCATGATTCATTTAAATACTCTTCTCTCATTAATTTTGCTTCTGAAAAGGAAACTCCTACAAATGCAAATGAAACCAGGTCAGCCAAAAAAATCACCCTGTCCACGCCTTTTCAGCGCTAATTCTTCACTGCGTGTCTTAAGTAAATCCTGATAGTAGTTTTTTAATGCCAATAAAGGGTTTGCATTGGTAGCTGTTAGTAAATCTGGCCCTAAGACTTCTAACTATGAGAACAAAATTTAACATTAATTTGTTGTATATACAGCAAAAAAAAGAACTAGCTAACTGAATAAAAGAAGCTAAAAAGTATGAATGGGGCATTGTGTTCGTAAACAGCTGAATGAACTAGGACATCTTGTTTGTGAACGAAAACTGAGCAAATGTTAATAATTAACTTGTTTCGGGAAGACTTCCGAAAAAAAAAAAAAAAATCTGTTGGTTCAATGACTCTCATTACACAAAAAGACTCACTTCTCACCACCTACTCTAACAAATCATAAAATGAATCTGAACCAATCTCTAGTGAAGTTATTTAGGCTACATCATAAAGTCACTGGGATGAATCAAAATCTTCATCACTACAAATGGATAGGTTATTATGGAAGTGTTTCCCCAACCCTGTTCCTGGAGGCACACTAACACTAAAAACACATTTTCCAACTCTACCTGTTCCTAATCAAACATCTGATTCAAGCCATCAGCTCATTAATAGAGAAGCGAAATAGAGGGATCAGATAAGGGATACATCTAAAATGTACGCTGTTGGTGTGGCTCCAGGAACAGGGTTGAGAAACACTTAATGTTACCCAACGAATATATTCCTAAGCCACTCAAAAACCCATATTGGTCAACGACTACTAATCACAGACAATACATTTAAAAGATAAATCAATATATATCAAACCTTCCACTGTTGCAATAACATATGTCTGAGTCACATTGTTGGCCACACATTTGTATCGTCCTTTACTCCTTGTATCTACTTGTTTCACAAGCAGAGATGCATTGCCCTCGGAGACGTTGTCGCTGAAGAGCCACACTTTGTCATTGCTGTGCCGGGGCTGTAAACTGAGTATGAGCGCATCCTGCTGGTACCACTTAATGTTCACATCACTATTATTGGGCGTGAAAGAGCAGGGAAGAATACAGTCTTCGGAGAAGATGCAGGTCACACGAACCGCTGCAAAACAAGAAAAGGGCTTTTAAGATATTCCTGCATTTACGAGAATGAATTATGAGTTTCATTTAAAGCAGGGCTGTCCAATCCTGCTCCTGGAGGGTCACCGTCCGGCAGAGTTCAGCTTCAACCGCAGTTAAACACACCTGAAGCGGCTAATCGAGCTCTTACTGGGACATATAGAAACTTCAGGCAGGAGTGTTGAGGCAAGTTGGAGCTAAACTCTGCAGGACAGTGGCCCTCCAGGACAGAGTTTGGACATCCCTGGTTTAAAGGGAATATTGAATAAATCTTTCAACAACGTATAACGTTTAACTTCTCTGCTGAAAAATCCAGCAGTGCTGAATACTAGCATAAGGTATGTTTTGCGCACTGGTACCAGCTTGGGTTGCTGGTTTGCTGGTCCCCAGCATGGGATACTAAAGTGCTGGTGGACTGTAATTTGTATGTTGGTATGATCCCAGCAAGACCACAACAAACGGTGGGTGTAAATGTTGTTGGAGAATGTTGTCACTATTATGGTGATTAGTGTTCCCTTTAAATGGGTCCTTGACTTTGGTTAACTTTCAGCAATTGTTGAAGTGCAGGCTGTCACTATTGTCTACAATAGTAGTACTGTATGTCATGCTCCTGACTGCAATGACATTATTCTGAGTTCTTTTAACATTTATTCCTTTTACCAAGTTTACAACTTTTGGGGGGTTGGTGACTGCCAGCTGGATTGTGACACATGAATGTTCCCAAATGTGCATGAAAGTCTTAGTTAAAGTTAAAGTAAGTTTTAATTTTCAATGATGCAACAGAAGAAAAGTACAAAATTATTACATTCTGATTTGTCTTCAGAATGAAATGTGATTCACAATTTACCAGGTTGACTTTTTTTTTTGTTTACTTTATTCAGAATTTCAGATGACTATGCTATGCTATGCATTAACCAGCATAAACCAGCCTGGACCAACATGGAATTAATGCAGGTTTTTGCTGGGTTTTTCAGCAGGGTTATAAACTGATTTCATATTTTCAGATATTTAGATACTTAAGCTGAAAAAAATATAAGAATTATAAAACAAAATACCAAATAGAACAACATCATTTTAGTTATGTCATTTCCATTTTTGTGATCTAATACAATTAATCATAGTATGTTGAGAGGGCTGCAAACTTGCCATTTCAAAACCATCAATTTCTTACTAATATTTCCTTAAAAGACGTTGCTAGATTGATGCCTTTGTCGTATATGTAAATCTCCACCCTCAGTTTCCTAACCTCATTGGTAAGTGCATGTGTAGAATACATACATATGTGCAGTGCACCCATATATATGCCACCTTTTTTCTCATAAAAAGTGAGAAAAACTGCCCCTGTTTGGTGTCTGTCCTTTTCTATGGGTGATTGCAATTGTGTGTTCACCCAGACCATCATGCTAAGAGGACATTTATCAGTAATGACCACTTATGACTGTGATTGTTAGGGTTCAACACACTCACCTTATCGGAATCGGCAAGAAGATTGTTTGGCTATAAATACAAAATAAACAGAGAAGCGGCAGAGTGCATGACTGTATGACCTTTATGTTGTGACACTGGCGTAGCAGACTGAGATTGCACCAAACTATCTCTTCCACAGATTAGTTGGCATTGATTATATTGATCATTGATTATATTATATAATATTGATAAAATCTCATATGGAATAGTTGCACTAATTGTTCAGTTGTACTTCTGTTTCTCATCTTATCTTGATGTCATGCGTGCAACGCTTTCCTTTTTGCTATGTGTCTAGTCTAGATCTATTATTGAGAGTCCCTGGAGAGGTCTTGGCTTGTCTAAATATTCACAGTGACGGTTAGTCCAAACAGATGACGGGTCGGAGTGAGTTCTAGCAGACTCACTCATCTCCTTCACTTGCAGACTATAACAAGGAGGGGCTCAAAAACGCATTAGCTGAAATTCTGCCTCCACTTGAGATCTAATAGCATCCACTTTAATTACATAATAAGGTATATTTATAACGATCATTCATCTTTCTTGGCATCTTTTTTAGTTTGGCTGTTGATCTATTGCAGGAATAATGCACATTCAAAAAGTGGCTCAATGAAACTGGAAAAAGCAAAGATAAATCACCCACTTCAGATGAATAATTTATTAGCTCAAAAATGCATTTTTGTGTCTCTACTTGAAAGCCTTTTTTGAGAAGACTCATACAGATGACAGATAATACGCAGTTATATATTAAAAAAACTTAAGCAGAAAAACTTAAACTGAAAATACCTCAATGAAAATTGGAAATCTTTCCTTGGCAACTGAAATACGTTCAAATTGAAGTACTAAAATGACTAAAACTGAAGTATAAATAAATTAAAACTAAAAAGATATATATTTTAAACACTATTAAAATATTCAACAAAAAAATGTAGAACATTTTAAATAAAAATAAAATAATAGATATTAATAAATACTACAGTAGTACATAAATAATACTAAAATAACATACATTTTGAACCTATATAATAATTTATTACAGCAAAAGCAATCAATGGGTAATATCTAAAATTGGTTTCATTTAATTTGATACTGGAAAGAATTCCTAAGGAGGAACTAATAACTAGAAAACAGATGTCTCTAAATGATCTTGCCAACATTCATACCCTATTCAATCCACTTGAATAACATAACGTAAGTCTTTCCTGGCATCTTTTCAGCTTCACTACAAACATAAATTGATCATAAGTGACCCAACTGAAAGTAGCAATCAAATAGAAATCAAAGCTGATCAAGAGCGAAAAGAAAAATAATAAGTAGTGATTCATGAGCAGAACTTTGAATAGCTTCATTTCATAAAGGAAAGTGGCAATCTTTATAAATAAAGTGGTCAAACTTTGGACCTAAAAATGAACGACATACTGGAAAATAAGAAAAAAGTTACTCAACTTTTAGAAACAATGTCAAAAATCACAATAAAAGTTAATCTTACCTGGAACCTTACACTCCACTAAGGAAAAAATCCATAAAACAACATAAGCGCCATAGAGAGTCCTTGACATTCTCCCTCACAACAATGTACTGGTCAAAAAAGAGGTGCAGGACTAAAAGAGTTGAGTTGACAGAAACTAAATTGCTGAGAAGATGACTCTTCAAAAGAGTCTCTCAGGAACGAAATCAGACCCTGTTCCTCTTTACTGCTTCAACAGCACAGACAGGCAAAACAAAAAGAAAGAAGTATCCCTTGGGTCCACCTGAATGAAGTCTTTGTGAACAAACAAGATGCAAGTAGACAAAGTTCCTCAGGTGATTTCTGAATATTGACTCTGCTGTGTGAGCTTGCTGAATGACAGAGAGAGAGAGAGAGAGAGAGAGAGAGAGAGAGAGAGAGAGAGAGAGAGAGAGAGAGAGAGAGAGAGAGAGAGAGAGAGAGAGAGAGAGAGAGAGAGAGAGAGAGAGAGAGAGAGAGAGAGAGAGAGAGAGAGAGAGCGAGTAGGAGGACAGGTTTCCACGCCTCTTTCATAGATCATGAGCTGAATCACTAAATGGCAGCTGAAACATTTTACCACCTACCCTGTCCTCTTGCGAATGACTTTAAGATAACCTTCCCACATCCCCCCCGGTCAACCTTTCTAAAGTTCATTGTTTTCATTGTCTTTTCTCACCACCTTGTTCTTTGTTGAGCCTTTGCTAAATTTAGACATGCTGCAACTGTCCTTGTCACCTTCTTGCCCAATTTGCCAAACTCAAGTGTGTTAACCATGCGTACCTAGTAGTGGATTGCTGTTACCCTGACGATTAGTAAAGATTCGTATGACGTCAAACAGTTGTTTCCTTCCTGGAAGAAGCCCTTTAGATGGCCCAATAAAACTTTAACAGTTTTTTTTTTTTTTTTTTTTTACATTCCACAGCTACATTTGACTGATGTGTAATGCATAGAATGTGTCCAAACTTGTAGTATTTACAGACTTTGACAGGTGCAAGTTGTCATACCAACCTTACAGGTTAACAAATGCACAGGCTTGAGAAAGTGCGTTTGTTGACTGAGCTGATCTAATGCCCTCAGGCTGTAGCAGAAGTGTGGTCAATGTGTGTGATGACATGGCAGTGCTGGCTCAGTTCTGCCAGCAGGGGCAGTCCAGTAAATACATTCCTCGTGGCTTTAATCACACTGCACACAAATGCGATTTGGTGTTCAAATCCAATCTTTAGGATTGACAGTCCGCATCCATCTATCTATCTATCTATCTATCTATCTATCTATCTATCTATCTATCTATCTATCTATCTATCTATCTATCTATCTATCTATCTATCTATCTATCTATCTATCTATCTATCTGTCTATCTGTCTATCTGTCTATCTATCTGTTTATCTATTGTGTGTGTCTGTCTGTCTGTCTATCTATCTCTACGTTCAGCTTTTGACTTCTTCCGATTTGTATTTACGCTTCAAAATTCATGAAAGTTGTGTTCAGTTGTGAAGATGATCACAATGAACAAAACGTGTAAAAATCATAAGCTTTTTGTGGTCACAGGCCTTGTTTTTTGCAATAATCCAAAAGCCAATGAAAAAATCCTATTGGGTTTTTGTCGAGGGAACCAGGGTGATGCTAATTTTTTCTGGGTTGGCCTAAAAATATGTCATCCCTGCACCACTCTATCAACCACTGAGAATATTCCATTAGGTCCACAGAGGTGGAGCTGGACTCTGTCTAGCTCAGTGGTTCTCAACCCTGTCCTGGCGTACCCCCAACACTACACGTTTTCCTTGTCTCCCTAATCAAACACACCTGATTCAACTCATCAGCTCATTAACCCATGTGATAATGAGCTGATGAGTTGAATCAGGTGTGTTTGAATAGGGAGACAAGGAAAACGTGTAGTGTTGGGGGTACTCCAGGACAGGGTTGAGAACCATGGTCTATAGCTCCACCCATTATGTCCAGACAAGGGAAGCTGAATGTCATTTGGCTCTGCAGTGACCACCACTTGGAATTGGTAATATAAGTAGAAGTGTTTTAGATATATTCTAGGAAGTTTTTTTTTTTATGTTGTGGACAGAAACATAAATATGATTCTTTGAAACTAGGGTGCAAACAATAATTCACTAAAATGTACACTCACCGGCCACTTTATTAGGTACCCCATGCTAGTAACGGGTTGGACCCCCTTTTGCCTTCAGAACTGCCTCAATTCTTCGTGGCATAGATTCAACAAGGTGCTGGAAGCATTCCTCAGGGAGTTTGGTCCATATTGACATGATGGCATCACACAGTTGCCGCAGATTTGTCGGCTGCACATCCATGATGCGAATCTCCCGTTCCACCACATCCCAAAGATGCTCTATTGGGTTGAGATCTGGTGACTGTGGAGGCCATTTTAGTACAGTGAACTCATTGTCATGTTCAAGAAACCAATTTGAAATGATTAGAGCTTTGTGACATGGTGGAAGTAGCCATCAGAGGATGGGTACATGGTGGCCATAAAGGGATGGACATGGTCAGAAACAATGCTCAGGTAGGCCGTGGCATTTAAACGATGCCCAATTGGCACTAAGGGGCCTAAAGTGTGCCAGGAAAACATCCCCCACACCATTACACCACCACCACCAGCCTGCACAGTGGTAACAAGGCATGATGGTTCCATGTTCTCATTCTGTTTACGCCAAATTCTGACTCTAACATCTGAATGTCTCAACAGAAATCGAGACTCATCAGACCAGGCAACATTTTTCCAGTCTTCAACTGTTCAATTTTGGTGAGCTCTTGCAAATTGTAGCCTCTTTTTCCTATTTGTAGTGGAGATGAGTGGTACCCGGTGGAGTCTTCTGCTGTTGTAGCCCATCCGCCTCAAGGTTGTGCGTGTTGTGGCTTCACAAATGCTTTGCTGCATACCTCGGTTGTAACGAGTGGTTATTTCAGTCACTGTTGCCCTTCTATCAGCTCGAACCAGTCTGGCCATTCTCCTCTGACCTCTGGCATCAACAAGGCATTTCCGCCCACAGAACTGCCGCTCACTGGATGTTTTTTCTTTTTCGGACCATTCTCTGTAAACCCTAGAGATGGTTGTGCGTGAAAATCCCAGTAGATTAGCAGTTTCTGAAATACTCAGACCAGCCCTTCTGGCACCAACAATCATGCCACGTTCAAAGTCACTCAAATCAACTTTCTTCCCCATACTGATGCTCGGTTTGAACTGCAGGAGATTGTCTTGACCATGTCTACATGCCTAAATGCACTGAGTTGCCGCCATGTGATTGGCTGCTTAGAAATTAAGTGTTAACAAGCAGTTGGACAGGTGTACCTAATAAAGTGGCCGGTGAGTGTATGTTCAGAGTTTGTATATCAAGCAGTTCACAAATAGTTTTAAAACATATTATTCCCACTTTTTCAAGTATCAAAATGTATCCATGGCTATTTCATATACTGTACTTCAAAATGTTGTATTACAAATTACAAAACAGTATTAGCTCTCCTGTCATTCAGTATATGGCCACAAGAGGATGTTTGTGGAAATTGTATGAAGATGAGGGGTGATTGTTGTGGAAATTATCCTTTGGCTGTGATGGTGGAACAGCTTTTTATATCCTTCTTATATTGATTAATGATCTGAATAGGGAAGGATGATCCTTGTTCAGCGTAAAAGAGCAGCTTCCTCTAGATGCAGTGAGGCACGTGCACGACTCCCTTAGATGCCACCACTCTTCTGTGCCCTCAATCGGACTCTAATCCTGGATTAGAGGAGCATGTTACTGGTCTGGGATTACTGTTCTGCTAGCTGCAATTTTATTATTGATTGTGTGCCACCATGTTTTATCTGATATTCGGTTGGACTACGGTTTATTATTCTTTTCTATATACAGACTCTGACTGTCTCTTCTCAATTCCCCTCTCTTGTGCTTTTTTATGTCACAGGGAATGATTTTTATTAGAACTAAGGATTTAAACTTTTTTTTTTTTTGCTGACAATCATTTCAACTATTGTATACTTTTTTTTATCATGCATTTATTAATTAATTGCTAAATCTTTTATAATTATGATATGATAATCATAAGCAGTTCCGATTTTATATTTAAATATTTTTATATTTAATAATATTATATTATATACAGCACACCAAATACACATTCAATCTTATCCACTCTAATTATGTAAGTGTGAACTCGTGAATAAACATTAATCGACACACGCATCAGTTATGACAAACGGAAGCTCAAGCATGTTCGCTTGACGTGCAAGAACCAATGAGGTTCATTCTCGAGTGTTACGCAGCAGGTTTGAGCTTCAGCAAGAACCAATGAGGTTTGTTCTCGCACGTCAAGCAGGTTCAGCGATCGTGTCTCTTCAGAAAATTTGGGCTACAATATAAATATACTAAAATAAATAAGTGTGTAATATATATACTGCATAGATAGATAGATGATAGATAGATGGATGGATATTATGCCGTTATATAATATATAGCATTCCTCCATCATCTTGCTTTTGTCTCCTAAAGTAAGCCTCTCTTGTTCTCTCCCATCCCTGTTCGGTCTCCCCCTATCCCCCCCCCACCCCCCCCCCCCCCCCCCTTTCATCTCACCATCATCTCTTGATCTTCTCCATGACTGTAATCCTCTACGAAGCGAGTTAAGATGCTTCTCACAGATTAGCCTGATGGTGAGTCTGCACATCATAGCAGCATGACAGCCAGAAACACATGCAATTACAGAAAAACCATATACTGACACTTTATGCTTCATCTACAGCTAGAGGTTACTCAAAATGCGAGTGATTTGTAAAAGACTCTGTAAACACACATAAGACTACTAACAATGTTAGGTTTATGTTGAAGGACATGAGAAGACTAGTAATTTGTATATTTCTTCCGTCAGAAATTATTGGGTACTTTTCTCAAAAAAGAGGGCTTGTTGTTTTTTTAACCGACCTGATGGTACAGTTAACTCTGCTTGTGATGCACCTCCCCTTCCCCATGGAGTTTATAGGTTACTGAAAGATTTCAGCAGCTGCGTATAAGAAGATTAGGGAGGAATTAACGTCATTCCTTTGTCATTATAGAAATAAATTGATATTTGGTTATAATCAGCGGGAGGGGGATGGAGGGAGAGCACCATGTCAGAAAAGCAGACAGGCTTTTAGGCAGGGTGGGAAACGCAGACCGCCAGGCATATACACACAAACACGCATGCACAAAAGTGGAGCTCAGAGGATTTCACATGGCACCATGTAACATGTGCTGCACAGTGTGGATCTAAGGGTCGTTACCGTGTCGGAATGGGCGACACTTCCAGATGGAAAGGATGCTGGGTAAGGAACTCCAGAGAGTTAGACTGATCCCACACCATCTCTCTGTTTCTCCTCACATCAGATCCTGGACCTCAGGCCTCGGCCATGGACTTTGCTCTCACGACACTGAGGCTGATGTGCCTGGCCTGGCTGTGGCCCGTCGCCCTGCTCAAAGGAAGCAACACGCAAAACCAGCGCAGGCACAAGGACGTCTACCTTGGTGAAAATACACGGCACAAACATGGAGGGTGAGGATACTTTTGCTAGCTTCGTACGCTCATTTCTTCAGCTCCTAAATGCGTTTGCAGAATGCTGTTGTAGATTGAACTTCACTTTGTATATTATCAATCAGCTCTATTCTGTTTAATTTAAATACCCGTGTCAGTCTGTTTACACTCTTGGTCTTATTTATTGTGGTCTCGTTCCTGTGGATTGATGTGTACGGGTTTATTTGAAGCGCTGTGTTATGACCTGCAATTTGGGGTTGTTGGATTGTGTGTGCGTTTGAGGGTATAATTAATTGTGGATAAAGGAACTCTGTAATTAGAGCTCATGGTTGAGCTGGGTATGTGAGGTAAAAACAAAAACAGCACTGGGTAGTAATTTAGTCTTTTAGTACTGATCCGGAGGTAGGTCATTCTCAGGTAACAGTGCCATTTGTGGCAGAAAGCTTTTTAAGATGGATGGATGGATGGGAGATAGATAGATAGATAGATAGATAGATAGATAGATAGATAGATAGATAGATAGATAGATAGATAGATAGATAGATAGATAGATAGATAGATAGATAGATAGATAGATAGATAGATATTATTTATGTATATTTATTATTAAATATATTATTCATAAAATCCTAAATATTTGGTTATATATGGTATATTGAGGTTGAACTATTGAGCTTGGTGTGGCCAATGTAAGTGTGAATATAATATAACATAACAAAAACATAATAAATATCATTAAAGGGAAACTTACATCTGCTTGTGGCAATTTTTCTATTAAGTCACTCTTTGAAATATGATGTCAAAAAGGCTAAACACACTAAATCTATCAAATAATGTGACTGTTATTATATTAGTATTAGTAAATCATGGAGATAGAAATGGCACCTGGAAAGAACCCAGTCAGGGTCAAATCAAAATATTTTAATAAGAGGCATTTAAAAGTCAAAGTTTTGTATTGGAAACTTTGCTGTCTTGTGATTAGAAAATAAATACATTTAAAAGTATAAGTTATATCTCATGAGAGAGATATCTGTCTTTGTGCATAAAATCATCTGTGATCTTGTTCCATACTGAAGTGAAATTAATTTATCTAAACAACCCTCTCTTCCAAACCTCTTGTTTTAGTCAGTGCTGATTATTTACTCCGAATGTAACCAAGAACTTGTGTGTACAGGTTTGTTTTTGCTTATGTCTGTTACATCATACAAATAAACCTTCCCCATTTTGTCTTCTTTCAAACAGACGAATAGACTTTAAAATGAAGAAGTCTGACAGCACCAAATCTTTGCTGATTAAATCCGAGCAGCTCTTGCGAATCGAGGATCACGATTTCGCCATGAGGCCCGGTTTTGGAGGTGAGGGAATTCTGTCCTTTCAAAAGGCTCTTATGTATTTCTTTTGGCTTTGCAAAGTTGGTATTGATGGTTGTATTCTTAAAATACATACTTGTTGCTTTACTGAGCATTATGTGTATCTTGGTCTTTATTGTTTATTTGAATGATTTTGGGAATGTAATCTTATTCAGCACAGTTGGCACAAATAAATGGCAGCGTAACATACAACAGCAGCACTAATACAGCACAGAGAGGCACTACAGATGGGGCAATATCAGGAGGGAGTGAGAGGAAAAAAAGAAAACCAATGATGTGATTAACCAAAAATCTGCTGATGGGAATCGTGATGCGTTTTTCTGATGGAAATCACATACTCCACCACACTATGAAAGCCATTTATGTAAGCAGCAGGAAACGACCATAGATGTTTGTTGAAAATGTTGTTGTTTTTGTTTTGGTTATAGATCATTTTTGTAAAATAGAATTATATTTAACACTATTCTCTGGAAATGTCTCATTCTCACATGCATTTTAAGCTGCTTACTGTCTATAAAACATGCTATGCCGATAGAGATATCATCCATACTTGCTGCTGTACAGATACCTCACAGAATGGGGTTAAGTACTGTGTTCTGCCTCTGTTACACTGGCTGAACTCAAGATCAAGAGCTTTAAAAGTCACAGTGGGGCAAATGACCAGAATGTGACTCTGGCGCTGAGATTGTCAAAAATAGGTTAGAATGTCATATGCGGTATGTCCAAATCAGAAAGAAAAAAAACACTCTGACCCAGATTGGTAGTAGTGCCAAGCAGACAATACACTGAGGACAGCTGTGTTTTATGCACAGTAATCTGGATTATTATTCCAGTCGGTCTCTGAGAATGCCTGAGAATGTAGCTAAATCTTACAGGCTAGCCAAAGGTTGCTGTCTTTAGAAAAAGAACAAAGAGTGGCGTGCTGTTTTTCCAATCAAATAATCATCTGGGGCCTATACCATGAAGCCGGTTTAGGTGGCTAGCCAGCTATGTTTCAGCTTAGTTTCCGCCAACCCTGGGTTTTAGGTACTATGAAAGTAGCTCGGCTTTAATCGGTGTTCGTTGCCATGGTACCTTACGCTGCACGGCTAACCTGCCCCGGGGCAGGTTAAGTTCTGGATTCGAGATCTCAGACTGAAGTTTGACCAATCAGCTGTGAGCAAAGAAACATATAGGTGACGTAACTAATTCCCAGTGTTTGTTGCAATGGCTTTACATTTTCTTTCAAATCCTGTGGACATCTCAGCGCAAATCGTTAGACGAGCACATCGTAGAGAAAGAGTTTTTAGCCGGACAAAATCCCCTTGCCTTTCCTGATAGTTACTTGTATGAAAGATACAGATTTTCTGCAGAAGGAATATCTTATCTTTGCGAACTTCTTGAGCCGCACATAAATAATTTAACACATCGAATTCATGCACTTACTGTACCATAAATGGTATTGCGTTGCGTTTTTTTTGCAAGTGGTAGCCTACATACTTGCACGATCGGTGATGCACAGAATCTAGGGGAAAACACGGTTTGTCGAACCATTCGCAAGGTGGTCCTCGCTTTGCAGGAGTACATTAATAGTTTAATAGTGTTCCCCAGACATTTATTGACCATGTCATAAGAGAGGGTTTTTATAAAATTGCCGGTAAAATATATTGATAGGGTGACATCACGTTTTTTTTTCTTTCAAAAAGCAAATTTCACAAATGTACTATATAATACAGTACATGTTAAGCATTATTTTTATCTCATGGTAGGATTCCCTATAGAGTCATTGGAGCAATAGCCTGCACACATGTTGCAATCTCCACTTCTCTAGGAGAACATGAGGCAGATTATGTTAATAGAAAGTCTTTTCACAGCCTTAATGTTCAGGTAGAGATTATGTGAACATGTGAAATTATTATTTTCTGTGAGATGAATCTTTAAATTAATAGTAAAATTAGCAGATAACAATCTACTTTCCGTGAGTATGTTGTGTCAGCGCTTTGAGGAAAGCTAGTTAAATTTGGTACAGTACAAAACACTGTTAATTTGAATTGGGACAGCAAGACCTACACAATAACCCCCTATCATGACCCTCATGTGTCAGTAAAACTAGTAAAAGTTAGAGATGATCTTTGGCATCCTAAAGGCACGTTTCAACTGTCTTCGGCGCTTAAGAGTCACCACAGTGGGCATCACAGATAGTGTCTGCATGTGCCATTCTGCACAATATAGCCACCATAGAAAGGAGCCAGAACCACCACAGAAAGCTTCTCCCCGATGAAGAGAAAGAAAGCAATAGAAAGTTGCATTAATAAATATTCATGCTAAAGTGTTACTTGGTTAAATAAGTTCACATGCTGAGATCAGTTTAATCTAGCTGTTGCATTTATTTTTTAAATGTGGAGCCTCCTCAGCTCACAGTCAGGCTCCTTTAGTGTGCAGTCTAGCTCCATAGGCTCCTTTTGTAAAGGGCCCTGAGTCTGACTGAGTCTGTTTCCACCTGAAACATAATTCCACCACAAACATGATCATTACAAGTTTTTGGGAGGCTAATCAACTCACAAAAAGTTCCTTGAAAGTTCCTTGACAAACACCTGATATATATGTCAAGGGTTTTAAATCCTTACCTTGTTCACATTTCTTTTGAAGCCTGTTGAGGTAGAGGCTTCAGTTTCTGGGACAGGTTGTGAAAAATCCTACAATAAAAGAGATGTGTAACTTGGGCCAGTCCCTGTTTTATGCCACACATTCAAATGTTTGCCTTAATAAAAAGCCCAGTGCATTCACCTGAGCAACTGTCCCAGAACACAGACAGAGTGTCTTCATCATTTCCTCCTCCCTGATAAATAAAAGTAGGCCAATATGTTTCTGGTGTTCTGTCTGCTGCATACTGACCTCTGTGTGGGAGACTGTGTGTGTGTGTGCTGGCTTCAACAGGGACACTGCATTTCCCTCAACTGCAGAGACTTACAGTCAGCCATATTTAAAACTTAAAATAGTAATGTATCGCACACGTACCCAGTGTTACTTGCTTCGAGGAGCCGGCACCAGGGTCAGATTGTACAGCACCTGTAATCCCATCCATAATCGGCCGTCCCTTATTCCTATCAGAGCCAACTCAGTGTATTCTGGAGGAGTGGCCCTCCACTGGTTTTCTGAATGTCACTCTTTTTTCGGTTTGCCTCAAACAAGTGTTAATAAAAAAATAATAAAAGGTTGTGTGTAAATACTTACTAGGCTACTTTGAATTATATTTTTATATTTTGTCTTTATCAGCTGCCAAGAACGTTTGGAGTTGCATCTAAAAATCAATGAATATTAATCTTTATTAGTATACATGCACATTTTTTTTATATATTATAAAAATATAGGCTATATTTCACACACACATACATTCATAGCCTATATATACATCATTTTACATGAATAAAGAACGTATTTATTTAGCTTACACATTAACACAATCAGCAATCTTTCTCCAACAGTCTTCTCTTGCTTTGGCAGCAGAGACTGTATTGTTTCGAGCTTGTAATACATATTTAAATTCATCGTAATTCTGAATGATTATCTCTATCGCTCTCGCTCTATCCATTTCGAACGCGATTGGTTGTTCGGTGCCAACGTCACTTTGGTATGTGCACGCGCTCGTGGAGTAATCATAGCTTAAGATCAAAGCCTGAGTTGACAGAGAAAGTTGATGAGCTGCGTCATGGTACCAATAAAGCCTGATTGCATCGGTTTGGTTTTGTCAACTCAAAACTAATCCTGTAACTCCGAGTTTGTTCAGCTACCTTCATGGTACAGGCCCCTGTTCTATTACGGAGCCCCTAAAGGGACATGGTGGGGGAGATTTGGGATGGGAGAAAAATTGGCGTTCTCTCACAAAACTTTGCATTCCCTCGCAAAACGTTTGTGTTCTCTCGCAAAACCTGTTGTGAGCTCTGACAAACACTTCCTGTTTAATGTCCCACTGGCAGTGTTTCAGACAGCTCCGTACGTTAACAATGGAGTGGTTCATAGAGTTTGAAATCGGACTTGTCTCTCAGCCCCCTGCTCATAGAGACCAATTTATATTAAAAGGCTCGTTTTGAGGAAAATTGGGTTGTAGCTTGTTGCCGACGTTACTTTGTTTGGAAATAGATGTCATTTGTGTTTTAACAACGTTTAGCTCACGAGTTATTGATCCGGGAAGTTCAAATCTGTGAATATATTGCCAACTTTACTGAACTCCTTGAACTAAGCACTGACTGCATTTCTTTATATTTGAGTCCAAGTTCAAACTCTATGAAACCCGCTCCATTGTTAAAGGGATACTTCAGGATTTAGCATTAAGCTTTGTATCAGTAGAAAACCAGTATTATTTTCGAATTACCGTGCTTCCCCTCCTCATATCCCCCTGATATGAGAGAAAACTTAATTTTTAGTCTGGAAAAAATCCTCCAATGACGCAAAAATCATCATTTTGCATCATCGGAGGATTTTTGTGCCAGAGGCTAAAGACTACAGCCAGTGTTCCACATGTTTTCACCACACCCATATGGGGCGGGATCTACAGTGGTGTGAATAAGTTATTACCCCCATGCTAAAGTTGCCTAAAAAGAGGAATAAAAAATCATCTTTTGGAAATTGATCTTAATGCCTTAATTAGAAAAATGAGGAAAAATCCAACCTTTAAGGACACCAATTTTCTTTGTGTATGAATAATGTATCATAAATAAATAAATGTTCTTCCTTAAAATACAGGGTGCATAAGTCAGGCCCCCCCTATGTTAAATTCCCATAGAGTCAGGCAGATTTTTATTTTTAAAGGCCAGTTATTTCATGGATCCAGGATAATATGCATCCTGATAAAGTTCCCTTGGCCTTTGGAATTAAAATAGACCCACATCATCACATTCCCTTCACCATACCTAGAGATTGGCATGGGGTACTTTCCATAAGATCATCTTTCAATGCAAATCAAACCAGCTATTAGGCTAACTGAAATAACACCATGCCAATCTCTA